TGAATGTTGTCATTACTTCTTTGTGCACACCAACTGAGCACTGCTGTGCAGCACGGTGTTTCACTTGGTTCCGATGTTCTGCTCCGTGCTTTGTCTGAGTAGAGTGAGCTCAGTAGATACCTCTCCTGAACATCATGGGCCCCATTGAAGTAGAATGACTATTGCTTAAAAATGCTCTGTCTGTACTAGTAGCTTGGTGCACTCCTGTTTTGCTCTAGGGATGGGTTTCCTGGTCATTCATCCTACCCGTGGTCAGTACGTCAGGCACCCGTCAGTGTCTGAGCTCTCTTTTGGAACAAATCCGCTAGTATCCCCAAGGGGAAACACAAGTGTCATCAACCATGTAGTTCAGCCCAGGGTTTGCTCCAGACAGACAGGATAGATGTGGAAGACACCAAATGTATTTCCTTCAACAAGGACAGTGCTTCAGTGGTATTCAAGGTTAGGCAACAGCATATTTTGTGCCCTCGCCCATCCCTTTCTTAGAGCACACAACATTTTTTTCTAGTGTTGTAATGGTTTTGATGCAGCATTGCTCTGCTGGCCTGCAGCATACACCTGTTAGTATTCTCTGTACTTTGAACTGAAGAAAACCCCACCAAGCCCATGCACAGAAAATAGCGGCTGTTAGCCACAGGGTTACGAGGGGAGGTGTGAACTGAACCCTGTGTGGCATGGCTGCAGCCAGCCCACTCAGCAGAGAGCAACCTCTTAACAGCGTGGTCCTGCAAAAAACTGGCCTGTGGGCAAAGGTCTGCAGTACAGGCCTGGTGAGAATGGCCTTGAGGTAAATAAGGTCTTTTAGTCCCCATTTAACAGAAGGGTGCAGACCGACTCAGGGAGAGAACGTACTCGGGGCGTGTTGAAACCAGATCTCCCAGGTCACAGGGAAAAAGCTTGCTGTATGGAACTGTTAGATAGAAGCAAATGGGGGGAGGAGATGGGACACAAACACTGACTATCATCACCACCATCTTCTTGCCTTCTCTCTGCTCCTCTGGATGGGACATGGTGGTCTAGACAGGTTTTTGATGCCCTTCTGGTAGTGAAATGGCATGCCATTTCTCAATCCTAGCGAGGCAGGCAGCAAGCTGTTCAGTGCTGTGAGGTCAGAAGTGCTTCTGAGCACACCCAGAAGCGGAACTGGAGGATCCTGGTGAATGTCAATGCTAGAAAAGATGAGTGTCACCATCTAGAGTCCCTTTGGCCTCTGGGCTTTGGTGCATAACTGCAACTTGAGGACCATCACAGACCCTGCCCTTATGGTCTCTCCTATGGTCAAACAAGAGCCCAGCCTCAGGCCCACCAGGCCGTGAGTTACATCTCCCACCAGTTGTGCACTCCCAGGCATGGCCAATACCGAAGGGTGATGGGGGGCTAGAATGAACAAGTTCTCTACCCTTGTGGGAAAAGAAGTGCCTCTGATGACCTGCAAAAATGCACACACAGGGCTGTCCCCGGTCTGCCAGCAGCAAGGCCAGAAGGGCGGAGGTGAAGATGTCATTGCTATTGCAGTGGTTCTGTTGGGTTCAGGCTGGGACACCTGATGCAGCAATATTGAGTCAGGGCAGCATTTAATCTTTTGTTCCAAATGTGATGAAACAGGCTTGATCCGTTGTTATATTCTTGGTAAATCCAGGTGGATTTCAGTAGAACTAAGGGAGATGGAGGTAGATGCTGAGAATCACTGCAGCCTTCATCCCAAAATGAAACTCCAGATGAGCACAGTAACTGTCCAACAATTATTGCAACTGTTGCCTGACTTTGCATCCATCATTTAGCTTTCTTTCTTTTCCTCCCTCCCTCCCTCCCTCCCCCCCTCCCTCCCTCCCTCCCTCCCTTCCTTCCTCCTTTCCTTCTTCTTTCTTTCCTCCTTTCTTTCCCTCTTTCTTTCCCTCTTTCTTTCCCTCTTTCTCTCTTTCTTTTTCTCTCTTTCAATCTAGTAAATTATTTTAACTGAATTTTCAGAAGTATACTTCCTGCACCTTTCCGAAATTCACCAGCATCTCTGACTTTTACAAAAAGAAGAGCAGGAAAAAAAACAAAAACAAAACCAACCAACCAACCAAATGAACAAAACAAAAAAACAAAAAACAACAAACAAACAAACAAACAAAAAAAAAAAACAAACAAAACTCCAGGCAACTCACTGCTATGTTTTGAATTCAACATTCAGAACAACAAATACATCCAAATGATTTTTTTCTTTACTGTTAGTCATTTGTACTAACCTGCAATTAAAAGTCTCAGCATTTGTTCTCATCTCTCTCTGAAATGACATTTTCCACTTCCTAGGCCCTGGCCCCAGGCAGTGGATTTTTGAAGCAATCATGCCTTGGTAATTAATGTTTAAAAATGAATGTTGCAACTTTTAACACAGTGTGTTGCTGAGTAAACATTCATAAATGCCTGGTACCAAAAAATACAAGGCGTTTACTGGAAGCTTCAGGTTTTGCAGACATTATCCTTAGAGCTCCAAGCTTCAGTATGTTTGATTACCCCTTCTGTGCTTGTGGATGGAGGTGACAGCCGTGCTTAAAAAAAGCAGAAGGAAAATACCACATGTAATCTGTCAGTTCTTTGTGCCACTGACTCATCACCCCAGAAAACTTCCTGGGAATGATTAGCTCATACAGAGAGGGAGGAGAAAAATCTTTGACAAATGATCTGTAGTTGTAACACAACCAGTGCCATTTTTGATTTTTGCAAAAGGGCAGGAGGACAAGGGATGGAGTGGGAGCATTAGAGGGGGGTAAAAATGGAAGATGGTGTGGCAAAATATGGTTGGAAGTTCCCTTCCTATTGAATGTTCCTTCATTTGTCCGGAGTCTGCATTTTCTCTGTAGAAGCCACAGCTTCCAGTCTGTTACTAACACAGTTGGTTTTATCTGTGATAGCAGCCCATCCTACACAGGGCTTCCATACATGACACCAAGTGCTCCTCAGTGGTATTATCTGAATCTCTCATTGCAGCATTTTTTTTGTGCTTTAGAAATTAAGTTACTGTATAATCCCTTTTTCTAACAGAAGTCCGTAGCAACTGAGAAGACAAGTGGGAAAATCAGCAACTTCAGCATTTCAGGAAGGGGAAAGGCTAGTCTGGGTTGAGCCTGCCTCCTTACTTTAGGTGTCTGACTTGGGCATTGTAATCCTGATTCAGACCTTTTGGAAGACACACCTCATGCCTAACGTTTCCCAATCAGTTGGCACAAGGCAGCTGCCTCTTCACCTGAGACTCTAAAGACAGGAAAAGTAGGAAAGTACCCACCTGGTCTTGGGAGTGGTTTCTGTCAAAAGTGACAGGGGAGTCGCACGGTACCACGGGAGGAGGGATCTGCCCATTCCAGGGACCCCATACTACACCCACTAGTTTGGGACGATGTCCCCTTCATATCTGATACCTTAGTGCTGTTTCTCACACACAGAATGAAGCCTTTCCTGGTCTGGCAGAGGCCAGTGACAAAATCCTGAACAGATCAACTGGAACAAAAACTTAATACTACTTTGGGCTAATTTTCCTTTCCTATGGCTGCCCACCCCCGCCCCCCCCCCCCCGCCCCGCCTTCTTTTCTACCTTCCGGAAAAGAGAAGGGAATTCCCAATCTGACACACAACTGTCAGGTCGGAAAACCAAGTTCGGAGCAGGTGCTTTGGGCTTCGTTACTCTTTGATGTTCTTTCTGCTCAGAAGAAACCAAAACCCAGAGAGCTGCTGGAAGAGCTCCATGGGTCTGATTCTACAATTAAGCGTGAAAACAGAACCTCCCAAATAATCTTCCCTTTCTGGAAGTGAAATTCAGGCTCTAAGATTAGTAAGAGAAGGATTCAGCACTAGTCATGCTCATTTGGGTAACAGGCAAGTTTCTGCCTGTGCTCACTTCTAGTATTCATTATGAAACTGTATTAGTGACTTCCTAAGCAGCAATCCCGGCTGAATAATAAATGAAGTATTGCCTTCTGCTTTAATAGTTTCCTGTTCTTTTAGCATTGTTTATATACTATCAACAGCATGCTGGTACATCAACTGGGTACCTAGTGCTTGGCTATTTTATTATCCATTGCTTTAGCTATCTGCACAGATTTCTGATCCTAAAAGGATTAAGCTAATTTTTAGATGATTTTGCTGTCAAAGCACAGTAGTTTAGAATTCTTCTTTTGTTGTTGTTGTTTTTTGGGGTTTTTTTGGCTCTTTAAAAGTTTTCCAGAAAATATGAGAACCTATTTGTACTAAATTTAAGCCTGCTCAAAATGTGTGCTTTTTCTGTTGATTTTTTACAGATCCTTTAGAAAACAGAAGTCCAGAGAGCACTACTGCAGCGGACAGGGTGCTTCAGTTACACTTCGTGTTTAACATGACACAGATTGTTCAGTGTTTTGCTAAATTGAAGTGTTACCAAGTCCCATGGAATGTAAAATGCTTTGAGAGTAAAAGCAATGTGTTTTTCAAGAAATGCTTAATCCTAAACAGATCCTTCAAATGGAGTGTAATAAAGTCTCTACTACAGCTCATGAAAAGATTTTGTTCAACCTCAGTGGACTCTCAAACAGGTGGAGATAATATGCTTGCCCTTGCTAACAGCGTTCATTTAGCTGTGTTTCCTTTCCTAGACTCGGAATTAGATTTCCTTCTCTGCTGTTTGTATAGAAAGACTCAAACTACTCAAGAAGATCATGTAGGAGTGTCTGTGTTTAGAAGACGGAACTGCATTTGAATTGATGATACCTCCCAACTTCATGTTCAGCCATTTAGCTTTAGTCAAAATAAATATCCTTACCGTGCTTTTGAGCTGATGCCCTCCAAGGGACCGTGGCAGAATACTGCACACACTGCCTTGTGGCCATGGGGGACTGTAGAAGAGCCCACATAAACAAACAGCAAGCAGCCGCCTCACGTGCCAGCTCACACACGGGTGTGCATGTGTTCACACTGGTGAGCATGTATATTAAGTCATCCAGGTTTATACACTTAAGGTTGGAAATGTTTATCTTTTTTTTTCCCAGGCTCCATTCCCAGCATATTTCAAATCCTCTCCCCAGACTTCACATACTTTGTTCTCACATTGCCTACTTTGAGATCTGTGGACCCGAGCTGGGCAGGCTCCCAGCACCTTTAGTTGTCTCTGGACCAGACTTCAACTGGTACATTTTATCTAGAGGACGTTTTGAAAGACGTATGACTGTTGACTTCCAAGTCCATTTCATAAGGACCAAGGCTCCTAAAGATGCAAGCAGAGGCACAGTCAGTTTGATCAAAGGGAACAGTCACCTGAGTATCAGGGGTGAGGATAAGATTCAGGGATCTGGCTTCCTACTTTCACCAGAGCACAGTTTTCTGTCTTGGTTTTGTTATGTCTTTTGCTCTTTCTCCTCCTTACTTCTTCACTGTTAGAATTAAAATGGCCAAGGTAATTTATGCTCCAAATTCCTTTTCATGTTCTGAAAGCAGCAATGAATGCTGTAGGCTTTTCTGAGGGAGAACCATTCTCTAAAGGTGCCACACACTGCCATTTTCACTCTAGGAGCATGGCACAGTGAGAAAAAAAGCTCCGTTAATGACCCTTTTGCTATGTAACCTTTCCTTAAAATGCCAGCAACTGAGCTTCCACCGAGAGAACAACAAATATTGAAAGAGGAATGTGAAGGACATTATGAAAGAAGAAAGCAAGAACAGGGATATTCTCAGACAAGTTTCTCAGGAAAGGTGATGTAATATGTACTGTAGAAAATCCTAGCAGTTGACACAACTTGCTCTCTTTATAAGTAGCTGTGGCTGCCAGCAGGCTGGAAGAAACAAAACATATAGCTGGGAATACAGCTGAGCAGACTGTTTTGTCCAAAAGAAATATAGTAGGTGTAAAACTTGTTTTCAAGAGATGTCATCGAAGTTTAATTGGAAAGTGGCCTATTAATAAAGGCTGAGTGGCCAATGGATGAAAGTCTCATTTCTTTTGGGGCAAATATTACAGTTAATCAATGATGCTGTAACATTAACTCCTGTATGCTGGGAGTACTCCAGAGACTGCTGTTGGGATGCTGTGGTAGGCAGTTCTGTTACAAGCACACGGTCCTGTTTCTAGAGTTTAGCAAAAGTTTAACAAGCTTTTTAACAGCTGTCTTGAAAATTGCGTGGCTTTGTATTGACTGACTTGCACATATTTCAGCCTGTTTTCCTATGGAAATGACTGTGTCTCAGCATGTGTGTTGTACGTGTGTCTGCATCCATGTCTATACAGTTTGGGAACCTCCCTTCCTGTTATAACAGACCTGACGTAGAGCCTCAGGGTGTTTAAGATGGTGAAGATACTAGAATTTTGTGTCAGCAGGTGTCTGGATACTGAAGAGGGTCTGGCTCTTCTCTGCAGGGAACAGTCTGCAGAGAACTGTGCTCTCAGTCAGCCTTGGAGATTCCAAGAGGCCCAAATCTGGAGGATCTCAGGTTTTCTTATTCCACTTCTCACAGAGCTTACTAGTTTAAAGATCCTGGCTGCAGCCTGAAATGTTTCATCTTTAAAAACTCTAGCTCCTCTACTTTGTTCCTTCTGTTACACATGCAGAGGATGGTAAACACAAAGGGCCATTAGAAGAATGAATGTATCCATTTTCAGGTAGACTAGTTCATAAAAGTTGGATAAACTGGTAAATAGAAGGTCCCAGCACATGGACTACTGTGGATTTATTCATTATTATCAACAGAGGAAGAGCTGTACAGGAGGAATGTCCATTATGAAAATCATATTTAGTTGTAGGGCTGAAATACATCGTCTGTTACCTCCCTTTTACAAATACTACTAGTGCTGTTCAGGCAGCCAGCAGGCATGTTTTCATGCAAAAGAAGGTGTGGTTATTTTCATAAGGTTTTTGTGAATAAGGCTGGACAAAGCTTTTGATGGAACTACTGTCATGTCAAGATGTCATGTGCTAACTTCTCACTTTATTGTAAAGCGGTTATAAGGAAAACACAGGCAGTAGGACTGACAGTACTAGATGTTGTCTTGGAGTGGGAGGTTGAGGGACCCTGTTGAATCCTTAGGAATGTCTGAATATTATTCCTCTGAGGCATCCCCACTCCTTTGCATTTTCTCTTTAGTTCTAGGTGGAGCCTGGATAAAAGCTGTCAGGAGAGCTTTTTAGCTGGATTGAGTCTACCAAGTGATAGCAATCTTGAACCACCGTTTCAGAGGATTGGCACCAAAAAGCCTCTTGTGTCGCCGAGTGCTTTACAGGACAAATAACACTCTCTGCTTCCTCAGCTGCCTAAAATTCAAGCCATAGATATTGAGCTTCAATCTGAATACGGTAAGTCAGGCCTTAGAAGCCTGCCTCCATTGCATGATTGTGTTTAAAATAATTATAGTTACCAGTCTATCATACAAAAACTAAAGCCAGGGGACAAATGACTAGAGCACAATGCTATGTAGCTGACACTCATATTGCCAGATCTCTCCCTGTTGTGCTAAAACTACTATATATGGGGTCTTGTTAGTACAGCCTTGCACTGTGCTGATGTTGGGTTGTGTTTGAAGAACAGCACTGCTGAGGCTGGAAAACTGCAGTGGCTCACTGGAAGTGAATCACAGCCCACTGCCAGAAACAGTCTTGCTTCTTGGCAGTGACAAAAGCTCAAGATTTCTTTGTGCAATTTCAGATTACTTCTTAAACTGGAAAGTGCAGAAGACCTAAGCTGGCCAGGTACTTAAGGGAATAAAGTGACAGCCTGCTTTTTTTACTAGGGTAGAAAAGTATCAGAAAGAGATGTTACCAAAGTGACAACTCTGTATCCCTAAAGAAACCTCTATTCAGGATACAGTATCCCTAAAGTACCCCTTAGGGTTACAGTATCCCTAAAGATACAGCAGCCTTTCAAAAACCTCTTCTTGGGGTTTCCTTGCCATTTGCTGGTTTCCATTGAAAAGTTTCCCCCAAGTAGAACCTTGATGGCTGGAGAGATGAGGGAGAAAGGGCAGTGTAACTGGCTGTTCTCCTTTTTCATAGAGATGACAACAAGCTGGTTGCTTCAGTTGGCCTTCTGAGCCAGCATTTGATAAAACTTTGTTCCTTTGCCGTTTCCATTAAATCCTTTCTGGTGTCACACTCACATATGCAGCCCTTTCCCACTGCCACATAACCCCCATGCATACTCTTGCTTCCCTATAAAAGTCCATTTGTGGTCTGAAAAGGTCCTATCAGAAACAAAGCTATTTAAACATCTCATGATTTCTTGTGTTTATTCTTTCGGTGTCTGATGGCAGTTGCTAAAAGGCTGAGAATGGTTGCTGGTCCCATTTGGATTTCTTCTTTTCCCCACCCTTAAATCAGGTGACATTTTTAGCTTCAAATTGTATAGCAGGGAGCACATTAAACATCAGGTCTGAGAGAAATGAGAAACAACATGATGGGACTGCACCTTTAGGTGCTGCAAACAGCCCAACTCTCCATGTTAAAAATCAACCACTTTTTTGCTTTAAAGTGTGAACAGTCCGTCAAAAAGCTACATGAAATCTGTTTTCTGGGTGATGGAATGTACGCCTGCCTAGTTTGCTTCCTATTAGGTTATTAACACTTACTGCATCTGTAACTGCTGGTTATTGAAGGAAGGACTTAACTTTCTACCAGAACCCTGGGACTAATTAAAACATTGCCATTAATGTTTAATGAGAAGGTTGTTACTTTCACCAGTAAACTGGCTTAGACTCTTAGTCCCATAAAGCACAAATGGCACACATTGAATCATAATTAACAAGCAGATTTGGGGAAAAACACAGTCAGAGGGGTGCAGCTTGTTGCATAAGTTAAAAATGATTGGTTGCTTTCTTCTTACTTTTCACAGAATACTGGATATTATATATGCTAACTAGTATTCATCTCTCAGCAAGGCATCAGACCTTGTAGGGCCAGTTCTTTCTCCCAGTAAGACATTTGCATCATAAAATGGCCCAGACAAAACATCCTCAAGGGAAAATCCCATGCTTATAGGAACTTCCAAGCCAGGGTATAACGCCATTTGCTTGCCTAGCTGCTTGTCTTGGCTGGAGGAGAATGGCCTGTTAGAAAGGAATGGCCAAAACAACGGGAGAAGAATGAACAAGACACTTGAGGGTGTGTCTAATGGATTGTGAGGAGTATCAGGGCAGGAAAGGAGGAAGTTTTGTTCCTCTTCTGTGCCAGCCTTGTGCAGAGGAGCAGATCTGGTAAATTTTAGCTCTGTATATCTTATCAGCCAATTCTGCTATCTTGTTGTTTGTACATACACACAGTAAACTAGTCAATTCTATATTTTCTGGTACCAAATTAGACCTCATTTAAAGTGATTTGGTTTACACCGAAGAAGCATCACATAAGGAGAGTAACATTTGGAGACAATGGGTCCTCATTACTAATGTTACAAAGGTTAAAAAAAAAACCCAACCCACAAGCTATTTCACAGTGCATTTATGGAGAGAATGGCAAGAGCAGCGAATAGTGCATTTTATTCCAAATGCTTCATTTAACAAAGATTAAACACACATCTGAACACTCACTTTGAGGTACATTCCTAATCTGGCTTTGTTCTTGGTTATAGCGGTAGAAATCAGGAATTACGCTACTGAAGTCAGCAAAGTCATTACCCTGTATTAAACTCAAAAGAGAATGAGTCTTGCTTTTTACCTCTACAGCAAATCCCATTCAATTCAGAACAAATACAGCAGTACACTTAAGTGCAATGCAAGAGCAAAGCCAGTTAGTAAATGTGTGCCCTAAATTCAGTCCAGAGTTCTTGAGCTGAATTTCCATCTGAGTACTCTTGAACACTACAGCACTAAATCTCCTTTTCCTGCAGTGTAATCTAATTTATTTTCCCCAGAAAAAGTTATATTTTCCTTTTTGTAAACAGAGGCCACCTGAAACACATGGTTGTCTTCTGAGCAGAAACCTCAAAGATCATAGTTTGTATATATTAAAAAAACAACCCCCAAACGTCTGTTTTGAAGCTAAGCACAGTTTTTGAGTCTATCAGCATTTTTTATTCCATACCAATTTTCAGCATAGTGGAAAATATACACCCTTAGGAGGGTAACAACTATGATAAGTTGTTAAAAAACAAATTAGCTAGGAAAGTAATTTTTTCCATTATGAAAGTGGCTTGTCATATATTAGTGAAATGAATTAGCCACATAACACACCTTTCACAACCTCAAAAGAATTAGATTATGGCCCATACGTTCCCATGTGTAACAGGAGCAGCTCTCCTCTTTGTATGTACACCACTATCACTCCACAGTTTCTGATTATGTTTATTCATCTGTAATCATAAATCACTCGCAAATCAGTCCAAAGCCTAAAACTAACCAAACCAGTTCATATTTCTGGCATAAGCTGTTCTATTTGCACGTCTTTCCAGATGAAAACATTTCTTGTTGTGATATGGAAAGATTCCAGGTACGTGGTGTTCAACGGGAAAAGGTGGCAGCATGACATTCAGGGGGTGTATGTGTGGAGAAGGGAGGAAAAGCAGCAGGGAAAGAAGGGCATGTTTCCTTTTGACCCACTCAGTAGAAGAAAGTTAGCTGAGCAATAGTTTTGATTTAGCACTCTGCTTTCTGGGACTGTTCAGAGTAGAGAAGGCTCAAGGGGGATCTCAGCAATGTATGTAAATACTTGAAGGGAGTGAGTGAAGAAGAGGGGGCCAGGCTCTTTCCAGTGGTGCCCAGTGACAGGACCAGAGGCAATGGACACACACCGAAACACAGGAGGTGCAGTCTGGACATCAGGAAACACTTCTTCACTGTGAGGATGACGAAGTGGTAGCACAGGTTGCCCAGGGAGGTTGTGGAGTCTCTGTTCTTGGAGATACTCAAAAGCCACGTGGACACTGTCCTGTAGGCAACCCCATTTGAGCAGGGTCTTGGACAAAGCAACTTTCAGAGGTGCATTCTGACCTCAACCCTTCTGTCATACTGTGATGCTGCTTTGGTCTCTTGTCAGTGAGAAAGTAAGGTAACTCATTTTCTTGGTGGCTCCCTTCAGTCAGGAACAGCAAATTTTACAAGTGCAAAGGGTGCTCCAACAGTGAGGAGCTCTGGAAGCAACCCCAACAAGCATGTGGAGTTTGCAGTGGGAAGGAATGAAATGGCTGTGAGCACAGGATGGGCAACCTTACATCTGGCAAATTAATGGAAACAAAGCAGGAGTGCAAGCATTAGATACTACTTCCACTTTAGTCACTCCAAGTAACATTCCTATCCTTTTTGTTTCAGGGAGGGAGAGCTGTGACATAACTAATAAATATACTTCAAATATCACCTGATGACTACAGCTTTGTGCCCGTGGCACTGGGAGCACAGGAGGGCTGCTGAGAACTACTGTGAAAGGAGTTACCATGTACAAAAGCAAAGCAGAGAAATCTGGATGCCTGAATTTTTATGACGTTTAATTTCAGTGCAGACTACTGAGGCCTTGGTTGTTTCTGGGGCTATAATCATGGTTTTCAGACTCATTTACCGTGTCATTCTCCTGCCCAGGATGATGATGAGCACATCTAGGGGTGCTTAGGTCCAGGAGCTTTACAGTGCAAGCCCTCAACACTTAGCTCCGTGATTACATTGGGGGAAACATAGAAGAAAGGATCACACACCTCCTCCATCTCCTGTGACTCGCTTGTCGTCTTGAATGGCAGCTCTCCTACATGCTAAGAGAGCTGAGCTGGACTTAATGCAGTGGTGGGCAGCAGGAAATGTTAGAAGGCAAGTTCAGTGCCAGGCTCAACACTGCCTTTTCCGAGAACATCACCTTCCCAGAACAGCTTCCCCTTCAGCATGGCAAGACAGGGTAGCAATTTCTTTTTCTTCCTTAAGTGCATTTAGCAAAAGGGCAGGTTAGAGGAGGCTGAAACTTTCAGAAGCATGAACTCTGTAATGCTAAGCTGAGTTCAAGCAAAGGCACAGCACTTTCAAACCATACCTGGCAAATTAGGGCAACGCTGATAAGCAAGAGACGAAAGTGCAATTGCAGCTTTAATGTAGAAGTAGCAAGTTTCTGTCTGTCATCCGGAAAATACAACATCTTGCCAAGTTACAAAGAAGTCATTTTTTCATACTCCTCAGCAGACAACCCTGTTATCAAATAGTAACGCCCTCCTCTCTCAACGGTGCCGATGGAAGTGGAGAAGGAGCTCTTTTCACAGCTTGCTCTGTTCTGCCTCTGCTTCTAATAAATACAAGTGCCTGCAGCTGAAAAGCTCTGTGCTGAAGTGCCCAGGTTTCTCTAATGGAGACCTCAGAGAAGCACCGCAGGGGTTAACATACTGTTTTGCCCAGGGTATACAAGTGTATTGCAGAAGGCACTATGCAAATAGTGTTCACAGAGTTTATAATTTCCTGTTGGAACAGCAAAGAAAAGAAGGTCATTGATTTAAACCAGAGAATACAAATGATTTCCTGCCCACAAAGCTGCCAAATGCTTGGAGTTATTGATTTTTTTTCCTCCCTACTGCTAACCAAACACTTCTGGTCCTGTCATGGGCATCATCAGCTTATTGACTAAGTAAACATAACGCATTAAGCTGAACATTTTAAAAATAATAGAAAATTACAGTGGCTATAGTAAAAATCCCCATCTGTATTCCAAAAACATCAAAATAAAAAGAAGAGGAAAAACAGTTCCTGTAGTTAATTAACTTTTATGTAGATTCAAGTTTCTGGAATTTAGGTTTGCATCCAAAAGAGAAAGAAAGGAATAAATTCAGACTCGGGGCTGGGGGGAAGTCCTTTCCTATAGAAGCCAAAAAGGGAAGGGTGCAGGGAAGTGGGTACTTCAAATTTTAAGACACCAAGGAAAAGAAAAAAATATTGCAAAATTGAGATTGAAAGGGTAAAAAGGTGTGGCAGCAGCATGGTAAAGGCATGTTTTCGGTTTATTTATTTATTTATTAGCAGCAGGAGGTCTCTGTTGTTGTCTGAATATTTTTTTTTGAAGCCAGCGCTGAGCACAGCTGATGCCTGGCCTTGGAACATGTCAGTTTGAAGATGGCACGTACGGTATTAATAAACGTAGAACAATACTTGCTGTCAAGTTGGTTACAAGGCAGTAGTTCACTGAAGGGGGCCTGACAGTGTCAAAAAGCATTAGAGCAGAGCCAGCAAATGCTTTATACACTACAGCTGAACCCCGAAGATGAATTGATGTCCTGGATCTGACTTTAAGGCATCTGTCTGCTCTAGAGAGCGTGTGTTTGTCTGAAGAAACGGGGAAGCAAGTTGCTTTTCTCCCCTCCTCCAACCGTCTGCCTACACACAGAAGGCGAGGAGCAAGATGTGAGAGAGCAAGACACGAGAGAGCAAATCCTAGTGTGTTGTAAATGGGCAGGGGTCACTGGCAGCCAAACCGATCTTCAAAAGCAGGAGCACACACTCAGGAGAGGTGTCTGGAGGCAGCTGGGAAGAGGAGGGAAACAGGGAGCAGGCTGGGCTGAAGCACGGGGCTGGCTTTCCCCCGGGACCGGCCGTTGCAGGTGCGGCTGCCGGCTGCCCTGGCCCAGAGCCTTGTGGTCCTTGGGTGCGAGAGCTGGCAGAGAGGGAAGAGCCAGGCGGGAGAGACGCGGAAAGTAAACAGATTACAGAGGGATGAAAAAGAAGGGTATCGGCCCTCTACGGTGACTTAGAAGAAGGTGTGACCATTTCCTCCACCCCCTCACACTCATGCCTGTTGACTGAAGAATACTATTAAGGCAGGTAGTCACAGATTATTAATGACCTGTTAACAGCTTCTTTAATTTTCTAATAAGTGCCAACTGTGGCTGCTGTAATTATGCTTCTGGTCCTACAACATGCCCTGTGCCAGGCTGCAAAATACTTTTTTTTGTTTGTTTGTTTCTGGAACACATTGTAGTGCCTCTTAACAGGCGTGTACTGCACATGGGCAATTTCATACCTAAGTAAAATGACATCTTAGGCTGCCAGAGCATTTTGCAGCCATTAAATGTCACTATCTCCCAGCGAAGTAGGAACCAGGAAGTGTTTAGTCACTTATTTTTACACGTGTGAATTGAGACACCCAAAGTTTATGGTTTTAGCCACAGTGATACAGTGAGTCAGTCCCTGAGCTGCTTGTGAAACCTGGGAGCACTGTCTTCTGCTTTACCTGCACCGGTGTCCTATGAACTGCAAAAGCCACAGATAAATTGGAAGTAACACTGAGTAGAGGCTTTTTCTACCTAAGCAGAGGTCCCTGGGAATAACACTGTATAAAAGTGATGGTATCTCTTTATCACTCTTCCTAATTCCCACAGAGAGCTGAGAAGCATGCGATGAGAAAAGAAAACAAAGGCAAACAGAAAAATGTGTGTGTTGTGGTCATAGGCAAAATCTTTCCTCTGCAGCCTTCAATTTAAGAAGTCTGTGGGCATGGATACCTGCCAGCATCATGAGCAGCAGTGATTCCCCGCTAACTGCTCCTGTTGCCTTTTCTAAGGCACACACCTGTGTGTCTCATGGATGCCACATTTGTCAAATTTCATTGTATTTAGCCCTTGGTAATCTAGCTTTGATCAGCAAACCCCACAAACAAGTATTTGAAGATTACAGTAGCAATAAATTTATGAGGAAATAATGTATGTTGTTAGCAGCCTCCTTTGAAAGCTCCTAGTGAGGGGGTGTCTTGAAAATGCCAGATCAAGCAGTCTAATTTTCAGAGACCCCAACACTTTTAGGAAACAGTGATCCTATAAAGCTATCTCCTGTGGAGCCTACACAAAGCACCCAACATTTGGAAAAATCTCACTCGTCAACAGTCCATAAAAGTGTGGTTTGTGCTTTTGTCTGGCTCTTGGACTGTCATGCCTCCATGTTGGGCAAAACCCTATGCTGTAGCTCCATAGGAAAAGCTTGTCCCCATATCCCTAAAGGTGGGTTCACCGTAGGAAACAGCCCTGGAGTTGTGCTGAACCTGTCTAGGCTGGTATGTTTTAGCCTAAGAGAGGGGATGGTGCATGGGCAGGGACACAGCCCGGGTCTCTGGAGACCAAGTGCCTGACCTGGCACAAGCTCCTGTGGAGTTGTTCCATGTTTTTCTGCCACAGTTCTGCAAAATGAAAAAAAAATCCCTGGCTTCCCTAACGGGAGCTATAGAAAGACTTAAGATTTAGTGAATAAAATAGAAATATAATTTAAAGCATTAAACAGATATTTTTTCCCTCCAATCTTTTCCCACACATATTCTGAGGGGGAAAATATGGATTGCAGTCAGCTGCTCTCTGAAATTCCTCTTGTCCTGACTCATTTTTGGAAGAGAAGCTGATTCACATCCAGCTGTCTTGTGAGCATCCAGCATATCTTGTCCTTTTTCCAGGGGTGGATGGATAAACCAGTAGCTACAACTCAGATCAAGTTAAAGGTCTGACTATGGATGCTGCACGTGCAAATGGTGTGGCAGGTTCCACCACTTCCTTCGCCCTTTTGCTCTCTCCATCCCCGTCCTGCACAGCTCTGTGCACAAGTCAACAAGCTGGATCTGTCTGCACAGAAACCTTCAAGTATTATGGGAGTTTCTCTTTTTTTTTTTAATGGTTCCCATCATAGCTTTTTTTCCCCTCTTTGTCTTTCTGAGAATAGAATGTTTCTAGGTCAGAATCCCAGTTGGTCTTGTGCTGGTTTTGGTGTTCAAGGCTTATTAAAAAGTCACGAGTCTTTGAGGTTATTTTTTCCCCTGATCTTAATTTGTGTTAACAGATTTAGCTGATACTGAACCAGTTCTGCTCATATGGGCAGGGACCAACTTCTGGAAACAATCCAGGTGTCCAAGATGTTCGAAAGTAATTAATTTTCCTCTAAGCCTGAGGCTTTAAGTGTTGATCTGATGTGTTTCAAAGGGTCCGCATTTTCTGAAGGAGAGGCCCTTCTGGGGAGGGTGTAAAGATGGGCACCTGAAATAAACCTACCACATCTGAGAATCTGGGGGGATTTAGGGCAGCATTTTATTTATTTTGATTTTCAGTAGGAAGTATGAATAAGAGCAAGGTGTTTGCGAAGTGCCAAAAGTATGTATTGCCATAATACTATATAATAAAAGGTATTATATCGGCAAGATGTTTGCCCTTAGGGCTGCAAACCTTCCCGTCTCCACTGATATTTTTAAGGGCTTTGTAAATTGGGCTTCATGCTGATCGCATCAGAGTAGATCCCATCTTTTACCCCCTCATTTCTAGAAGCAGACACATTAACAAGGGAACAAGCATCATATGATTTCCACTGTGTTCCTGCCTTAAACATTTTTTCCCTGTGACAGCCTCCCCGGGCATTCAGTTCCTTTAGGTCACCACTGCATGCCTATTCAGTGCATGCATGTGGATCGTATTATTGAAGTTAGTACGACTGCAGACAGGCATAAGCCTTATCAGGATTGGAGTTAGAGACTGTAAGCTGCCAGGCAGGTACTACCTTTTAATGTAGCCACGTACAACTCCTAGCCCAATGACATCTGCAGTACCCCGAGAACTTCTGTGACCATTTTCTTTTCTCTTTACAAGGTAAAATTTGGCCTGTTTGCCAAAAAGGTTATTACAGACTCCTTATGTTTCTCAATGGTTTTCGTCTGTCTCAGGATTTAGTAAGTTGACTTAAAGCTTGATACATCATTGGTTTTGGCTTTGAGAACTTGCAAGTGTCTTTGGCATAATTAATATATTGGACACAGCTAAATGGCCACAGACTGGCATGGAAGGTAAGTAGTTACCACTGCATAGAAAGCATTGCAAGCTCTTTGATCTTTCCATGAGAAATGGTTTGGTACTCTTCACTGATCACTTACCTTGCAGATTCAGTGAACCTATTCTATGAAATTACATACAGAAAATACACATCAACCTACGAAAACCTCGCTGGCTTGACAGTCCACTTCTGCTAAGCTCCTGCTAAGCATAGAATATTATTTCCTCTCATCCTGACAGCACGAGACAGTCAGAGGACTATATTTGCTATTTCTTTATGGGATTCGTTTGTTTTAAGGTGCCCATTTGGAAGCGGAGCTGTGACGCAGGCTGTGGGGGAGGCACAGGTACAGCATGGAGTAATTCTTTGAACACTGAATTGCAGCGCTCGTGACCTCACTCCCAGCAGGAAGGAAGCCAAGAAGCTGTCCTACAGCTTTCTCAGGTAAACCACTCACTGTTAAAACCGTAAACACCACTGGTCTTTTCTTCTTGTACCTTGGATACAACTTTTTCATTTTCCCTACTTAGGAATTCTTACTTTTAAATCCTTTACAATTCACCTCTAAAACACAAAAGGTGAACATTCACACCTTCCCCCCCCCACCGTGGTGTCCAATTACAGAAACATACAATTAGGGATGTTAATGACAGATTATTAGGCATTAACCTATAACGCCGTGCTCCAATAACAACAAAAATGGGTCACACTGTAGGTATAATTATCCTGCTTCTCCAAGAACACGCCCTAGTTGTGCCTCTTTTTTGCGATATCCCTCCTATTTCAGTACAAAGCATGGGCAGCTCTAGTTGTCTTGGAGGATGATCTGGAGTGGGTTGTTGAAGTGGTTGGCACAGGAGCCTAGCCTTCAGAAAGACTGAACAAACTAGGATGTAGCATCTGTGCAACTCGGGAGAAAAACAAAAAGGGATTTAGGCACCTGCTTGCGTTACCTGCAGTTGGGAAAAGAGACTCCATTTCACAGAGGGATAAGCTAAGGGCTGGCAGGAGAAGGCTCCTCGGACAATGGGAATGGTGGCCCCACCATTTCTGTCTGCCCGGCCCTGGGGTGCTGCAATAGTCTGCAGGGGAAGAGAGCACGTAGAGGGGTGAGAGTAGGCAAGCAGGAGGAAAAGAAACACAGTCCAGGCAGGCCTGCTAGATGAGACTAGCTTAAGAGCACATGAGGAAGTAGACTGTGACAGTGGAGTACAGAATATACAGGAAGATACATATAAATACATGAAAATGTGCAAATGAGAGCACCCAAGAGAAGAGAAAAAGGAAATGAAACTAAAATACCTGTAGGTATCACATCAGGCTTTGCACTAACTGGGCAAGCCACCTGCGTTGTAGTGTGTGCCCCAGGAGATGCGATAGAGCTACAAGAGTGAGGTGGCTCTTTAGAGTCCTTATTGACTCTGTGGGCTACTTGCACTTTCCTTGTTAATTAGCTAGCAGCAAAGGCAGAGAAGAAATGTATCACGGTTTCCTGGCTTGCCAGTGATCTTCCTTATACATAGAGTTGTCCCTTCGAAGCATTTTAACCAGGGTAAGTTACACCTTTCTAAGAACCAATCCACAGGGCAACCCTTGAAGGGACCATTTCAAAGCTGTCTGAAGGGGTGTTTGACCTCCTTCAATGCCAAAATATGCCTTTTCGGTGCATGTAGAGAAGAACCACTGAAAAAAAAAAAAAAAAAAAGAGCATTACTTCTACTTTTCATTTGACTGTGAAACTTCTTTTCTACAAGTTACTGAGCTTTGTGTGAAGGCATCTCAGACATGCAAAGGTCAGTATTTCTGAACACGCTGGCATTTGCGTCCCCTCCAGAACAATTTGTGTTGCTTCTCAGAAATGAGGTAAACAGTACGTTGAGACTATTTCTGTGGAAAAGGGGAAAGTAATATGCTGAAGCGGTGATCCTGTCAAAACACTTCAGCTGTGCTGTCCTCTCTTTGGTGACAGTACTGGTGAGGAAGGTGTTTTGTAGACAGTGAGTGTCAGGAAGCCGTCTCTAAAATGTTGTCCTGGCATGTTACTAGTGTAGAAATTGGCTCACACCCAGACACCTGATGGATCTTAGAAGATCAGTGGATGGGCAAGAGAGCAAGAATGTGAAATCCAAGTGTGTGCTTGTGCTTGTGTGTGGTTTGCCTGACATTACCCTCATCTGTCTTTTCCACGACTACCTGGGTGGCTTGCAGAAAAGCTGGACCTGGGGCTGACTCAAATCCCACCAGACCAAGGGAGAATTTCATTGCAAAAGGGTTAAGCAACAGTTCCAGCCTTGAAGTTAGACGCTCAGGTCTGTGTCCAGGCCTATTGATAAATTTTAATTTAATTTAATAGTAGTCTTTTGCCACATGTATTTAGCGTGTCATGCCAGCACCTCAGGATTACAGTGGTTCAAAGTGGTTTACAGTCTCCCAGCTGCTTGTATTGGTGGCCTAGCAGTACTATTGTCTTGGCCAGGTGGGTAGGCAGTGGCCAAAATTGAGACAGCCAGCAGTGATCACACCACGTTTTCATGGATTAAGTTGCTTCTCCCTGATTTCAGACCAATATTATTGTTTACTGTTTGGTCTGCGATAGTACCCATAAGCTGGAGGTGCTGCTGGAGCTTGGTAGTGCCAGGAGGAAGAAAAGAAGGAGAAGAGGGAGGAGGAAATGCCTTCCCCAAAGAACCTGCAGCCCCAGCTCCCTCTTTCGGGTCTGAGGCAAACAAAATGAATGTTTGTGGCTTGGTGAAATTGCCCTTGCTTCACACCGCTACCTGCCTTTGCTGGAGGTGCCAGCGACCAACCTCTGACACACGAATTTCAGGGGCCAAAACAGAAAATCTGAATTTGCCGAAATAAGGGAGAATCTCTTAAGCCCAGCCTATTTTTAGAAGCTCCTCTGTGGAGAAAACAAAGTCTAATTAAAACCAGACTTGATTGTTGCAGTAACCCACCATTTCACATGTGACCCTGGGAGTCTTCCACCTCGCTGGGTTTGTTAAATCTTGTTAACTGCCCGAGTCCTGCTTAGTTTCAAAGTCAAGGCTGAATACTACCTTCTCCACCGTTTCTTACTATTTTCAAGGCAGAAAATGAACATCACCCTTACTGGAAAGCTCTGCTCTTTGATATTTCTTTTTAGAGAACACTACTTATAAATGATTTAATGTCTCTTCTTTTGGTAACTGTAGGCTCAGTGTTTTTGTGTGCTAATCTCCACTTAATCTTTCTTACCGCTGTAAATAGCATGGGGGAAAGGATGTTTTTGCAGAATAGTGTAGCTTGGAAATTGTGCTTTTTTAATTACCGGCTGTGAAGAAATCTGTTTTTCCACCAGTTGACTTGCATACTTTTTTGTGGTATAACAGGTTCTGAGGGGAGATCTCGGCCACAGATAGCAACGTGCATTTCCCTTCTTAGGAGGCAATTGCACGTTGTATCTGCAAGATTCTCCTAAACGCGCTGTCTTACAGTTCCCCCCTTTGTGGCAAATGAAGTCGAGGGGGTTTGGTCCTTCCCTTTAATAGCCTCTATGCTTTGCAGGCTCTAGGTAACTTTCAGAAAGGCTCAGGAGAGGAGGCACACCTCTGGGCATGGCTCTGCTTCCCTTCCCTAGCGAGCCCCCTCCACGGCACTTCAGCAGAGCAGCAGATGGGAGCAGCAAACGCGGTTGGCCAGAGGGCAGAAATCCCAGCGATGAGTCCTCGCAGGCACCACCTCCAAGCTAGGTTTGGGCCTTCCACAAGCTGACACCATTAGTATCTCCAGCGTTGTCATTCAGAAGTCAGCAGCAGCTGCGTGCCAAAGGATGCTCAAGGATTTGGATGCAACATCCAGACATCCATGCCGCAAGGGACCGTGATGGCGGGGAAGGGGAGCCCCAGCCCCGCTGTGAGGGGTGTACTGGGCTCTGTCCTTGCTTTTGGAAGCTAACAGGGAAGTGTGGGATCAAAGAGAAGGTTTGCAAGGTCTTGAGAGGCTTGTTAAAACGTGTAGCTCTGAACCTCTTCCCACAACGTGCTGTCATAGGCCTGGCTTGGGAAAACAGCTGAGAAACAAGTGGGAGGAGAGCGTCAAGGGCTGGACTAGGGATGGGGTGGTCCAGCCTGCGGGCTTCCCGCTGCCACCGAAAGCAAGCAACGGAGATATTCTCCCTGTTACAGCAACGAGGAGCTTTGCAGAGCCGGTGAGGGCTGCACAACTTGGGTGCACCTCAGCCCCCTACGTCCCTGCCTCTCCGGGAGCAGCAAGGGGCGATGGCTGTGGGCAGGGGCAGTGCATCAGGAGCAGCCGGGCGTGCTGCACGGGGCAGCAGCTCTTCCCAGGATCACCACTTCTCTGCTGCCGAGAGCACGTGCTGCATGAAGCGACTCTTACTTTCCGTCCCCCTCGCTCGGGTGCGAGCAGACCGTGAGACCCAAACAAACCTCAGATCCGCTGGCAGCGAGTTGCAGAGCCTCTAATTTCTGCCCTTTGCTGGGCAGGTCCCCTGAGCCTTGGTCAGATCCTCCTTGCTGGCGCAAGAGCTCTGCATCTTCCCACTTTTACTCAACAAACTACCAGCAGCAACCCCCACAGCCAGACATTTGTGTTCAGTTACCCTGAATTTCATCACAGAAAGCAAATTTTGCCTGGCCGCAACTTTGAAAGAGGCAAAAACAAATGCCGCGAGTCACAGCCTGTTATATCTGATCCACTCTTCAGATTTACCACCTTTTTTTTTTTTTTCTTTTTTTTTTTTTTTTTCATTTCCTTCCTGTAATGTGGTCTTGGTGTCAGATCATTCTCCTGGCCAAACAGATCTTACGGGAAACTGCATTATTAATCAGCTTTTTCAGTTTGAGGGGGGAAAATAATGTTATAAATTGCAATTTTAGGAAAGTTGCAAACACAAGTGGGTGAGCAGAAAGCTCTTACTGTCCTCATGAAATGACTGCCACCGTTTCTTTGTAAAAACACACTTATACTTCCTCTGCTGCAACTTCTCACGCTGCTCAAGTTCCCCAGGGGAAGTGAAGAAGAAAACTCATCAGCGAAACAGGTCAGGAGTGAGAGAGATGATGACTGACTGTACCAATGGCACAATTTGGGGCTTTTGGGGTAATAAAATAGACATAACACCCCCATGCTTTTCTGGGTTGCTACCATTACTGACCATCCATAAATTTTAAGTAAATTAAACAGTAAACTCAAATATTAAGAGCTCTTAAAATCAAAGGAACTAGTTAACAAGGAGAACCTTCGACTAAGGGATAGCATGCGTTACGATCGAACGCTAGTACCAACAGGGCAGTAGCTGAAAGTTGTGCCTGGGCTGCACTCATGGTTTTCCCTGGGCTAGAGGACACAAGAGATGGTGTATGGGCACGTCAGAGCGCGGCGAGTGGAGGGCGGCTGCCCATGTCACCCTGACCTGGCCACGACGGGAAGGAGCCCTGGCATTTGCCTCTCCACCCTCTCTAAACTGTGGTTGTCGGCTGAGCAATACCTGACTAACGCATACCTGAGGGATGCTAGAGGTGCTTTTCACAACAGGGCTCCAACGGCCTTGCCCAGGTCACATTTCTGTGACTGGTTTGGGCCTTGGTTTATTAACCAGCTCTCACCGAGTGTAAGACTTAAGTCACAGCACCGTGGCACAAGGATCGAGGTGTGAAGCCTCTGGGATTAGGAATCCCATACAGCTTCCCTAAGTATCCAGATGTCCCTGTGCCTACTTCGAAATGGGCAGCCTTTTGCTAATTTTTCTTTTTTTTTTTTTTTTTTTTCTTTTTTTTAATTGCTGTCATCCTCCCTTCCATCCCAGCTGCAAGAGAAGCGAGAGCAGAAGCCGATACGGATGCTCCATCAAGTCCCATCCTGCCACAGCCTGAAGCAATGTGCTCCTCTCCCACTGACAGCTCAGCTCCTACTAACCTGCATTAGCTCAGGCTCTTCAGACCACACAGTCCCCCTCTCACCCAAACCGTGGAAGCGTTTAGTAGATTGACTTTCCCAGAGGTGTTTCTTATTCTGCGGGGCCATTTATTCAAATGACAAAACAGTGACTCATTAAAAGGGCAAGCTTAGGCTGGGGGGGGGGTGTGCAGGAAGGAAGAAAAATAGCTTGCAAGAGCTTTCCTGTTTATCCACGGCTTGGGAAAAAAAACAGCACAACAGAATACACACACCCTGGCTCCATTATCTTTGCTGGCACAGCGCTGGCTTGGCTCTGTCCCTTCCCACTCTGGGCCAAATGCAGCCCTGCTGCGAGCGTGTTTACTTTAGAGGCTTTTACTCGAGAGAGAAAATCCGGCCCCGGGAGCCTGAATGCTCGCAGTGTGCGAGCGAGCGCGCGGGCGCCGGGAGCCCCTGCGACAATGCGCTGCGGCGCTGGCCCCCGGCCACGCTGGGGAAGGTCATTTTCTTCGCGGCAATTAGCAAAGTGGTGGCATCGCTCAAAGAAGTTGAATAAACACATTCAACCCGGCTGGGTCCCCGGTTTGCTCTGTTCTCACCACCCCTTCCTTCTGGGCGCGCGGTGGGGCCCCGGAGCAGGAGCCCGATGATGCCTGTGCGCCGCGCTGTCATTCAGGCCTGGTTGGAAAGGGCTTTTAGGAAAGAGGAGTGTGTGGGGGGGAACAGCCCTTTAGCTTTCTCCTTTTACAACAAATGTCTTCCCTTTTTCTTTGCAGGGAGGAAAAATGCCAGCTTCTCTAAGAAAACTGCAGCAAATGGCTGTTTTCATGGGACTGTTCAGCGGTGGGGGATGCATCGTGATGTATAATCTTATGCAAAGTAAGTCTTGGTGCTGTTAGCAACCTTATTTCCCCTCTGCCCCTTTCATTCGCTTTTGTGTAGCGGGGAGAATAGCGGCATGCAGGATGTGAAAAGCAGATGAAGTTAAAGGAAGTGTGGCTGAGCCTCTGGGTTCTGCCTCCGGGCTCTGCTTTGTTCAGCCCCAGGGCTGCTGCTCTCCTAAGCGCTGCTGCACACATTTCCAGAGGTGGGTAGTACACAGGGAGCAGGCTGCTGTGCTCAGGAGAAAATCTCTTTTCTGGGGGTGTTTCCTGAGGGCGAGGGCAAAGTGAAAGCTTGGGCAGTAATGCAAGTTTCATTTCTTACTGAGATTTTACAACTGGGCAGGAAAAGAGGACCATCTGCAAGAAGGTATTAAAGTCTAGCGGTTTTATCTGTAAATCTCTCCGCGATGCTGGCCCTTACACACAACACGCCCCTGAGGTGCTAAGACATTATTAGTTTCTCCTGAATGAAGGGCAGATAAGAGTGCTCAGCACTGAGTCCAGGACAAGGAGAGAAAAGCCAGACAAGTGCCATTTCTTTTTATAGACAGCTCTAGTTGCTACGTGTCTTTGGCCAAGAATCCAAATGATAGATGTTTATTTTTTTCTAAAATTGTTTCTAGATATTTAGTATCAGACCAGAAAGAGGCTTTGCCTCTCTCTCAGGGGGTGCTATAGGCCTCTTGGCCCTATGCCTGTCCCTTGCTGCTCCTATCAAATTATACTGCTTTTCACCTACCCTTATATCAGAGGATGCTGCCAGAAAAGTGTGGCCAAGCCTGTTCCTCAAGCCCTCCGATAAGCTCTGAAACCTCCCCTTCGTTTTACACGTATTAATAACAAATCAGACAAGGCTGGGAAGCAGGCTTTAATTTTAGGCCCCTCACGCCCTCGAGCTCTGGAGTACATGACAGATAGACGATCGTCTTACGCTTTAAAATATTGAATCTGGCTTTAACAAGGACATTAGCATTTTTTAATTTTCAGCTTCAGCAGTGTTACCTGGAAGTCTCGGGGGGGAAGACGTAGTCACGCCCCCGTGCTGTACAGCAAGTCAAGGGCTCCTTCCCTGCATCACTCAGCTGTGCACGCAAGTGGTGCAGCGTGGTGGCCGGTGCAGTAGCTGTCTGATGGCTTGGCGACAAGCCGGCCGGGCTGCTGACGGGATCGCTTTCTGCTGCGGTGTGTGTCCTTCTGGAGGCTCCAACAGAGGAGCCTTGCTGGGACCCTTCCTCCCTTGACCTTCGCCTAGGGTCAGCCCGGTTCCTTCTGCTGTCCCAGTGCACGGAACTGGCCCATGCTGGGACCTGTGAGTAGCAAGTGGCTTCCACAGTGATGGGAGCAGGGGGAGCGGGGCGCTTCCCTCCCCTTCCTTCGGGCTGAAAGGAAGTTTGCATGCACACGGTCTCTGGGGAAGCTTGTTCAAACACTCAGGTAATCCTATTTCTACTCTCTTCACCTCCACACCCTCCTCACAGGAGCAGTCTCCCCAGCCAACCCCAGCATGCTTTCAGTGCTCGTACTGCAGATGCGTGGACAGACAGATTAGTTGGGCATTTTATGTCCTGTATACGAAATGCTAACAAGGAACGGCTGAGAAGGAGCACCAGGGAACTTGGACTTGTTTCCCCTCCAACCTGCAGGATGAGCACAGCATGCTTGTAATGTGGTCTGGCTGGCTGCTTGCCACGATCCGTAGTCACTAAAGGGCTGGTGTGCTGCAGCCCCTTTGGCTGGAGCTCCTTCGGATGGCCCAGGGGGCCGGGGAGGACCAGTGCAGGCTGCAGCCTAGCAAAGCTGTCTGTATGCCAACTGGATGCTGCCCGCTCACAGGGAATGCCTCTCACTGGGGAGAGGGGGCAGCATCCTTCTGCCTCATGCTCCAAGAGTAATACTGACAGGCAGGAGACCAAGAAACAAACCTTACACCTTGTTTTAAACTCTTTGGAAGGTGAGTGCAAAGTTGCCAGGGTAGGATTTTCACACGTGCACGCTCTTAGCTTAATTCTGCCCTTCTTGATGTCAGGAGAGTGAAGTTAGGCTGGCGTGAAGCACCTCTAGAAGTCTCAGCAGGCAAGCCATAAAACTGTTGATAAGCAAGCGGCTGCCTCCGTCAGGAGGGCCGGCCCATTCGCAGCCTCACAGCTCGGCGCTGCGCAGTGGTCGCCCATGGACGGCATTTCCCAGCTGTACAGACACTGGTAAGGAGCAGTTTTCTACAGTTGTCCTCCACACACCAGCACTGCAGCCTCCAGTCTACTGTGCTATTGTTGCTGCTCGACCATTAACGCCGGCGGGGCTTCTCTGGGCCTCCCTTTTAACGCGCCCATCAGGAGAGCTGCGGCGTCACGGCTGCCACTTGAAAAGCTGTATCAAGGCCACAGCAGCAGCAGTTCCTGTCTCACACCAACGTCTGCAAAATATTCTCCGTTCTTAAAGCTTTTTCTCTAGATCCTTTTAAAAAAAAAAAAAATATTGAGAACATTTTCAGATATTCATCTTCATGCTTTTTTTTTTTTTCCTTTCCTTTTTTTTTGTTCCTTTTAGATGACGTACAAACGTATGAAAAGCAGGGAGACAAAGCCATAAGCTGAACTGTGTATCAGTATGGAACAGGCTGTATTCAGAGCCCTCTCCACTTAAAAGAGCTGAATAACATTACAGTTCAGCACTGCTTCTCTGGTGTAAGGGTGTGTTTCCTCCTGTAGACAGATTTCTCCTAATTAATAAGTTTTGGACTGTTTTTCGGGGAGGATGTGGTACTCTGGAGGAAATGGGGTTTTTTTCTCTTATGTTTTGATTTTAATTGGGGACTCTCCTCACTACCCTGTTTCTCTCACCTAGAAGGTTTTGCCAGGACCCAGTATTACCAGCAGGCTTTGGAGCAACTGAACAGCAGTCCTGAGGCCCTGGCAGCCCTGGGTGCTCCCCCTCTTAAGGTTCACAACATCCGACTGACGGATGGGAGCAATCGCGTGGACACGGAAAGAGCACAGGTAACGCCGGGGCGGTGGCGTCACCGGGTGGCTTCCCGAGGCTCCGGGTGACCGGAGAGCGGCTGGGGGGGGATTGTCAGCAGGTCACGAGTCCCCTGGGGGCCACCGGAAGGCAGTAGGATGGGATGCCAGTTGATTTGGAAGAGGAATGGATTGCCAGAGCGTCAACCTACGCTGTAACGTGAGGGATTAGAGACGGCGAGAGTGTCACGTTGTGCTGTATGGGCACATCACGGAATGTCAAGGGGCCTCCCAAGCCAGTCGATCCCCCTCCTGCTACTGTAAACCCCCCCAAAACCATTTTCAGAAATAGATCCGATCCAACCTTAAAACAAGCAGCTGCCTCTCTCTCTCCCCCCGCCAGATAATTCCCGCGCTGGTTTTTAAAGCTTTGTTCAGAACGGAGTTTCACAGCCGCTGACGAGCAGGGCTGCGGCCCGGCACAAGCGGTGTGGATTTTTCGGAAGCACCTGCCGGCCTGTGGCCGGGCGCTGGGGTGAGGTAGCGCCCGGGGAACGCTGCGCTGGGGCGCTGAGGTATTGCACAAGGCTGCCTTGCGTCAGCCCAGGGCTGGGCCGAGGCAAACTTGGCGAGGGCAAGCCCGCTTCCACGCCGAGCTGCTGCCTGGAAAGGACTTCCCAGCTGTGTTTTTACCCCTTAATCCAGGACTGGCTGCCCTCCCCCTGGTTTTGCTAGGGATGCAGAATGTCCCTAGAGACCTCTCCAGGCAACTTCCCGAGGGGTCTCGTCACATTTGAATCATTTTGTATCTCCCAGGGAGTTGTTGTGAGCCCTGGGGACCAAGCAGGGGCAGTCAGGAATGGGGCAGATGGTGCAGTGAAGGAGAGGGGCTGTCAGGACACAAAAAAATTCAACCTTCAACCGACGCACAGAAAATGCCACTTGCCATCTCACTCCAACCAGGCCTCACCCACGTGACACCCTGGGCCAAAACGTTTCCCAGGTTTTAGAGATTTTACCAGGCAGCGTATCCAAGGACAAAAACGTGGGGAAGACGCACCACCTCTTATACTGATTGAAAAGATGAGGAGAACCTGTCCCACCGATTTATTCCTGTGTCACTGTTGAAGAATGTTGGGCGCTCGGGTGACTCAGGGTGAAATCAAACCCTGCCTTCTGCTGACCTCACCCAAGACACGAACCGCCAACTTTCTTCTCCACAATTTCACATTCCTGAGCGTTCATGTCCTCACAAAATAAACTAGTTAATCATTAATAGATCAATTTACTGACGCCACGACATTCCCAGCTCCTGGCCCTGTTGGAGAGCCCCTGGCATTTTCCCCTCTGTGATTGCAATACCATCAGCAAACGCTACACCCGACAACATTTCTTTTATTCAGACTTTATACCGAGTGCCATTAGCTGTGGTCAGTGCTGCAACTTCTAGCTTTGTTTGTTAAACAACTGAGGGGTAGAATTTGTGACACCGACAAAAGTCACTGAACATCCCATTGCCTCGATGCACGTTAATGGACTGATCTGTGGAGGATCTCAACCTACAGGCTCGTTAGGGTTATGGGAAGCTCCAGCACAGTGCAGATCGCCTCCGGATCACCACGCGTGCTGGTAAGGAGAGGTGTTTGCTCGTAAATAGTTCAGAGAGCGGGTGGTTTTCCCTGGGGGTTGCAGCTGTAACACAGTACATTCTTTCAGCAGAGAGAGATTAATGTATGGCAGAACAGGCACACTTGTATAGCCAATCACACCTTAGCCGTTAGAAAACTGTAGTGAAACTCTGAAAGATCTTAAAAAAAATGAGTTTAAGTTAAAAGGGAGGTGTTGCATCTTTGACTGTAGAAGGAGGACCTGTCCATTTCAGTTACATGCTTCACTGAATCTTTTACATCTGCAGATAAAGTTACCAGTATCTGGAACAAAATCATCGGGGTACCTCTACATTAACTCAGAGATGGACCACTCCCGCCAACGGTGTGTACTGGGGAAGGTGCTGGAGAACTACACAGATGCGGGGAGAGAAGTGGTAGGAGAAAAGAGTGGGGCAGGATACCTGTGTTAGTAATCCATGTGGGTGAGATCATGCACACCAAGGAAGAGGAAATTCATGTCTGAAGGTCTTGTGAAAGGTTATTACCATCATTATGACCAAGAATGTAAATTAGTTGAGAAATACGTTGAATTCATCCCTACGAATACAAATAGCAGAACACCACGAGCCATTAATTTGTGTGAAGTGTGCCCTGCAAACTACATCTCAGTGTATATACACACACAGTGAGCCAAGGTAACCTACTGTCCTCTCCCACCTCACCTCTCCAAGAAGGTGCAAGACCACTGAGCAGCAGTCTTTAGTCCAGCGTTAGGTATTGCAGTAGGGGAATTATTTGACACATAACATCAGAGCCTGGCGAGATGAGCTAGAAACCGTGCAGGATTTTTTTCAAGCTATCCAATAAACACGGTATTTAGAGTCAAAAAAAAGTGCTACAACAGCTATATTGCAGTAGAAGGATGCTGTGACTCCACATCATATAGAGCGGCCTTGTATTTTTGTAGTACTGAAGGCTGAGAACCTCCCTTGTCAAGGGTAAATTGTTTTCTAGAGCTAAGCAAAGAATTATTAGATGAATTCAAAGTCCATCTTCCATTGCAAAAGAGGAAATTTCGTTAAACGCAAACCTCCTCACATGTACTTGTTCTTGGAGTTTGTTAGGCACTTCTGTCAGCTCTATTTAGAAACTGAAAGCTACAACATTTTTGCTCAACTACCACCAGCCATATGGTCATGTTTTCTTTCCATAATGAGACGAGCACGAATTACTGGATTTCTCTTCCACGTAACTATGGGGAGTAAGACGTAAAATGGTGGGAAGAAGGCTCTAGACTGGGACTTGAGAGGCTCCTCCTCTCTAGTGACCAGAGATGCCCCCGGAGGTCCCCAGCCACCTTCCTGGCACACCTCCACGTCCCTGGGGGCCTGGGCTCTGATCTCCTCCCAGATGGAGGGAAACAACAGTTCCCTCCCGTTTCACCGAGTTACCGTGAAGAGAACTGGAGATCGCAAGATGTTAAACTACGGCAGTAACTGAAGTGCATACATATCTCTCAGAGTTCTGTTTTAAACGGAGGTCTCCGTGCATTTCTGCAAGCTTAAGGGTTAAAAAAAAAAAAAAAAAAGCATCTTTTTTAAAAGGGTTTGTGGCAGACAAATCTGTCAGACTTGACCATCTCCGCCTGCGCGTGGGGTCCTGCACGCTTGGGGCTAGGCAGGATTTGGTGTCCTTGCACCTGGCTGAGGAACCGGGAGTGAAATGGCTGGTTCCCATCTGTTCCGTTGAAAATAAGCCCCTGAGACCCCCAGTAGGCATAACAAACGCATAAGCAGGCCATCGTGGTGGGGCTTTGCAGAGTGTGCATGTGGGCATTAACAGTGGAGACCGATAGAGACACCGGCACGTGATGCCAGGAGGTGAGCGCTCCGGGCACGAGCAGTTGAGGCTCCTGAGCCACTGAACTGCTCCGGACTGCAAGGGCGCAGTCTGTCCGTGGTGGTTTACTTCGTTACGTGGTTAGTTAAAAAAAAAAAAGCAACTGGAAAAAGGGAAACGTGGAGCGCGTGAGCTGGTTTGAACCTGGAGGAGGTGGCACCGAGGCGCGGGGATGGCGAGGGGGCCCGGAGGCAAGGGCGGCCGAGGCCCCAGTCCTGCAAAACGAGGCTTGTGTGCCCCACAGCGAGCAGAGGGAAGGGCCGAGGCCCCAGGCCACGCAGAGGGGAGCGAGCACTTGCTCCTTCAGGCCCTGTTCTAAGCGAGGCAGTTGCTGGTCCCGGGTCGGAGGGAGGCAGGGGGCTGGCGAGCGGAGAGCCCTGCCGCAAACCCATCGCGCAGAGGTGTGGCAGCCCAGTTCCCTAATTGTATGGACTCAGCACCGACTCCAGCAAAACCAGAGCTGGGCGAGCACCGGGAGCTTTTGATAAAATCCAATCTTAGTACCCCAAAATAACAGTCCCTCCCAGCTGGGAAAGAAGCATGAGAAGTCTGACAGAAGTAGGTTTGGAGCAGAGCGCAGAGGAAAGAAAAGGCTCCCCCCCCAGCCTCCATCAAAGGCAGTTTTCCTTCCCTGAGTAACCACTGTCATACCCTGTCGGGGTTTCAGCGGTCACGTTGAGTGATCACGCAGTGTTCAAGCTCCTCCAAGCCAGGATAATTCCTTAGCAACACGGTCTGGCTCCAAGGCTGGAGAGGAGTGGAGCAAGGAATGCGCCCGCAGGATGCAGAGGAAGAAAGGCACTGGCTCGGGGGGAGGAATGTCCTCTCTAAAAATAGCTGGCAGGATTTTATTTGGGTTACAACAAATAGGAACATGCATCCCAGACCTTTAAGTCCGGGCTCTGCTACGCTATTAGGGAAAACAGCTTTCAGAAGCTGGCACTTGCAAACCAAGTTTTAAGACACTTGAGAGAATTTTTAAAGGCGATGAATGTGTGGAGTGATTTGTTTCGCTGTGCCAGCTGCTTCTACACTGACTTTACTACTATATTAAAAGTGATTGAAACAAGTTAAAAATCTCTTTGGTTTGTGTCAGCTGGTGCCTTCAGGATGTCACCTTGAAACTGCGGGATGGTCAGAATATTCCTGTTTACCACTCCCCAGTGGAAAGCACTGGTGTGCAAGAAGGCTAAAAATCAAAGGCAGCTGCTTCTCCACCCCCCGCTGAGCCGAAGGAGCCATTAATGGATCGCATCCCGCTGTGTCCGTGAATGTACACAGTTGTCACAAGTGACAATTTCACTTAAGTGGGTGCTCTCAGGACAATTTTCTCCCCAAGATTGACCTCATCATTCTCATAATTGTAATTTCTTTCTTTTGCTGGTTTATTCCATGTGTTCAGCTGAAGCCTAAAATAAATATCTTGCAAAAGACTTGCTGTTCCAGCGAAGTCATGTGTTATGCCCTGTGTGTGCTGTTATTATGAATTTGAAATAAATAAACAAACTGCCAGGAAAATGAACTTTTCTACATTCGCAGACCAAAGTCAGGACAGTTGGGCTGCTCTGTCATGGCTAGAAGACTAAGTCAGCTTCTCAAAACGATTCCCTTGCTGCTTCAGTTTTCCCCCATTTCTCAGCGAGGTGTGACCTAAAGCAGGAGGGACCGAGCGGCCACGGTGAAGCCCAGCAGCCCCCTCCACTCCCGGTGAATGAGTCACACACCAGGGAGATCTGCACCCTCACAGTTATCATTAAAAAGCTCATGACATAGCCGAGGCTCCTCAGTGTAAGCGATAAATTCCAGGAAGAGACTCGCTACTCGTGCTGCTCACGCAGAAGGTTACTCAGAAGCAGCCAGTGCTTCACAGCAGCGCTGCGCACCAGGGTTTGCGGGGGGCATGTTTGCTTGGGGAGCAAAACGGGGGGTGCAGAACAGGTGAAACGCTGCCACGGTTCACTCCGACTGCAGCAAGAGATTGCGGTTGTGCCTTGATCCTGTCAGTCGGGTAGGGGATTGCCTGTCACCAGAAGCAAGTTGAGGAATAAGAAAAAAAAAAAAACAAAGCAAAAACAAACCCAAACAAAACTACCAAACATCACAACCCCCCCCACACACACAGTTTTCACTTTCTGCCCCAAACTGCACATTTGAATAATTGCAAAGCCTGAGAGAGTGAAGAGACACAAGTAAATGTCCTGCCCTCATACCTTGAAATAACATGCAGGCCATTAGGAATGTCCACAAGGGAGAGTATTTTGGATTTACCATAACAGAGGAGCTTCATCAAACTGCAGCTAGGGAAAACCCATAGCTTATAGCACTCAATTCTCTTCCCCCCTCCCTGCCCCACCTCCATCTCAACATCCATATTTGAGTCCTAGAAATCTGCCAAAGGTTTGCAAGAGTAATGAGTACTAGATAAAGAAGGGAGAGCTGCAGCAAAGGATCATTAAAAATCAGTGAACATTTTCCTGCTCAACAGTGACCCAGCAAACTGGGCGAGGTGCCTTTTGAACAAGTCTGAAGAGCAAATGCCAAAAGTAAAAAGAAGGAGATACTGAAGGACCACAGCAAAGGCATCTTGGACAAATTATTTTAGAAGGAAACAATATACATGAGCTTTAGTCTGGGATTCACAAAGAGCTGCCAAGACAGACAGCGCTCGTGAGACCTGATCCAACCTGCAAGAATGCCCAGCACGCTGGGGGAAGGATTAGGATGAATCAAGGAGAGTCCGTGTGCCAGCTTTAAGACTGAAATCACTGCAAAACAAAATGCAAACCGCGTCAGCTAAAAACATCAGCCTTGTGCTGCTGCAGCCCACCTAGCAAGGAAAGCGTCTGGGAGGGGTGGAGATCTCCCAGCCACCCGGCGTCTCAGAGCTTGGACAACTCTGGCTTTTGGTCAATGAGGGAGTTTGGTGGGGAATCGGAGAGTTGACGAGGACAAACGGAACCAGCCCCTTCCCATCCATTGGTTATCACGGCCCTGGCAGCAGCTTTGACTCGTTTCCCCTCTCCAAAGGAGCTGAAGCTGTGGAGAGCAACCCCAGCCCGTGCGATCCCTACAGCTGCGTTAGGAGCAGCTGCCACAGACCTGCCTGCTCTCACCACCGCGTGCCCAGCAAGCCTGCGAGACCCACAGCGGCTGCCAGGTGCCCGGGAAGCCCGGCTGCCACCAGCCCAGCCCGCGCCACAACCCTTGCTCAGCACCCTCCTGCCTCGGGCCGGCGCCCGCAGCGTCCCCGGGCTGGCTTTGCAAACCGCTGCGCCACGGTACCACCGCCCGGAGGGAGACGCCCCCACGCAAACGGTGCCAGCAGCTCTGGAGATTTTATTACCTTGCTTGGGGAAGCAGAGCTTCTGGTCAGGTTGGGCCTTTCGTTTATCCCCCGACACCTGGTAGAACACCCCTTTAACGTTAGGCACTCCTGATCATCCTAACCAAGGCACGGGTTCATCAGAGCTGTGAGAACAGGCAGTACCATCATGTCCTACCAAGGTTTCTCTAAATCAGCTCTTTAAACCTGGAGGTGATAGAAAGCAACGGATGGAGCTGGAAGCCAGCAGATCGGTAGGGTGGAACGAGTCACATTCAGATCCCTGCTTTTGTTTTACTACCCAATAGCAAGCACCAAATTTCTTAACCTCTTAACCTTGAGGAGCCTCAGAAGCCACTTCCTCGCCTTATTTGAACTCTTCTAAGACACGCGTATTCAACGGGAGAAAAAAAGCAGCAGTCTGGTGTGGTCAGTACCGAGGTGCTTTGGCCACGTGGCTCCCATTAAATAACACCCCAGCCCACGGCTGCTGCTTTCAGAGAGGACACAGGTGCAGCAGGAGCAGCCACGAGAGCTGGAACAGCCCAGGAAAATGGGAAGAACAAAAACCTCAGAACCACCAGCAGCTGCTGAAAGCCCAGATGACTTCAAGAGGGCACCTGGGCACTCCTCTTCCCCTTGCAGTCTTTTATTCTAAGGAGCACTGGAGCCGATTAGGTTGGATTCAACTCCATTAGGTCATCAAAGCGCTAATTCTTTATATTGTGTTGCACGTCACTCAACATGAGTCTGGACAATCATTTCATTTTTATTCAGAAAATATTCATGTGTTGAGAAAAGACCCTAACCCTCCCCAGTTAAACTCCTGTAGAAAGCCATGCTTTTCCAATCACAGAACGGTTGAGGTCAGGAGGAGCCTCTGGAGATCATCGAGTCCAACAGCCTCACTCCTAGCAGGGTCAGCTGGGGCACCTCGCCTGGGACTGCGCCCCGCCAGGTGTCGAGGAAAGCCAAGGACAGAGACTCCACAACCTCTGGACGAGCTCTGCCAGCGTTCAACCATCCTCAGTTAAAAAAAAAAAAAAAAAAAAGCAAAAAAAAAAAAAGCTATTTGTTATGTTTAAAGAGAATTTCCTGTGTTTCAGTCTGTGCCCACTGCCGCTTGTCCTGCCACCAGCCACCCCTGAGAGAACCTGGCCCCATCCTCTTTACTCCCCCACCACAGGTGTTTATACACACTGACGGGATCCCTCCCCGAGCCTTCCCGTCTCCAGGCTGCCAATCCCAGGTCTCTCAGCCTCATTAACAGCTGCCTCAATCTTTTAACCACCTTAATACTTTTCAGTATGTTAAATAATTTGGTTTAAATTGGCTTGAAAATTTGCATAGTTCCTTTTGCAGTTGGTGTGGTTAAAACCACCATCATCTCCATGACCTTTGCTGGATTGCACGTTTGTTCCTTACTCTCTAGTTTGATTTTAATAGCTTCTGCCAGGCCGTCATCACCCTCAAGGAAACTATCAAGGCACTAGGCTGCTCAGGGCAAGAACTTAATTTACAACTGAGGAACAACAAATATTGCTTAGCAGACTGTTCCAACACTTGCACCTATTTGAGTTGGACCTGACTGGCACACAGGGACTACGTAAACCCTGATGTTTTAAAAGCACTTTGTAAAGGCTAAGCGGGCTCATGTGTCCTCCTTTCGAGTGTGTTCCTCCAGTTAGCAATATGGTTTTGTCCAACTCAGGGGCCTGTGAGTTGACATCCTGGCTCGGGCAGATGTCTCGCATTGCACAGGGAACTTTAGTCACTTGGATTCACCTCCCATTTAAAAAAAATGAGGAGGCATCCAGGTCTTTCCCACCCTTTGCCTGCATCTTGTTGGCTTGTCAAGGCAAACTCATTTTCCTGCATGTTTTCTGCAAAATTTGCTACAGAGTTCCCCAGAGCAGGCCTGTGACACCAGGAGCGATGGAGACCCGCCCCGTTCTCGGTGTTACTTTGGAAGACGCATCACACCTGGCTAAATTTTATGTAGCACCGAGTATATAAAAATCCTCGAATCGCATAATTTCTTGACCAATCTACTGCAGTGTCTGTTAACTGGCTTTCCTAGCAGGTTCAGAAGCGAGCACCTTTATTCAGTAACTTGGGAGAGGCAGCCTCGGCCTCTCTCGGCTTGGTAAGGCCGGTGGCAGGAGCTCCCCCCCAGCAGCCCGACCAGCTGGATCTCAGCGGGCGCGGCTGGAGGGTGGCAGTTGGCAAGGCGGGAGCCCAACAGCTCGGGAGATTTTCCTGATGGGATTAGTTAAAAGGCGCCTGCGTAATTCCGTCTGTACGCGGGGACCGCAGAGGACCGGGGAGGTGGGGTGCCCCGATTCCAGCGCTCACCAGCTCAGCAGCGGTTCTGACTGCACAGGCGGAGACGCAGTGCAGTTAAATTCTGTTTACAGAAAAAAAAAAAAATTACTTCAAGTAGTGAATTCTCTTCCCTCTCCTAATTTTGCAATAGCTGCTGTGGTCCTAACGCTCTGCTACACTTTGACAAATCCTCACCTTTTCTTAATTAAGAACGATTTTTATCACACCCATATGGTTTTGTTTGTTTTTTTTTTTTCCTGTTTTATAAAGCTTCCAGGTTGTATTTTTATGGAACCAAAACATGTCACTTTTACAGAGCTATACAGTTGTCAGCTGCCTTACGACAGGCACAATTAATGAAATTAAGCCGTGTTGGAAGAGGAAATGCCTTTCCCCAGATGAGGAAATACTTTCCTCACCCAGCATCTAGTCGATGACGTGACGTTCCCCCCAGGCGACGAGCACGGTTGTGGACACAGTGCCCCTTGGAGGGGACGTCAAAGTTCCACGGCACAGCTCAGCACGCTTTGTTAAACCCGGATTAATGCGGATTTGCATCTGCTCCACCCTGTCCTGGCCACACAGCTGTCCTACATCGCACACCCTTCTCTGGCCTTCAAATACCACCTTCCCCACCCCTTCAGGCAGGTCATTCCCCCCCCCGTCAGGCATCAGAAATAACAATTCCAAGTTTAATGGCAATATATTGCTGGGTTTAGTATACAGCAAGAATAAAAAAACCCACCCACAACCAAACAGGAAGGTTTACCTGGATAACGTGACTGTATTTATTAACCCCAATGACAGCTGGACTCGACATCAGCGAGTGCTGCACTGTGAAGAGCTGCGTAGTGCAAGCATCTTGCTTTGGAGTGGAAAAGATCCTTGGTGTATCTTATATTTGCTGCACAAATATGAACAAAGGTGTAATTCAGAAAACTAAAATATCCATAATCCTGCTATATGGGCGTTGAGAAAAGTAACTTTACAGAAGTCCTTGGAGAAAAGCAAGGGCATTTGAACAGGAGTCCCCACCGAACGCATTACAACCCAGTTCCAGCGATACATGTCCAGCTCGTGTTCGCAGCCGAGCGTGAAGGTGAACAGGCACCAGCCCCAGAAGAGTTTAAGCTGCAGCAGTTTGCGATGCAGCGCTCTGCCTGAGCTTTACGACTGACCCCAACCATCACGCAGTCATCCCGCACCAGGCAAACCAGCCTCACTTTCAGAATTCTTTTTCGAAGCAGTAGTGCCGTCTTGAAGATAGACTATGGTTTCTTTTTTTTTTTTTAAAAAAAAAAATTCCTGATGTTTCAAAGTGTTTCCCTGTGCGTGAAGAACAAAAGACGCCCATCAGCTGTTCAGAAAACAAAATGTCCTTTATTGTGAAGTTCCTGAAACAGTAAACACCTTGTGAGAAGTACAATGAACTGGCAATATTTCTTTAAAATGTTGAACTGCCTTCCAGAAACACCACCTGGAATATTCAAGAGAGCTCTCAGGCCCTGGGATGACTTGGCGCAAGGCCCGCCTTGCTCCCCGGCCCCGCCGGAGGAGAGCAGGCAGTTCAGTTTTCTACCTGGCAGCTCTGCAGCCCCAGTTGGCCGATTGCAAACGGGCATTCCCTCTTTTGTATTTAGGGCTCCTCAACTGAAAAGTGTCAGAAAGGAGACAAATTCACCATGCAAATTCAGCTTTGGACCATAAAGGGATTATTTTATAGCACTTTTAATGACTACAAGGTCTGTAGCCTCTTGCTTAAAGAGGTGAACATGAGGAGACAAAGCTTTGCTTTCAACTAGATGTTTGCTGCTTATTCCAACAGCAGACGCGCAGGCCGGGACCGCCCCCCCTCCCCACCCCCCTCGCTCTCGGTCACGTCTCCTGCGTCAGAGCCCCAAACCCAGCGCTTCTCCAGCAATTTCTAATTCCCCTCCCTTCCAGCTCCCCACGTTCCAGCCCCGGGCAGCCGTGCCCCCGGGGGGCCCGGGAGCCGGTTCCTTCTCCGCAACCACCCCCTTCCCCACACACTTTCAGGCATAAGCAGCATTTTTTTTTTTTTTTTTTGTGTTCAGGTGAACTGCGGATGTACGTGCAGTCCAGCCCCGGAGCCGCAGAAAAACAGCTCTTCTTCCCAAGCCAGGGGTTTGTTCCCAGTCTGAACGCGTTACCCCGCTAGTAACACTAACCCCAACAGCCCCTTTCTGCGGCGCAGGGTAAGAACACCCCATTGGCAGCTCGCCCCCCACTTACAGCGGAACAGAAACAGCTTCAAGTGTGTGGGACTGGCTGATAGTCCTGCAGTGAAACGTTACAGAACATTTTTGCAGTTATAGGGCCAATCTGAGATGCCTTGTTTGTAACTTAACCTATTAAACTTTCACAACTTTATACAAATTCTTAATGATGTTAAAAACAAACCCCACTGTACGCAACCACCGTAAGGCACAGAAAGTGAAACAGAAACGCGGCCCACTGGGAATCTCCAAGCAGCCAATTCAAGAGAAGCTGGCCTTCTAATAAGTACATAGTTCATTTATACACATTAAGCTTCATTATCATACATTTACAATAGTAAAAATAGGACAAAAACGTACGCTGCTCAGCATCTACCCTTTCTCATAAGTACCAGTCCCCGTCTGAGACATGACCTGTGGTTACAACTAGGAAGTGAAACAGGTTTACATCCCCCCAGTGCTTCGCCACGAGCACCCACGAGCTGGCTATCGCCCGTTAGGTGCGCAGATGGAGCAGCGCTGCCCTGGAAGGGTGGGACGTGAGCGTGCTCCTACTGCAGTGCTTTGCTCAACGTTGTGAAAGCAAGGAAGTACAGGTGTGGAAAAAAAAAAAAAAGAAGTCAAAATGGCAGGGACGGAAGTTGGGAAAAAAAAAAATTGTCATCTTGCGCAAAAGACTGTTGTAAGTTAATGTCAAAAGAGTATTGTAACTTAAAAACCAGCAAATGACTCAGTTCTCCAGCACGTGAAAGGCACCGCTGCAATACTACATAAACCACATCCAAACTCAAGTTACAAGTACTAGTAGATGTTTTCTTATATAAAGGTCTTCAAGGAGTGAGAAGCTGCCCTACCTACGTGAATCTTCGATATGCAATTCCATAGGGGAAGAGGCCCAATGAGTGGCTGAATTTAGGGGCGATTTTTCTGATGCGGCTCCAAGCGAAGGCGCCCAGACCAGGGGCAGTGAAGCCTTTTGGAAAAACGCTCAGTGCCCCAACGCAGCGGCACGCTGCTTTCAGTTCTGCTCTTTTCCCAGTGCCCCCTTACAGCAATGCTAATCAGATCAGCCCAGAACTGCCCCTGTCGTTAATAAGCCATTCACCTTTTGTGCGAAGGAAGAACTGTAATATTAGCCCAGCGCACTGAACTCCTGCTCACTAAAAAGAGTAAGAGCATTCTTAGGACATCTGAAATTAGGAAAGTCTGTAGCAACATGGAAAAAAGGAAAAACTACCTTAAGAGTTTCTATTCGTTGTTTTATAGCAAGAAAACTTTCGTCAGGGTTTATTATAGAGGAACAGCATAAGGGAACCAAATAAATAGTTGAATAGTTAACAGTATGCAATATAATAGTACTAAACTTCAATTACATAAAAATTAAACTTTGGAACAGCATCAATATGAAAGACTTCTTAGAAAACCAGGACTCAGTCTGAGATCCTCAGACCTGTACATTGCAAAAACCAGTCAGTTTTGGCACCCAGTTGGTCCCAGCTTTGTCCCCCGAGGGACCGTGTCCATTCAGAGCTCCGCCCCACCCGTGCAGCTCCCTAATCCCACCCTGCCCCATCACACACGGGCCGTTTTTCCGAGCGTCTAAGGGAGAGCGATCGGGAAGCACGAGGTACGAGTTGTGCTTCATTGTTTCAGAGGAAGAGGTATCATCTTCCTCATCTGACAGCTATATTGAACAAGGTTATGCAATCGAGCCTAAGGGTGCTTCTTTCTTCCTTAAAGCAACGGTTAGAGGAAGAGAAAGAAGGCAGAAATGACCTCATGCTCCCAGTGAAACCCCCCGCCAGGTTCTGGGGGAGGTGGAATCAAGGGCTGATTTACCATTAGTTGGACAAACTGATCTAACACGACGTCAGTGGAGAGAACTCCAGTAACATCAGACCCTCTGTCACTCTTTTTTCCAAAGGCCGTGCAGTCACGCTGAGCTGGATTCCATTAGCACACCTCGCCCAGGGGGAGGGAGCCATTGCTGCCGGCTCTCAAGAGCGACCAACTCAAGCAAATTAATCGCCCTCCAGGGCAGGATTTTACTGTGCTCCCAAATCAAGAAGTATCCCCACTGTGATCTGGAATTGTTCCCCGGTACGGATCTCTTCACCCCTGGGACACGTGCATCTCCTAGAGGAGCGCAGCTTACTGTTTGGCCACACACCAGCAGAGTCGGGGTCTTTGACTTGATGTAAACAAAAACGTATACACACACAGTATAACTTTGAAATCTGCATGTCAAACCAGTCCATCAAATTCTCCTCTCGTACAATTTTTAGATCAGCAGATAGTTCCACTGAAGTCAGGAGTGCTAAAAGGTGTTTGAGGAAAACCCAACGTTATATATTTGCATTAAATGCCAAAACATAGCCTAAAATTTACTCCTCTTGACATCTGTCACTGAAACATTTCCAGCATGAACTTCTCCAGAACACTGGAACAATTAACAAAAACTCTGCTATCAGGCAACAACAAAACAGAAATAAAAGTTACAAACAAAAATAAGCTCTTTGTTAAATTCCTGTCAGCCACTTGAAATCTTGTTTATCTGTTCCATGAAATTATAAATTTGGCACATTTTCCTTGGATGCCATTTATCAACATTTTCTTTTATCTAGAACATTTATTGCATATCAGAAATTCACTTGGCTAGGATATTTTTGTTTAGTAGAAAACACCGCCTTCCAGTTACAGCTATGAAGCTCCACACAGTTCAGTAAATGAATTCTCCTGGTATTTCCTGCAGTAATGGTTCCTCAAATTTAAATCGTTTGGAAATGGCTTTCTGCTCAGTTACTTTTTCTTTTTCTGACTGCCTACATTGTCCCAGTGTATACGAAGCCACTACAATTAATTCTTCTGTCACTATTGATTCTTCCTCTTCAGTCTTCTCAGCATCTACTGATTTCTCAGAGGCAGAATCTGCATCTTTCTGGGTCACATCACTGGTCTCCCCTCCCGTACTTTTATTCCAGGCCCTGCAAGCAGGGTTATCGCTTTGTTCTAACCATGGGTGTTGAAGGCATTCTTCAGCAGTTGCCCGGTCCCTGCAGAGGAAGGACAGTGTCAAAATAAACGTCCAAATGAATTTGAAAGCCAGTACCTTGCAGAAGGGATCCATACAAGTTAATCCAAGGATAGGACTGTAAAGACAGACTTACAGAACTTGGAAAACAAGCTGATAGCTATTTTTTACCCCAAAAAGACCAACAGCAGCCCAAGGAGATGAATTGCCAACAATTAAAATAAAGAAGTTCACAGATATTTAAGTATCAGTTTACACTCCCATGTTGCCAATCAACTTTCAAAGTTTATACAGATTTTTTTTTTTTTTAATATATAGAGAGGAAAATTATCTAATTCCTTATATTCTTAAAAGTATTCCCACAGACAAGCAGTAAGCAACCTCAATAGCTGACGTGCCCCATGAAGAACTGGTGAAGTTCCACAGAAAACATCTCTTCTGTTTTGAGACCTGGAATTTCCCATTTGCTGTCCACTGAGAAAAGCAGACTAACGAACCAGAAGAGAGTAAGGTGCTCTCTACCAACTCATCCCAAATGAAAGGCTCAAAGCACAGTTCATTTAAAAGACATCAGCAAGCCTGCAAGGAGACTCAGTATCCTGCAGCACACGCTACAATTCACATACAGTCTTCTGAAATCAGTTTGAGTTTTAGCTACTAACACTTGGACACGTTCAGAATATGCAAGTTCGGAGGGAAATGGAGGAATTGTGTTTTCGTACACATGAAAGGTAGAAGCACAATGAAATAGGAATAATCAAAGTCCTCTTATACTTTACAAATGAAAATGCCAGCACTTGCTACATTTAAAATGAATCCAGTCTGACATCAGCGTATACAATCATGTGTTTCACTTACTCAGGTTTCTTAACCAGCAAAGTTTTGATGAAATCCACGGCAGACTCTGAGATGAGGTCAAAGTCTTCTCCAGAGTAACTTACATTCATTTGAGATATATTTAAGAATGTTTCTTGTTTATCATCCCCTAAGAAAGGTGATATCCCTGTTAACATAACATATGCCAGTACTCCAATGCTCCTAAATTAGAAATAAAAACAGAAAAGCAGTTTTTTAGGTTTGTTTGGGTTTTGTTTTTGTTATTTTTTTTTTTTTTTTAAATAAAGCAATCTTTTCAGTAAAGTGAGTTATGATGATCATTAATTTGTTCAACTTACCACATGTCAGTTGCTGTACTGATTGGGTCATAACTCAGAATTTCAGGAGCTATTCAGAAAAAAAAAAAAAGTCATTTTTTTGCCATATGCAGACATTACATTGTAGTTATATAGTGCATTAACAGGCATGTGGTAAAATTTAAGATAAGCCATTTGAAGCATGATGGTCTTTGGAAATCAAGATATTTCTGTTCAGGTTATTTAAGTGATTACTATCAGTCATTGGTTTTTAAGTAAAAAAAAATTTAAAAATGCTTTTCCCTTTATTGTCATCTTCAGAAGCCAGGCCAGTCTCCTTTGCAATTAAGGAAGCTGCATATACATTTCTTATGGAAAAAATCAGAAATACCCAACATTCTGTATTCCAGCACTGAAACCCATATGCATAAAGATACACCATGCAGCTTCAGGGTGTTTTCAAGTACATTTTCAAGGCCTGGAATGATGTGGTTTTTTAAAAGATAAAATGGATACAAACCTCCACGGGCTGAGATCCAAGCAATACTTGTTATCACTGCTGGTAAGGATCATCTAGAGCACGTACCCACCTTCCCCCCAGCACCCAACCGGCGCGGCGCTGCCCGTTCTGCCTTGCAGAGCAGCCCCACCTCATAGCCCCATCTCGCCGCGCGGTGACTGCACAGCCAGTCCTGCATTCACCGAGTGGAGGTAGTTTCTCTTCTTGCTCCCCAAACGCCTGAACTCTGTGTGAGCTCCTATAGTAACAACTTACCTACATATTCCGGAGTTCCCATAATTTCTCTTAGTTCCTCACTGCTCTTCATTATTCTGGAAAGGCCAAAATCTACTATCTTAATGTCTCCCAGGGGAGACTTCCTGGTTAGTAGAATATTTTGGGGCTGAAAAACAAAAGAAGACGACTTTAAGGCTCACCCAAGTCTAATGTGCGACATCACACTGCATGATTATTTTAGATCATGAGCAGCAATAACGCATTCCCTAACAAGTACGATATCCAGGAATGTTGAACTTACTCATTTCCCCCAAGCTGAACTTGAAGACACACGTAGGCTAAAAGGAGTGGCAGGATTTTCTGTTCTAACTGAGAATCAAGCATCTACTTTTATGAGCTTAGGACACATACAAAACACATGCCCATAGCTATCATTTACCAGTAGCGTAGAAATACCTCCACTTTTGTACCCTTAAGTCCTTCACATCACCTTTTTAACTCCCCTTCCTTCCTTGCTTCTTTCCAATAGATGGTGTAAAATACCTCTTGTTAAAGGGTGTCCAAAAACACCCAATCATTTTAAAAAGCCTGACCACATAAAACTATTTTGACTACACCTGTTTAAAGAAAGTCTGTTGCAACTGACCTCAATCTTGTTCAAAGTACGAACAATTGCATTACAGAACACTAACTGAAAAACAGTTTAAAAAAAATAAAAACCTGTTTTTCAGGCTGCTGTAAGAGCATCACCTTTGGATAAACTTGTTTGCTCTGACGTCACTAGATCTTGGCTGTCATCCTTCAAAGCAACTTCGTGGTCATTAAGAAGTTCCTTACCATCTATTTTAAATGCTAGCTCAGTTAAAAAAAAAAAAAATTTGAAAACTAACTTCAGACAACAGGTCTTAGAGATTTTTTGCAACTGAACCACATCCTTGCCAAAAAAAAAGGTGTGACCCTCCCTGACCCCAGGCCAATGATCACAGTGGGTTCTATCATTAACTTCTCCCAACGGTAACACTGATGGTTGACACTGCGTCGGTGCTTCTGGTGAGCACAAGCTCTGTGAAAGCAAAGCAGCCTTTATTCACTGGGAACCTGGCTCGTGCCTCAGGGCTGACTGAAAAGGGAGGGGGGCGAAAGCGTAAGAACCCCAAAGCGACCACTGACTGATAATCCAGCTGGATTAACAGCAACATGTATACTTTTTCCCTAATCACCAAGCTGCTCGCCCCTCAGTCTGCAGTCAGCCACGAAGGCACGCTTCCACAGGAACAGCCTTGCTTTAGAACACAGAAATAAAACCGTGCGAGAACATTTTAAAAACCTGGGGCCAGTCCTCCTTGCTGCAAGACCTAAATATAGTCAAGTTCTTTCATTCCTGCCGAGCTAGACGAGGCTATTTCAAACTAACTCCATGATGTTGTCCATCTATTTGTTGTTTGCACATCTAGGTATTAAGAACATCTTATTTTTTTTTCTTACAAACTGGGATCTGGTGCTCATACAAAGGCTTTCTGGAGCTGTGCATTACCATCTACTTTATAGTCCCCATGCGTTGTTCTGTATTTGTATTAGAAAAGCAAACATTCAAAAAAAGCTGACCATGCCTCCCTAATTAGCCTCTCAGATGTTCTTCCCAGTGGGAAATTTGGTTACTTTCTGAAGCGGCAAATAGAAAGCATGAGAAAAGCATTTGTTCTTTATATTTAAACGAGGAAGTGCTTTTAATGGAAACATTTCATGAAACCATTAAGCCCTGTATTATAATATTTTCGTAGATAATGTAGTCGCCAGAAGAAGTTCTTATTGTCTTTTTAAAAGCAATCTTATTAGTCAAAACACACCTGTACAGAAAAAATAAAACCCTGTCTACAGTATGAACTGAGTCATACCCCTAAATCAATTAATAATGAAGTACCAGTTGTTTTCTTCTTTTAAGGAATCGTTATGGGGTTCATGTGAAGTGACAGTCTCAACACCAGCATAAAATGTTAAGGAAGCCATAGCTTTGAACTTACCATAGTTTTCAGCTCGACACTATTACTCTGAAACTTTAAGAAAAGGAAGATCATTTTCCCACATCTGTAATGCAGTATGTCTTCTGGTTTCCCGCTGCTATAAGACATCTGTGTTTGCCTAGTGCTGCTGAGCCCACAAAGGTGAGAGGTGCGGGCCAGAGGCTCTCCTAGTAGCCATTCTAAGAAGGGCCTGTCACTCTGACCGTCAAGCAGTAATGAAATGGCTGATGAGAACTGTCAAAAGGCAATGCTGAAGAACCTCCCCCTCTACGGCAGTAAACCTTGAAGGTTCCAGTTTGGATCCTCTTACGTTGTACACAGAGCAAAAACATTAAAAAAATCCTTGGCTAAATGGAGTCTGAATGGCTGTACTTCGCTACAGGACTGGTAGTGGCCATGTGAGTCGAGGCCGATGCCATAGTTCGCACAGCCAGAAATGGGTACCTTGGCAAAGATTTATAAAACCAAGACAAAAGGTTGCATTTTCCAGCCACACTGTCAATCACCAGAAACTCGGGCTTTCAGAATTTGCTATGTTGGTTATAAATGTATCATCGTGCTAAGAGTAATAGCAGTAAAAAGCATCATTTATCATTGCAACTATTAACCAGTCTTACATTTTAAAGTGATCTAAACTACCATCGCATGAAGAACATAACTTTCTTGACACTATGAATGTCGGTGCAAAGGCCAAACTAAGACAATTGTATACAAAGATCTGGTCTCATCTGGAAACTTACTCTGCAAGTCACACAAATTGTAATAAGGGTACTTAGTAAAACAGGATACCTTTCGACCCTACCTTGCCAGCAGGCTTTGGAATCTTGTAAACTGACTATATCATGGCAAAATCTATACATTGCACATGTGCCACTATGCCAGAAGTATCCGTCAGCCTCTGGCCATAATATTCCTTGTATCTTGAGTTGGTTTCAAGAAGAGTATGACTAAGGACACATAATAAAGGTATGTTTTTAAACTAATCAATGCCTCACCTTGACCCACGATATTAATGAAGTTAGGTATCTAATTTTATAATACTGTAAGAATATCAGATCCCTAGAAGAAAAGGCAGGAATTACCCAAGGAGTAATGGGCAGAAACAGAAAAAACAGACTAGCTGGGATACCCCAGCTACATTGTGTGTAAAGGTACTAAACTAGGTTGATCAGTCTGCCCTAAAAAAAGTTAAAGGACTCCCATATCTTCAGGCAATTGAGATGTAAGAGCAGAGTTTGCTCAGGAATTGAGGCTTTTTAGGTTAACGTGTACAAGTGAAAAAAATGCAAGTCACAGAACCAGTAGACAGATTAGACTGGAATCACACTTTATTCCCCCAAAATAAGTAATGCAGGTCCCATAAATTAAGAAATAAGGCTATAATCAAAATAGCTTCAGTAGAACCTATATACTCTCTACCTGCCTATTAACCAACAGCTTTGCTCTAACTGCTATAAAGGTTTGAACTCCAGATTAAGCTTTGACTTGAAAAATTGATATTTTATTTTTTAACTCTTTTCCGAGTTTCCTGGGAGTTCCTTTAGACAAGAAATACTACACTTCTATTAATCCTACACTTCTGTGTAACAAACATTCCACCTTAATCCACCTGGAAAACTCAGCTGAGAAAATGAATCTGTAATGTCCTTGTAACAGGCTACTACTTTGAATTGAATTAGTTTGATTTCTGAATATTGGTGTAAAATGACACCCAAACTAATTTCACATAATGATTTTGCTAGTTGTCCTCACTGAACACAGCACCTTGAAAACAATACAGAAGAAGGAAGGGAAAAGTTATCTGTTGGATAACCAGAGTACTATATACCATAGGAGGGTGCTGCTTGGAGCAGTCCCTCTCCCAGAGCCACGTAAGGCTCTTTACCTATTGCCACTGCAGACAAGAGGCAGCTAGTCCTTCCTCAACCCCCACGCCTTTTTAAATTCTCGTCCATTCCCAACTACTTTAAGCTTTTACCAAATACCAGTTGAAGATCAAGTCAAACAGCAAATGAAAACACAGAGAGAAGAGTCTTGCCTTACTCTACAGCTTTTATGCGCCATTAAGAGGAGATGAAAGACTCCTGACTACAATCTATGCACACCCTGCAAATTAAATAGCATCAACACAATACTGTCAAGTGATCCTTAATTTGCACTCAGAGCATTATATTTGCTTTCTCCAAGTCAAAACTGGATTACATAATTGTATTTTGCTATTAAAAACAAGCCATATTTCAACCAACTTTGAAGGAGGACTATGCCTTTGGAAAGAAATGATCAGGTGGCAACCTTGCTAAGCCACATCAAAATACCCTAGTTTCTTCTGCAGTGTTTAGTCTCATAGGAAAAATCTTGAATCTGTTAAGGGAGCAGACAGAGGCTAAAGGAAGCTAGCTGTCAGTGTCGTAGATCTGGTCGATTAGATTTATAATACAAAACTACAACAAGCTGACAATCACACACTGACAACTATTTTGACTTAAATTCTTCTGGACATAGAGCCTGCCTTTTTTGAAGGTGCGACATTTGGAAAACTGAATGGACCTTTCTAAAGGTATTTGCACCTTTAGAGACCCAAAGGTGAAACTAATAGCACAAGGAAAACATTTTAGCAAGAATTTGTAAACTTGTTGATATTGGCAAACACCTTGCTTAACAGCAGTACGCTTCGCACAAGTCTTCCAAATGTCACCCCACAAAACCAGGTATTTAGTGAATTCCGTGGTGCTGTGAGCCACGAGGTAAAGCAGCATGAGCCATACTATCCAACAGAAGACGGTCTGAGCCCAGCAGGTTAATAAACATGCAGCCAAAACCAGCATCCAACTTCAATTTTTGAGTTCCTTGAAAAATGGGCCTTTTAAAAAGTCTTGCAAGTCACGTGGGTCAATCTGTTTAAGTCATGGGTTTTAATCCTACAGTTTTCATCACCTTTACTTGCCAATACTCTGAAGACTTCCCTAAATCTTATTTTGCAAAAAGACAGACAGTCTTATGTATCATGAAGGTAATCACACTGCAATTAGGACTCCTATTAAGATCCACTTTTCAAAAACACTGCACACTGCAGTAACATAGAAACATATTAAACTCAAACACTAGACAATTTACTCTGCTAATTAACTTTTATAGGCTTGCAAAGCAATGATGGATCTTTCAGTGAGAACTAGATACGCTCAATTTTATAACATAAGTTTTCTGATGAGTTGGAAAGCTTTTAAGTAAGGTTTTTCTGAACTTTGAGAAAGCTACCTGTCTGTAAGGTATAATCAACACTCCAGTATACTTTTGCCATGAACTACTATAGTCAAATCAAGCACAATGCATTTCTGATTACAGATGGCCAGCTGAGAGTGCTAAGGAACATCAACCACAAACAGCTATGAATATATACTGGCCACAAAAGACATGTTTTAATTTTATATACTTTCCTTTAAGGAAATCCAATGGGCAACCATAGCAGAGACACTGAGTATCTTGTATAAGTGTACTGGAACTTTAAGGAAGTCTAACTGTTCATTTTTATTCCTTCTGAACACTTATTCTCACATCCCTTGCTAAAAAATTTCCATTAAGCATTTTAGTACAATTATTAATAATCTATGTGTAGAACTAAATCAGTGGGCTACACAGGGTTTTAAAGGATTCCACAAATAATTTGAATAAATGGTTGGAAAACCAGACAGGCCACATATTTATGTGCAAATACTACTCATCATCTGCTTTAGCTGACCAATGGTTCATGATGCGCTAGGTTATTTAAGCATGTACAGCTTGATACTGGAGTCTACTGGTAGCTTTGTAATACTGCCAAAATGCAGTTTAAGTAAGGAACTCAGTGACAGAACATGTAGCAGCTTACTACCTACTTAGTAAATATAGGGATTGGACATAAAAGGAATTTGAAAATTTTAATGCAAGATACTTTTTGTACTGCCTTGCTTAGGAAGAAAGTAGTTCAGCCTCCACATGAGATAAAATTGCATCTTTCATATGAGTGTATGGATGGAAGCTAAAGAAAATTCACTGCAGCTTGTTACCAATGGGAGAGGATAGTTTTCTGGATCCCTGTTACAACTCCCTTCTTAACCATAAGCAATACTCTGGATTTCATATGATGGCAACTGTACTTTTCTCTTGATTTGGGTCAAAACTATTTTTCAAAAAGAAAAAAAAAAATTTACTCCAGTAAATCATGGTAATTTACATACCAATAGGGTGTTGACCAATTGTTTGGCAGCAAATGACAAACATTTAAATGAAGTTTTATAGTAACTTAGAAACTACTGAAGTGTTGTAAATGTATTTAACATACTATAGTGTTTACCAGTCCTGTATGAACACATCACTCTGAAACGTTACACTTCATACTACCAGTGTCTCTGCCATCCTTCTGCTTCATTAAAACTCCAGTCAAGACAAAAACCAAGCCTATTTTTCAATGGACATATAATACCCAGGTATTTTCACTGCACTTTAAAAATGAGCCAGGTCTTACACAAAGCACTCATTTGCAATTTAAGGTGCAATGCAAATCCACTTTTGAATTAATCAAATTTCACTTAACCAAGTTTATATTTGACATAATCACAGAAACTCAGCAAAAGGCTTGCAGCCCTGGTACCTGCTGCATCCCAAAGGTTGAATTTTATTGTTCGAGGGATAACTAGGTAGAAATTTTGTTATTTACAAATTAGCATTTGTATGACATATGACCGACAAGAAAGTCAGCAGAGAAGAAAATAATGAGAAAAATAGAGCAAGAATCTTACCTTTAAGTCAAGATGAACCACATTGTTTCTGTGCAAGAACGAAACTCCTTCTAAGATCTGCTTCATAAGTCGTTTAACATCTTTTTCTTTGAAGGCTTCCTCTCTTTCAGCCACACACTGGTCAAAGATTTCACCTCCAGCAGCACTAGGGAACAATATGAATTTTAGTATTTCAAACACTAAGTTATAGCACCCATTTTTTTCTACTTTCTCTATTTTATTTAGTGTAAGCAAGATTTAGTATAAGCTATCTTATTTGGTGTAAGCAGGCAGTAGCTGCCAATAGTGATATTTGCAGTTATTAAACATCCGGCAAGCTTTTACAGCCTAGGAAGACTTCTCTGCAGTATGGCAGATTTGGAGAGAAGTAAAGATCATTTAGGTTAGAGAATGTGAATGCTATAGAAATTCTGGGGACTATTTTGGAAACACCACTGACTCTGCTTTAAGATGAATGCCACATTTGTTTAAGGGCAGTATTTAAATAAAAGATGTGCCTTTTGCCATTCCTATGAAACTACATGGAAAACTGGCCAACCTAAGCCTTTGCAAGCACAAAGTTAAACAGCCCCACCCCCAATCCTCCTCAAAACACTTTGCATATACTCAAAAGACTAAATGTAAAGTCTATAATTGAATTGTTTGTGAAGTCTCTGGTGTACAGGGATGCATTAAGTTTCTAAATGGCTTTCATCTAAAAATGCTTTTGAAAAGTTTAGCTCTCAGCTTGCTTCCTTATCTTTTGTTTATATACGCTTAAATAAATATCAAAGTAACAAAAAATGTAAAAATAGCTAGAGATGAATGAATGTTTTTAAAGTACTCTGAAGCCGTACGCAGAACCATCTCTCTATAGCAATGCCTCCGGAGAACTAGAATTGTTTTACAACACAACCATGTAGCATCAAAAGTAAAATAAGCAGAGCACAGGCTCCGTCTTAAAAGAAGACTGGGCATGAGAACATTTGAACGGGGCCATTTTGCATACGGGTTGTTGAATTACTACTACGCAAGCAACTGACACACACCTTGTTGTGCATGAAATTCTAGCATCATCCTGAAGGGAAAGATGGTGAAACCCCTGAGGCAGCATCTTCTCCAGTTCCCCCAAACTGTGACATGCCAAACATGACTCTGCACAAGCGTTAATCTTTATTGATGCCATCTAGTCTGCCTTTGCTTGTTCTTTTCTAATAAATTACATTATTAGGGCAATCCAGAAGACAGAGAGGCACAGTCAACATGAATATAACTGCAAATGAGTTTTACAAAAATGGTGCATTTGGATTAGGTACCTTCAGAAAAAGAACACTTAAATATACTCAAATTTTCATTTTGCCTATACTAACTTCTCTTCTACCGTCCTACTACCTTAAAATGTGTCATGTTTTTTTAAAGTTTTTTGCCTTCCCAGATATTTTCATTACTGTTATTTAAAATATTCCCTGCAGATTGTCTTACAAGAAAAAAGAATTTAAGAGGGCTACATTTTAACTTTTTCTAAAGAGTTTTATATTTCTGTTCTATATGCTGGCTAACAGTACAATTTGATTTATTAAACTAAGATTTCCTTTTAAAAAAGAAAAGTCCATTAAATAATTTTCTTTATCCTGGATCAAAGATGACAGAGCTCGACAATAAAATGAGGTTTTCAAAGGAGCATTAATACTTCAATTCCTGTAGAAAAATTGCATACGCCTGACACTATCACATCTTTCTTGAGCACATTTTTATTTAATTCAAGGAAAAAGTAATATTTCAGCTTTGAACAGTCTTCAGATATTAATGACATTTTTTAAATGGACACAGGCTAGTGTATTCTAATATTCTAAAGCAAATTCCTTTAAAAAGCAACATCAATGGGATCTTCAAGATAGTGATAGAAAGCATCTACTGTAATCAATAACTTAAACCTTCTACTTTAAGAATGCCATAATATATTACTTGGAAGAATGACTTCATTCCTTGTAGCAGTGAATTATAATGCACATATACTGATAAGATCTACTACCACAATTACTAACATGATGTGTTTTACAGCAACAGCCCTGAGATTTTGCTGGTATAGCTCTGCCACTTAAAATAAGCAAAACAATACTTCTGCTATTTACTTCTGTGAAATAGGATTTATACTCCAAATCTGCTGTTGTCAACCAGGGATCACACTTTATTTTGAATAGACCCAGATGAAAAATCAAAAGGGGGCCTTATAAAGCCCTGTTTGCTACGTGTCTACTTGGTAGACATTTGTTACAATTAAGTTACACTAGTAAACAAATTAAAGTTGAAGTAGGCACCATGCTAAAATGGAAGCTACCTAGAATTTTAACACTACACTTAAAGAACTTTGAATTACATGTGTTAAAAATCAAGACAGTAGAAGTTGAAGCAGATAGACAATGTCCCATCACTGAAATTAACAGTTCTACTATATGAGAGTAGAAAACCCTCGATCCAGAAAACATTTTTAAAAAAGAAGGTATTTAAGTACCTCCCAGTACTTCTGGAGATGCCTAGGTTCACCAGCGTTTTTAAGAGCGAGACAAGCAAATACAGCCCTTACACATGCACACCCACTTCATGACTTGCGAAACGTAGCCACTCAGAGCTAGCACAGACAAATACACTTGGCTTTACAAAAAAATTTCACATGGAAAGGTGGTTTCACACACAGCGTTTCATTTTTTGATCAGCTTTGCTATTTAGGATGCAGATAGAACAACTTCTTCCAGACAATTCCTTCTATCCCCAAATTACCATATTCAAACAAGTAACTAGCAACTCTTTACAAGAACACTGGAAAATTTGTTATTGCAAGACTGTTTTGTGTATTGGTGCTGTGGAGTGAGCTTTAATTGTTTCCCTTAAGCAAAACAGTCAGCAAGCTGTGAGCCAACCCAGTCACAAGTGGTTGGAACTACAATGTCAAAATGAACTCTAAAAAGACTCTCCCGCACACCTATGCCAAATTTTGCCAAGCTCCTTCACAGTACTTTCAACTCACTTATTTTCCCTAGCTAGAGTTCAGGGGAAAAAAAAAAAATAATCAAAACACAGGAAGGATTAAAATACCTGCTAGGAAAGTATGATGAGCATGTCATTGCTATGATTTCTGTATATATGCAGAGCAGGAGTTCTCTGGTGTTTGTAACATTTATCCATTTTTCCTCTAAGACTACATTTTCCATTAAAGCTGTAGCTTTTCCAATGCTCATTATGAAATAACTTTGCAAACCACTGGGCACCCCCACCCACCTCTACAGAAAACGTTCCTAAGGGATAAAAGCAAAGAACTGTCCTTAGGACAAAAAAGTCTTTAGGAAAACAAGCCATCTTAATCTAAAAAAAATGGATAAGAAAATATTTAAGAGCACAACGTTTTGAAATCCACAGTTATTTAGAATGCATTATTTCTTTAGTACACACTCCCTTAGCTAGGTGTACAAAAAAAAAAAAAAAGGCAAGGCAAGAATTCTTTCCAAAAGCTACAGCAACCAGAATTCTTTAGCTGTTTTATGAAATTCCTTGCTGTGCTATTAACTTCACTGCAGTTTCAAGTGAAATCCAACTGCTCTTCATCAATGAAAAGCACACTAACATTTTATTACTGCTTATCAGCATAAATGAGCTAAAAGTCATTTGGAAGTCTGTAACATTAAACTTTGTTACAATTATGTTGACTTTATATTCAATGGAGACTGCTTATCTTCCCTGAAACATATCCTAACAATGCACTGTACAGAATTCAGCATCCTACTTCTTTCAAGTGCACTTACAATAAGACTAATTCAGTCATTTAGCATATCATTAGAAAAAGTTTGAACAAATTGTTTTAGTGCATCTGAAAAAATTAAACATTCCCCCAGCTTTAATGGATGAGACTTTACGATAGTCTTCTGGAAGACTCAGAAGTACAGATCCTCAGAGTACAGATACGTAGATAACAAATTCCTAGAATACGCTTGATTTCAAATCCTGGGTGAGACCATATACAGTCTGCAAGGGCCAAAAATGTACTTCCTAAATCTTATGCTCTGTCAAAATCCTTTCTTGAAAGAGTTATCTTTGGAAGATAAATGGAAACTCGTAAGCTCTGTGTACAGAAAGCAGATATTACAAGATCACACCACGGTGGTTGCAACACTATCAAACATTCACTACTGCTGACAGTCCTACTCACCTTGCCCTGGCTCAGCATACACTAGCAAGCTAATGAATTTACTGAGAATTTTTCCAGTGTAAGGCTACCATAACATACCAATGTACCCAAAGCCTGAGAAAACCGTAAATCCATATCTGATGAGAGGAGATGTGGGAAAAGAAGCATCCAAATACATCCAGTTGTTGAAACTGTCCTTTTAAGCTCTTGGTTCTCAGACAAATGTCTTTTTTTTTTTTTCCTTCCTTAACCTTTCTGATCAGGGAGTCAAAGAACTGAATGGGATGCAAACAAATGGTAACTAACTCCATTTGAGAGGTTTTTGCCTAAAACTTTTTGAAGAGCTCTAGTCTTGATTTGAGACTGCCATCTAGAACAGCTTTGCTAAATATTCTAATAGACTAGATGCAAACATTGGAACAGCACAGTTATTTCTGACTACAGTGGTTTTGCTTCAAGTTCCATCTGTTGAATCCCATGCCAAATGAATCCTTCCCTGCCAGCAAACTCTTGCTTTAACCAGTCACACCTACAGTAAGTAGGACAATAAGTAATGACCAAGACAGTACAAGTACTAAACATTACTGAGGTCCAAATAACTATAGGTGAAAAAAGCACTTCATCCAGTGTATAAAATAAACCCTACAGCTTCAAAATGCTAAAGACAACTTTCTTCCTTTTTAAAGTAAGGATAACAAAAGTCTGCTATATCTACACAAGACCCTGGGCAGGTAATTACTCAGTTCAGAAGCTCTTCACAAAAAACCCCAAACTTAATGGCTTAGATTTTTAATTTATACATACAGGTTTTTGTAATGTCCAACCTACTAATATCATCTGCCCCTTGCATAGATGTATAAGCATAAGGTGATAAACACTTACAAAAAGCCACCAGATCTTCAGCATCAGATGATCTGCTGCTCTTTGTTTCAAAAGAAATTAGAAAAAGCCAGGTAGGTTGCATACAAATATTGAGCCCAGAAGTTATGAAGTTTGCTTTTTTTCCTTTTATAGCTATCTGATGTGTCAGGTTTCCCAGACTGTATTTCTACCTTTTTCAGTAAAAGTCTAGTTTTCTTTTCCATTCATTCAATTTTCACTGAAATATAGAAATAGGACTGACCCACAGATGAATTCCAGGCTTTACATACTAGCCCTTCAGACTTACTTACCCCTTCAACGTCTGTTGAAACCCTCTGTTTGAGGTCTTGTGACAACAAACAAAAGTCAGAGACTGTTGTCAGGGTGGATGCAGCCAGCCACCAATTTGCTATTCTACAGCTGAAGCCAACCTGGTAATGCCCCATTGCTTCCCATTGCTCAGGACTTTAACATTAAACAGCGGCCAATTTTAAGTTTGTTTTTTGTCAAAAACCGTCACTACTTGAACGACAGCACTCCATGTAACATTAATATTTCTCTTCATGAAGGCAAAGCACTAGGTGTTCCCCTCACTCCTTTGGACAGATTCAACATCAAGACAAGAAACTTTAAAACCACGGCAGATAAAGTTAGTGGCCAACAATTAAGTATTTGTTTTTCTCCTTCCCAAGATAAAGATCTGCCACACAGGCCATCAAGCTTAATAGAAACTGAAATGCCCTAGAGAAGCTTGCAGTCTAGATATGTTCTTTAATCCTCTGCATACAGAATGTCAAAAATTTACTAACATTCATACCTGTTTTGTTCCAACATGTCTCTGGAACATGCTGACTTTAAAGAAGCATCCAGACATATTTGCTGAAGTCAGGGAAAGACTGTTTTTGTAAATTAGAACTCTAACACACAGCTATTTCTCTGAAACAAGGTATGACTGATGCATATAAAGACAATAATGTTGCTAATTACTGAACAACCTGGTGACTATTGAATAACCTAGTTAATGCTTGGGATTAAAAACGTTTTGCAATTGTAAGAGAATTGAGTTCTAAAAGTAAAATAGCAATTTTGCATTAAAGTTATCACAAACCCCATTGCTCCTATCAGGCTTTGGATTCTACCACTTGTGTTATATCCCTACAAGGTCCAGAAATTTAAACTGTATTCTAGTTAATCTGTGTTCCTAGTGTTTAAAGTGTGTATTTGAGTCTCCGGTAAGAGCAGTTAAAACTCCAGAAGTTCTGTCACACCTTTGCATTATAACAGATACTTGAATATTTCATAAATTGTGAATTCCATGAGGACACAATGAATTTCACAAAATGTATTCTAGAAGGAAGCTTGCCTTCACAGACGTGGTCTCATTCCATTTCACTGAACTTTAAAGATAAAATTCCTTTTGAATTCTAAACAAGATCAGAATGGGACACAGGATTTCTCAACATTTTTTTGTCATCAAGAAAAGAGCTGTACAAACTAGATTTATCTTAGCAGACAGGTTAAGTCACTTCTGAACTAGTGAGCCTCACTGTTCCTCTCATTATTTAAAATTCATAGAGCTTGAACAAGATCTTAACAGAGTTCAATAGCACAAGCGTTTGGCTGTCTCTTGGAACCTAAATGTCAAATAACCAAGCCACTGGCACATGAGATGGACAGTCACAGCAGCTGCAGAAATGCCCATCCGGACAAACTCAAGAGGGGAAAACCAGACAAACGTAGAGTCACAAGTTAAGTGTCATCTGAAAGAAACTATTCTAGGTCTGAATTCTCCTACTCTTTTTCTTCCCCCAAAAGACCACGATTTAGAGAGCTTTTCATTGAAGATCACTGGGAGTTTTGATAGCTTCTTTTTAGCAATTATGTTGCTTTCAATACCTTTTTCCATAACTGGTAAAAGCCCCCAGATTTCACCCTGTCTTTGCACTGTCAATGAAATAAACTTCAGTTTTTGAACAGATACTCATTGCTTCTTTCCTCTTCCTCTTTTACCAGTAGGGAGCGTACACAGTTCATATTTCACTGTTTTTTTTTTTTTTTTTTTAACTACATAAATTACAGTTCAGCTTTGAAAGATACTACATAATTGGAGAAACTTCTTATAGTCTGCAGTAGTTACAAGACTACACATAACTTCTTGTAACACTGATTTTCTTAGCAATTTATTTTTTTTGAACTCGAGCAAGTGTAACAGGCAAACAATAGTAACTTTTCATACTATTCCTATGGATACACAGTATTTACATTATTAGTTTTAAGCAAATACTTCAGAGTTTTATTCAGGAGTTATTACTAGTACTTACTATTCCAGAACTAAAATCATCTCTGTTGCAGTTTCATAAACTTCATGCAAGTTAATGACCCAAAGGTTGCACTGTGCCAGCTCCAGGACCGCAATTTCGTGGATTATTTCCATCCGACAGTCTTGGCCCTTTCTTCTTTTTCTCATGAATTTTGCTGCAAACTCTCTTTCAGTGTCTTTCTCGATACACTTCTTCACCACTGCAAATTTTCCCCTGAAATTAAAGAAGGATTTAAAGTTAATTTTAAGTCCCTTAGTGACAACCTTAGTATTGCCTTTACAAATTACAATTTCAAGAAACCTGAACTAAATTGCTATTAAATGGTACATTTCAAATATATTCTAAATTTAGAAAGATGCCCTGCTGAGTGATAATCCTTACGCTTAAAAGTTAGAAACACAACCCAGAATGTAATTTAGCCTCCATGAAAAACGAGGAGTTAAAAAAGCCCTATCAATTCGAGGAGCTTGGATTTCAAAAATACAGAATAAGCAAGCTGTGCTATTTTGCAAGATAAAGTTGTCCTCAAACCTTTCATTAAAAAAGCTGGCAAAACCAGAGCATACAAATAAGCAATTTATGCTTTCTATGACTATGTCACAATAACCCAGTTACTAAAGTATCCCACCATATTCAAGGGAACAGCATCCAGCACTCTTATTCAATAAAACCGCTCAAAATCCTGCTCCATTTGCCATGCAATATCCAGACTCTGCTCTGCATTTACAAAGATGGCACTTTGTATTTTCACCATGATACGTCTCAAATGGTAACAGCCAGATTTTTTCAGTTAACAGTTCTCATAATCCCTTATTCTTAGTCTCATTTCTCTTAGTCTCCTAGCATTCTTATAATCTCTTAGTATTCATTCCTTAGGTAAGGAATGTGGATGATTCAAAAAAAAAAAAATATTAAGCAGCTTGGCCAACAAAGTTTTCTCACAAAACCTTTGTGACAATAATGTGAATACAAACACACACTGAGCAGAACCCACATTAGCGAGCATCATTTCTGACAAAGCACACAACGGATGAGGTACGCCAAGCCAGCAGGCTAGCTAAAACCACACCGCAGCACTTACGTCAGAAGACTTCCCCCACAGCATTTTGGACTGAAGTGGCTGCTCTACACTTCCTTGCAACAGGGTCCCACACACCTGCTCCACTCTGTTCCATTCACACGGTACTGATTTTTAGACTGAGAAGGTCTATTATTTAATAATGCCATCTAACCTAATGCAATGGTGAGTTCTTATATTTTGAAGTGTAGCAATCTTTTTTTTTTTTAGTTCTTACCACACAGGTATAATGTTCATCAAAACTATCTTTTTTATTTACATGTAAACTTTTCTTATAACGCTGCAGGAATAGTCTGGAGATCTTTATTGTGGTTCTTATCTTATTGTAGGGTTGCGGAAACCAAAATAGGAGTCCTCATCTGGTTTGGAATACAATTGCATGGATTTTGCCTCTCCTATCTCAAAGCTGAAGTTCACAGAATTAACTAATTCAGCTCATGTCAAAGTTTTCACTCTCACAGCTCCCAACCTATTGGTAGACTGCTATCCCTGAAACGTAAATGATAAAAGAAGTTGTGGTCAGCTTGCTTTTAAGAGGCATTTGTTTTAAAATTACCCAGTCTAAATGAGTGAAGTCAAATAAGCACCCACAAAGTGGGTATTTGCCAGGCCACCTCACTAAAATAATCAGACTTCTAACCGCTGATACAGCCACAGTTATTCCTCTAGGAATAACATTTTGCGTAAGCACACATCATCTACAGCACAATATGTATTAAGACTAGATCAGAGCAAAGACCAGATGTCTGTGAAGGCAGATGAACAGTAAGAATATGCTTTAGATGTCTTAAATACAATTTCTGGGGAGAAAGTTCTTAATTACCAATATATGCAATACGACAACATTGTAGCTTTGCAAATGCATGAAAATAACATTATAAGATTTTGCAGCACTAGGAAGGTGTGGTCAGAAGATCACTATGAAATGCATTAATCGATATAGAGTTACCACAAAGCACCACAGGAGGGATACCTGAAGGCTAACAACCTGCTAGGCTATTCCAGAGACAGACGTGCATCTGTAGGATTTGTGTACAGTATAAAACTATGCACTTATCAAAAGTGTTAAAATCCTCGCTGAAGTTTTTAGCACCAAAACCAACACAGTAAAAAAGCTTAGCAACTATGCTGATAAGAAAAAACCCAACAGATAAAAACAAACTGAGAAACTAACAGATAAGTCCTTTAATAGCAAGTTATTTTAATACCTGGTAGATATACACCAAGCCTTTATACCAAAAGTCTAGACCCCCGAGTTCAGTCTTAATCTGTTTTCCTCAAATAGTCTTTGCACGCAGAGTTTCTTTCAGTTGAATGTTACCTCAGCGCAGAGTCAATAGCTTTTAATTCTAGTACCTAGAGGAAGTAGTTTAGAAAAGTTTGAAACCTCTATAATACAGCTTTCAAGAAGCACTGTGTTGTTTTGAATTACATACAAAATCTATCTGGAAGCAAGTTAATTAGCCAAATGAGTACCAATGTTGCCGACTCATCAGACATTAGTCACTATGGAAATAAAACAGTATTCACAGGGCAGCAAGAAACAGCAAGAGCCACCGCTGTGTGTGGCCACGCATGTCCTGTTTAGCCGAGCTGGCCAGAAGCCTGACAGGTGACGTAATTAAAAAGACAGGTTACACGGGAGTTCAGCTGCCTGACAAATACTAATTCTTGGTTGTTTAAGACCAAGAATCCTGCCCACATTCTTTACGGTTATGCCCACAATTAGAGCTATTATAACTACAGTCTGTAGAACTTTTCTGAATACAATCCTCAAAAAGATCAAACTTGATGAACTTGATGCTTATAGCTAATAGAACTAATTACTATGCAGCAATCTAGATTCATGCCTGAGAATTTCAGAGCTAAGATCCAAAGATACCATCCACTGTATGGTTAAACCAAAAGATAAATTTATAAAGAATTTCTTTTTGATAAGAGACAGAATAGTAAGACAGAATAGTAAGACAGAATAGTAAGACAGAATAGTAAGACAGAATAGTAAGACAGAATAGTAAGACAGAATAGTAAGACAGAATAGTAAGACAGAATAGTAAGACAGAATAGTAAGACAGAATAGTAAGACAGAATAGTAAGACAGAATAGTAAGACAGAATAGTAAGACAGAATAGTAAGACAGAATAGTAAGACAGAATAGTAAGACAGAATAGTAAGACAGAATAGTAAGACAGAATAGTAAGACAGAATAGTAAGACAGAATAGTAAGACAGAATAGTAAGACAGAATAGTAAGACAGAATAGTAAGACAGAATAGTAAGACAGAATAGTAAGACAGAATAGTAAGACAGAATAGTAAGACAGAATAGTAAGACAGAATAGTAAGACAGAATAGTAAGACAGAATAGTAAGACAGAATAGTAAGACAGAATAGTAAGACAGAATAGTAAGACAGAATAGTAAGACAGAATAGTAAGACAGAATAGTAAGACAGAATAGTAAGACAGAATAGTAAGACAGAATAGTAAGACAGAATAGTAAGACAGAATAGTAAGACAGAATAGTAAGACAGAATAGTAAGACAGAATAGTAAGACAGAATAGTAAGACAGAATAGTAAGACAGAATAGTAAGACAGAATAGTAAGACAGAATAGTAAGACAGAATAGTAAGACAGAATAGTAAGACAGAATAGTAAGACAGAATAGTAAGACAGAATAGTAAGACAGAATAGTAAGACAGAATAGTAAGACAGAAAACAAGCTTTCACATAAAGTACACGTTGCATATGCTTCATCTTTGCTTTTCTTAAAATCCTGCTCTTCCCTATAAAAAAAAATAATGTATTAAATAGTGAAAATAGTATTAGACCACAGCATTGCTAGTTTAGCTGTATTGAGAAGAGCTAGCAGTGAGAAGACTGCATTGAAGGAGGAACAATTTTGAAAGGAAATGCTCAATGTGCATTTCCAAAATTACAAACTGACTACCAGTCATCCAAACACAAACAAAAAAGCTTTGAAGGGAGACATGAATAGGAAACTAGAAGTACTTCTCAGTCCTCACAAGAGTCTCATTCAAGAATTATGATTTAAGATAAATCATATCTGATTACAAAGAAGCTCAATGTCATCTTTTCAGATTGCCAACAGAATTAGCATTGTTTCATCTGGCATACATTATGGCTTAAAGCAAAAGCCTCAAATCATAAATTAAATGTTGAATCAGATAAGCAGGAACATTTATGTCACACCAGTTAATTCTGGTTGTCATAGGCTCAGAATAACAGAGAACTAACCTTACTTTAATAACTATTTTTAAAATGACCTATAACCCCCTGTTACTGTAACAAATGCAGGAAAAACAGCAGTTTCTGTGAAGATATTTACTTTTTATGAAGTTCAGAAAACTTGTCTAAGATCCACAAAACTGTATGAAATTTATTACATAATTCATATCAAACATTTTTTTCTGAGGTGTATTTTTTTCCCATATGGTTTCTGATTTCCAAACAGCAAGGTGCAGAGATTACATTTCTGATGTTCATCAACAATTACTCACAGAAATCTGTTCTCAAATGGTGGAACCAACTACTTGCAACTCTTCATTATCACCTCCCTTCCACTTTCACTTAGTTCCACAAGTGTTTCACCCTAGCTGTGCTACTGCAGAAAGCAGCTCAGAAGTATGACAGCGTATACGTTCTTACTGATGTGCAAAATCATGCAAGTGTCATGTACCACTAAGATGCACGCTACTGAAAGCTACCTAAGAAATAAGCAAGTTCATACTAGAGTTTGTGAGGAAAAAAAAAAAAATTCAAGACATGACATATGGTGAAACTACAGCCAGGTCTCTAGGCAGAAACAAAGAGTATTTCCTTATTATTCTGTTCAGTTTCGTCAGACAATTAAAATACTTGTTATTCTTAGTTCGGGTGAAGAGTGAGCTTGTCTGCTTTAACAAAAAACTGGGAATGACGAGAATCAATTGAATAGTACTGGACGTACATTTATATGTATGCACTGCACACATTTCGCTAGCAGATTGCTTATTTTAGAGCGATCATTTAAGGTGACTGTTACTTTCCAGTGAGAAAAAAGCAAGTCCAGTCATTTATGCCTTCCTCCAATCCAACTCTAGCATCAGCAGTATTATTTTCTGTATACAAATAATGACTTCTAATACACGCATAGCTTCTTTTACATTAAAAGAAAAAAACAAAACGACCAAAACAAAACAAGAGTGCAATACCCCATCAACGAGCTGAAGAATTAACTAATAGTTTAGTAATATTTTGTGTGCAATTAGTTCGGAGGTTTTTGTTGAGGTAAAAGTAACTAAATACAATTATATTAGGCTCTTTAAAGAAGCTCTAGGTAATACAAAATATATTGTTCTCCATTTTACAGTACAATTATGTCTCAAGCACAGATGGTAAGGGGAAGAAGAGCTCAGCAATTGGTGTCTTGTCCTCTGCAAAGGTTCACTACTTCAAACTAACCTAACGCAAGCTAGCACTATCTGAAAACACTTAAGTCTGAGTTGATGAGAAGTAGCACCCTTAAAACACTCATTGGAAATAAGTTTTAAAATTAAACATTATGCAGATGAAGATTTGTGTGAGAACATTATGATTTTGGGACAGTAAAATTACTAGGGCTGTGAAGACTAGCCCAAAATTTAATTTATCAAAACTTTTCATTAAAAATCCTGCCATTTCCATGTCATCCTAAGCAACTTACAATGATTTCCTTTCCAGAGTAGCCATTATAACCAAGTTTTTGGTAGTTTTCCTAAATTAACCTGTTTCTCCTAGCAGCTATATTTCAATAGATTTGCAAATGCCTGTTCAACTACTGAATGAGGCAGCAGCCTTTTGAAGCACGTAAGCTTTGCATTCTCAAGGCAGTTTCTTTCCCCGTGAGCAGAACTAACGAAGCCCGATTTCCTACGGCTTTGCACCCAAGTCCCTCGGGTGACATTGTGACCAGGTTCCTCCCAGGCTCACCCACAACCTTCAGCAGTGCTCCCCCAGGCCTGTCACCTCTGTCACCAGAGGCCAGCAGCCCCAGTACCTGCTGTTCCTGCATCGCTAGACCTACACCGCAACATCTTCCCGCGCTCCCCCCTTCTCCCGCCTCCTCCACACACGGGTGACAAGGGAAGAGAGGCCCCAGGTCCCACTGTGAGGTCAACATAGGCGTGTGGGCTGACTGCGTGGGAGGCCAAAGAGCACACAAACCTGCTGAGTTCAGGCAGCAGCCCTGCGCTCAGCAACAGCGCTAAATCTGCTTTTTTTTTCTATCCCTGCTGTCTGCTTGAAATGATACAAACATTGTTAGTCTCAAAAGCTCTATCTAAAGTTCAGCTTTTAAATTGTTTCCCTAATTCTGGGAAGTGGGATGGACAAATACAGAGCATATAAACATTTTTCATTAGTAAATTCAGATACCATATTAGAATTAAAATAGTCTATGTTGTGTGCATGAGGACTGCTTTTCATCTGAGACAAAAACCTGTCACACCTGGGAGCTAATCTGTCCAAGTCCTTTGTAAAGATAAATTCTACCTGTAGAGACTCACACACTCTATGAACACATAAAAGTGAAACAATTTCTGCTAAGCATACCTTATCAATAAAATGACAGTTACAAGTGGCAGGGACTTTCCATTTATCACCTATGCTTTGTCACAATGAGTGAGCAAAAAAACTGTTTTTAATGGGAGTGCTTGAGCTGAAGTATCCACTTTTTAAATCAAAACGTAGTAAAAAGATAAACATTCAAAATTGTTGAATAAAACCCCATGTGCATACATTCAAATGTATAGATTTCTATATTCTGAGAGAGAAGAAAATGTTTGTGAAGTTCAGGAGAAAAAAAGGCAGTCTGAACCAAAATAGGTGCAACTGTTGCGCAAACCCAAGACGAACATTTAGAACAGTCATTTAACTCATTTTAACGTAACTTCACGTGTAAAATCACAACCCTCATGCAAAGGTCATATTTAAATGTAGTTCTGGTCAAAAATGACTCCACACAACAAGCCATGCTGGGATTTACTTGTTAAAACTGCAGACTAAGATTTGCTGCAGCACTTAACTCTTGTTCACAGTGTAAAGCTAATCGTTTCAGTTGTGCTTTTGTATGCCAGAGGGAAGCTTCATCTAGTTTCTTTTCTGATTAGGCCAGCGAGTATCACCCAACCCCAAGAAAAGTTCTCACTCCATGGCAGAGCAGCAAAACGTTTTCATAAAAGTCATCTAATCTTCAAACAAAAAACCCTCAGCAGCAGCGGTACCAGGACATCCCGTGCTACTGTGCTCCTACACCTTCCTGACTGTTGCTTAGCCTTTAGGCTGGTTTGTAGCCTGCATTTAGTTTCAGTTTCCAGGCCCTGGACATTATGGTCATATCATGCTAAAAAAAAAAAACAAAACTTTCCCACTTTATGGGATGTTTCTCCTACCCACTTCCCATGTGAATGCTTTAGGCCACTACACTTAAACAGGGATTATTCTATTAGTACATAAGAGTTACAAAGTGAGCACTAAGCTGACATCTAGGCAACCTAAAAACATGTCCGAGGTACTCACATCAGCTACGTTTGCTTTGAAACTCCTCTTTAGCTCCAAAGGGATTGTTTTTGCTGGTGTATAAACTGAGCTACACAGCTAGTATGACTTGCAAAAGAACATACATTAGGGGGTGTATCTTGCCATATATCCTGTGGTATTTCATCTAATCTTTCTAGTCTGAATACTCTTTAGATAAAGCACATGTGATCGTGAGTAACAATACTGTCATTCTTTTCATAAGTGACAATTTCAGACAAAAAATAGTGGTTTAGTGGTGCTGAAGTTCCATATATATAGTTCCTGACGTGCAAAAACCTTTTAATGAGACTTTCTGCCTCAAACCTTGCTTGCTTGCTGTCAGGTGTTGAAACTATACATCAATTAAACCCTACATATGAAGTCACTTTCAAAACCAAGTTTTTTAACCAGCTTTCTAATTCTTTGAGAAGTTCCACCATTAGAATTATCCTCAAGCATACGCTACCGCAAATTAGCCTCCTCTAGATCGTTTTTTTTTCCCCCCATGTCGCTGCCTACAAAGTTCAAGAAAAAAAAACCCAACCCACCCCCAAACGCGCAGATTTCGGTCTCTAATGGAGATCTCGAGCATTACTCTCTACCCCACGCCGGCTCCCAGGGAAGAGCGCGGTATCTTTGCAGCTAGCTTCACAAGGCTGAGGGTGTCTTCCTCGCTAGGAGGGACAACCAGGCGCGGCCAGCAGCAGGGGTACAGCCCCCGGGGTTAAAAACAGGAGAGGGGCAGCAGGTGAAACCGCCCGGAGCCTGGCGGCGGGCAGAGGAGCTGAGGGGAAGGGACGCGGAGCTGAGGGGAAGGGACGCGGAGCTGAGGGGAAGGGACGCGGAGCTGAGGGGAAGGGACGCGGAGCTGAGGGGAAGGGACGCGGAGCTGAGGGGAAGGGACGCGGAGCTGAGGGGAAGGGACGCGGAGCTGAGGGGAAGGGACGCGGAGCTGAGGGGAAGGGACGCGGAGCTGAGGGGAAGGGACGCGGAGCTGAGGGGAAGGGACGCGGAGCTGAGGGGAAGGGACGCGGAGCTGAGGGGAAGGGACGCGGAGCTGAGGGGAAGGGACGCGGAGCTGAGGGGAAGGGACGCGGAGCTGAGGGGAAGGGACGCGGAGCTGAGGGGAAGGGACGCGGAGCTGAGGGGAAGGGACGCGGAGCTGAGGGGAAGGGACGCGGAGCTGAGGGAAGGGACCGATGTACCCCCCCCGCCTCCCCGGCACCCGAGCGGCGGGTCTCGCCTTGACGAGCCACCGCCTCCCCCCAGACACTGCCTCGCCAACGCCCGCAGCCCCGGGACACCCCACCTGCCGAGCTCCCTGCCGGGGCTGAGGCTGTACCGCTCCTGGAAGGGCTCGGTGCGGATGGGCGTGCGGATCTCCGTCAGGAAACCGCCGCGCCGCCGGCCTCGGCTGGGCTGAGGTGGCCGGTCATCGCGGCTGGGTGGCGGCTTCTCCTCGGGGCTCATGGCGCAGGGCTTCTCCCTCAGCAGGAGGACGCCTGCCTTGCCTTGCCTTGCCCTGCCTTGCCCTGCCTTGCCTTGCCCTGCCCTGCCTTCCTCCCTGCTCGCCGGGCCGGGCTCCCCTCAGCCCGCGGGGTGAAGCCGCCGCTGCCGCCGCTCGGGGGAGGGCGGCGGGCAGCACGCGCCGCGCCGGGCCGGGGAGGGGCGGGGCCTGGCCCGAGGCCACGCCCCCGCCCCCTTCCCGCCTCAGGGCCGGGTGCGCGGCGCCACCTGGCGGCGGCGGGCGCTGGGAGGGGTGGGGGGGGAAACGGGGCGTCAGGAGGCGGGTGGCGGGAACGGCGGCCCCGCCCGCAGAGCGGCGGGATTTAAAAGTTCATAAAGCTGAGGGGAGCAGGGGGGTGATGTGCTGCTGTCCGGCGAGCCCCGGCTGTTTATATAATATTTCTATCTCAGCTATCTATCTATCCGCACGAGGCGGGAACTCGGCCTGCGGGCGCTGCGGCGCGGCCTGGGTGAGCGGTGCGTCGGAGGGGCGAAGCCTGAGGTGACGCCGGCGGGGCCGGGGACGAAGGGCACGCCAGCGCGGGGACACGGGGCTCCGGCCCGCAGTGGGGGGCACTGGGGTGCAAGGTGGAAGGAAGGCGAGGACAAAAGTGGCGGTGGCAGCTCCGAAGGGAACAAATACACCTGAGCGTGAACCCTCGGCCTCTGGTGTCCGAGGCACAAGCTCCAGCTAAGCCTTTCCCACAGCTGGGGCATATTTGGCTCCATGCGTGCCTGAAGCCCCAAATGTCTTTGTGATGTGTGTACAAACTGCCTCCCAGTCCTCTATTTGTCCAGGCCGGTGGAAGTTGTCTCATGGATTGAGAAATGGCTGTACTCTTGCTTCACAAGCTCTTCACTGTCCGGCTTACTCAGTGTATTTAAGAGACCTGTTCCGCACGGCAGTCATTTATCGAGGCATCTGTCTCCATTAAGGGCACGGAATCTGTCTGCCATTGCCTGCTGACATCCAAAGCACACGGGAGATGAGACTAAGGAGGAAACACGCCAACATACAGGAATGGATTCTGCCCAAACCTGGGTCAGTGATCAGGGATGGGAGTACAGTTGTTGACAAGGCTTTTTTTTTTTTTTTTTTCTGGAATTCCTGCGTTCACTCAACACCAAACTGGATTTGCAGAAATAAATAGTTTAGGAATGAATTCCAGAGCCAGTATGTAGAGTAATGGAGAGTTCAAGACTTACAGTATCAATGTGCTTTCCACCCAGAGTGGTGTTTATGCTGTAGCAGGGCCAGACTCTTACTGATAAACAATAAAATGTGGATTAAACAAGGGTTACATCTGAAAGTACCTATCAGAGGCATTTACTACAGACAAAAGGTTGTTGCCTGAAAAGTAGCTTGTATCTTAAAAGTATACTAATCCTAAATGAAAGGTTCAGATACTTAATTCTGGTGATATTTTCCAATTCTTTACTTGCTTTCACTATCATATTTTCCTGGGGGGTTGGGGTGAGGAACCTGGAAATTTTCCTGGGGAGTGGGGTGAGGAACCTGGAAAAAATTTATGGAAAGGAGTGCAGTTACTGATTCTGGAGTATGAAGAGACCTTTCTCAAAATACATTGGGATATTTAAAGTACTCTGGCCATATTTTAAAATAAATTAGAAATTTCAGATTCTTAAATGCATTAGAAAACCTAGCAGTTGGTTCTGTACAAAACAAAATATGGGCTTACATTTCTTTTCCACATATGGTTGTTTTATTCAGATAATTTTAGGATACATTTTTATCTAACTTACGGAGACTTTTGAGTGTATAGCTTCTTACTATCTGGAAGGACTTTTACTCTATATAGTGTATAAGTTTCTCTATTTTTCTTTCATAGGGTAGGAAATGCCACCAAAGACATCAGAACTTCAGTGTCTTAATGTAGCAGGAAGATGGATTTGTTGCATTCTGAAAAAGAATTATTCACAGAATAGGAAGAGAATGACCAAAAGAAAGACTGTGCTTTACTGTCTTGAAAACTGACTGAAATAAAATCTTTTTGTGCTTGACGATGCACTAGCCATAGCACAGTCTATGGTTTGATCTGTTGTACCAGGATATTGTGGAGCTGATATATGTTGTCTAAATTTAATTTTTCCCTGTAGAAAGAATAAATGTAAGTTTGATGACTCCTCTGTGCTTTAAACCAGCACTAATCTTAGCCTTAAATACTGCAGCTTAAGCTTATATGTGCTATCCGCACAGGGAGAAACATATGTGGATATGAACAGTGCTTGGTTTATTTAGAGATCAGCTAACAGACGTATCTAGGCTGGTTACTCTTATATGTTACCTACTGAAAAAATATCTATGCTTTTTTTCTGGTGTTTGGATATTTGGCTTCAACCACTGAAATGTTGTTAGCTGTTGTATGCTCAATTGCACTCAGATGGCATAACAAACATTGATTCCTGCTTGTACATATAACATCAACTGTTTTGTATTTCAATATAATTTTTTCTTTTCTGACAGTAGCATTCAAGCAATTCGTTCTCATGACCTGTGTTTGGCCTGCAAGCTAGCAGGAGGTGAGGTGGAAGACACCACCGCAGGTATTTTGTTTAAAACAGTGTCCTTTTCAATTTACGTCTGCATGCACTGGAGTGGAAGAGTGATTTCTATTCTGCCCTGAAGAGGTGGATCAAACCTGTTGCACAGGGACATAAACTTCGCTCAGTTTTATCAGTCTGACTCTAGCTTGATCTTCACGGGACGTTCCTCTTCCCAGTATGAATGTATTCAGGCGACTGGTACCTGATGGAAGAGTTACTCGAAATAACCATCATCATTGTGATCCATTTATAATCGAAATATGAAATCTAACCATCTGTAGCCCAGCACACATACCTTAGGATTGTTTTTCAGGTGCTAAATTCATCCTTTCATGATAGAAAACCACGATCTTCTGGGGCTGGAATTCCTGCAGGCTGCTTCAGTTCCATATGAAGTTAGTTATTTTGCATTGATGAGCTACTTAGTTCTTGATGTGATTGTTTTATGTATGAGGCAGCAGGAAGAGTACTCATTCCTCACCTGAGGGGTTTCCCTCCTGTATTCCTCAAATGCTTCTTGTCATCACGGAAAGGCACTTACACAAGATCTCCAAGTAGAAACTTTTGTGGAAACTACAGTTTCTTACCAGCTGCAACAAAAAAGCATTACTAATCTTCACTTTTCTAGTTTAAGGAAGGAAAGCACAGCTCCACTAAGTGGCAGCACTAGGCATCATTACTGCCAGCTTTGCTGAATTATTTTTGTATTTGTGAGATTTAATATCAACTGCAGCTCATGTTGCAATAATCATGCCTCTTTCTTTGCTCACAGGGTTTGATTTCATAATTTCCAGGACAGATGAATAAATTTGTGTTCAGAGAATCTGAGATTTCCAAATACTTTCAGGGGTTCCTATTTTGCAGCAATTTCCTTTTGAATACGAGTTCTATATGTATTCCAAGAACATTCATTTTCCAGTTGGAAAACACATCCTGTGGGTCCCCACGCGTTACGCTGGGTGCTCCTCAGATCAGTCCCACAGCTTCTCTGCAGCGCCAGGGCGGTCCCAGACACATCTGTCACAAATCCCAGATGAATCCCAGATTCATCTTTCGCAAATTAGGTAGACCACATTTTACAAAAGCCAGGGTGCTTTGCTACTTCTTTTATGACTGTGTCCAGAGCGTAAAGACAACCTGTTTTGGTTTGTACATTAGGAGGACTGAAATGTGTAGTTGAAGCACAATTACGATGTTGGAAAGGCAGGTTGTGTGCTTTACATACCACAGGAGCAGGGGTGAAGCTCTAAGGGCCCAGTTCTTTTAATCAATGGGCAAATCACCAAAGCTGTTAACTTACGTGCCTAAAGCAGGGAAGTTTATATTTGATTGCCAAAGCTGTTGGTAAACATACCCTCACACGTTGCTAGGATAATCTTATATAGTAGTTTGTATTTCTAATTTCAGTCATTCTTCAAAAGTCACTGTTTGGATTTAATACTAAGACATACCTAAGAGGCACTGAAGTCAAATCACAGCTTGTAACAAAGATCCTAAGCAGATTCCAGTGCTGCTCCAGCTGCATTCCTGAAAAGCTGTTCTCCAAATATGACGACTCCACGTGGCACACTAGTTAGGTACCTGTACTGCTTTGTCTACAGACCGAAGCATATTAAGTGCTGAAAACAGAAAAATAGGAGCATGTGCAATTTACTTTTGTGTGCTGTTTTGATTCGGGAAAACCAGCATTAGGAAATCACACCCAGCAATAGTTCTTCAACTGCTGCCTGTGGTCCCTCTTAAAACCAACTGGACAGATTTTCTGTGTCACACCGCAGAGTACTTCCACCATTTTTTTTCTTACAACTGATTTCATTTTGAAACCGGGAGAGAAAATAACCCAAATGAGTCTTTTATTTGCATACTGAAAATTTTAAAAGGTGAAGAAGGTATCTCCCTGAAGTGTGTGACTCTTAACAGAAGGAAAGGCAAGGGATCTTAGTGTTGCTGTTGTTTATTGACACAGAAAACTTTCCCATGCAGCTCCACTATCTTCTTATACCATAGGAGTTAATTATAGGAAAACCTACGTGCCAGCAATTCAGGAAAAAAACATCATCAGTTGCAGTCTTTGTGTTCACCAGTGACTTCTGTTCTATTTCACCTCACAGAGCTGTAACATCGCACTGTGGGGATGAGCTTCATTTACATTAGAGTTAAGACAATATAAATGTGCTTTACACCAAAGCCTAATACAAATAATAATCAGGGCTCGTGTTTCCGACAGAATAACACACTGGTTTTTTTTCTTCAAAACTTAATTCCAAGAGGGTAGGAACTAAACAAACAAAGCCACGCACTCTTCACTTTAATATATCCGTGAAAGGTATTTTCAGGCAAAATTGATTTTGAAGGTTACCAGAATTAAATTGAAAAATAACAAAGGAGTCTGGCTTTGCAGCTCAAGGAGGATTTATGATCAGAGGAGACAGAGCGGATCCTTTGTGGCCTTGTTCTCCGTTGTTCTCCAGAAATGACAGCTATTGTCCAGTCTGGCCTCTTATCCAGGAACGAACGTCGGGCAACGAGTGGATTTATCGTCCGCTGTAGCAAAAAACTGTGACTTTGCTACCACAGGGTGGGAAGGGGTTATTATTGATTTGTAATATCCTATAGGATTCTGGGCTTCTGTTAGCACGCCAGGAAAGACATCTGATGTACGTATGGAGGCTTCAGGGGGACCGCTGCTGCATTTTAACAGAAATTCAGTGACATCTACCTTAGAATGGGTTCTGGTGAAGGGCGCGGTTCCAGCCACGTGAAGGGATCCCCGCTGCAGAACCGGACACCTCTGATGTACCCTAACGAGCAGCACCTCATCCCGCTGCTTTTTAGTAAATACCAATTTTTCCTTCCTTTAGAGGGGACAAAATTCAGGGAAAGGTAGCTTAGTATGGCAAACACCCTCTCCCCCCCCTTTCCTCCTCACACGCGTGCCGGAGCGGCGCGGTGAGACGCGGCTTTCCCGAGCACGCCCGCAGGGCTCCGCACATCGCCACCCACCGTGCCGGCTGCCGAAGGCCCCCGAGGAGTTGTCACAGTCACCTAATTTCACATTTGCTACTGATCTGTCTCGTGCAAGATACGCTCACCACTTCTGTTGGTGTGGCTTCCGCGGGTTTATGTTTTCCCTTATAAAAACTCCTCGCGTTTAAGCTTTCCCATCCTCCCTGTCGTACCGTGGGCCCTCACGAGGTGCCATTTGTGTCAGAAAACAGGTATGGTCAGCCAGGTGTCTGCTGACTGTATCTGAGGCGTGTTAATCTATCCTGGAATGTGCTAATGAAACATGCCTGAGATATTACAGTGACGAGCAGGAGAGAAATGGGTGTGACATACTGAGAATGCCAGAGCACCTTGCTATTTATTTGCTGTCAACGCTTAATGCAGACCCAGCATAGGCTATTAAGAAACCATCTTTGCACTTGCATTTCATACCTCTAATGCAGTAATTATACCTAAAAGCGAGGGATGCGTAAGTAGCATGGACATCTCTCCTGTGCCTCTGTCCAGAGGTTTTCTGTAGAGAGGAATAAGCTCACATGCTTTCAAGGCAGGACTGGTCTTAGTGTAGTCTAGGAGAGCAGGGGGGGCTTTGGCTGCACCCACTTATGTGGAGAACCTCCAGTTTTAGGCATGTACCCTGAGAAACAGAACAAAAGCAGAGGAAGGGCCTGAATGCCATGGTCAGAAAGGGGAAGAGCCTGGAAGAGCGATTCCTTAAATCAACGGACAGTTTCCCCCCACTCTAGAAAATACACCCTCTCCGAAGTAAAGCTACTTGTAATAGACAGGCCACACAATGCCATAACAAAGTGATTTTATTGACATTCCTCTATAGTGGTATGGTTGAATAGAAAGCACAGCCTGAGTATTATGTGACATTTTTTTCTGTCAATATAAGCAAAATCAGTCCAATAATGAGGACCTTTCCTGCCATTGACTTCACATAGTCTTCAACAAAAACCGTAACAGACATTTCTGTTAGATAAATTGGAAGCTGCAGGGAATTTGGCTAATGGTACAATATTTACTATACCTAGTATCTACTATCTACAGGCATCTGTTTTTCTACTAGAACAAAGGAACTACATGACTCACTAGAGAGAAAGTAACAATCCAATCTTTTGGACCTTGTGGTAACTGGAAAACCTATCCCAGATTTAGTATATTGCAGTATTTTTTTTCTTTTAATAACGAACACTGAGGTACAGCAAGAATCATAATAAAAAAGCACCGCATTTTTTGTAAAAAGATCTGTTGGTCTGCATTTGACTGAAAGTGTTCAATCTTGACTGGGAAGCCCTATTAGTATTACTATGGAGACAGGACAAATAATTATTATTTCAACAGAAATTAAACAGATCTCCAGTCAAATTTGTCCTGGAATTCCACAGACTGTCACGGGATTAATAGCGAAGGATGAGTTTAACTCTTCCTGTGTGCGTGCGTGTTTCACCTTATTTCTCGTGTGATTTTCACATCCAAATCCAGTATCCTACTGTCTTCAAGTAGAGGTATGTCAACTATTTGTTACAGTGAAACTAGAACAACAAAACACAAACCCAACAAACACTCCCCCTCCCCACGGGCTCCCTCTCAGACTAGACTATGAACTCAAACCTTAGCTACAGTTCATTGAAAAGTTCACGGGCACTTGAGCAAACTGGGTCAGACCTGTACAAAACTCATGATTTCCCCGTTAGATGTAGCCTGGACCACTCGCTTCTTGCCTTGTGATAGCCACGGATCTCCCTGGCACACAAAAGTCAAGTTCTGAATATGCACAAGCCACGCGATTGGAACGCAACGCTCGTCTAGCGCGCTGCTGGCTGGAGTGGCGGCACCGGTGAGGCTGAGGCCTGACGCAAATAACAGTAAGGTAGGGTTCTTTGTATGGGATCCAATCCTGCATAGCTTCTGGGGTCGAACAGTCGCTGAGACTACTTCAAGGCGGAAGACCTACTGATGAGTTAAAATACCTGTTTTCCTTCTCATCAGCTAGTATGGCGACGGGATTTCATAAACAGAAAGAGCCCTTTCCCGCCCTCTACCATTGACACCACCACAACGATCGCTTTGAGAAAGATACGGGCCCTCTGAAACCAAACGTATCAATTACCAATATTCATCGCTCCTGTCAAAAACTGCAGTTCACAAAAAGCAGCCAGATTGCCTATTCAACCGATTGCGTTTTAAAATCTACTGATACTGCTGTCATATCTTAATCCAGCCACCACCAGGTTTAAAGGGAACCGAGGTGAAAGACCTGAACAGATTATTTCACTTTAAACCTGCCCCGTGGAATATCTTCTAGTCTCTCCTGTGGGAAAACGATGAAACCAGAAATTCTGTCATTAACAGTCAGTTTTACAAATGAAAACGCAGAGCTGGGGAGAGCACAGATGAGTAAGTAACAGCATTTGACTCAAAGGGTGAACAAGGAAGGGTATATGCCTCTCATATGCATAACAACAACAAAGTCAATTAATTGCCTAATGGGCAGGTTATGTAACGGGCCAAGGGAGGTGGGTTCCTCCCTCTCTCCTGCTAGCACCAGGCACTGCCCCACTCTACCGTCGCGGTGCCGCTTCCCCTTCAGCCCGGGCCGGGACCAGGCTCTGCCCATGGTGGGACGCCAGGAGTGGAGCGATGCGCTGCGCGGCGCCGAGCCGGATAACCCTGGGATGGAGTCAGTGTGCGGAAACCTATGGGGCAGGGCATTCGGGAACAGAGGGGGATTAACAGGACTAGAATGCAAGCAAAGCAGCATATGGCATTTTCTTTTTGTTTTTTAGGAAAATAGTCACCTGTCTTCCTCTACTCCTGGCTTTAGATCCAAAAAAACTTGCAGGGATAGCTGCACGACCTTGTTACTTTGCTGTCATCACAGTCACCTAAGGAAACAACCTCTTAAAAATACCAGGCTGTGCGCTTGAAAGACAGCTTGGGCCGAGGATTTTGGTGGGAAGTAGCTGGCTACACTGCGTGTTTCCTAGAGCGGGAACACACAAGGTGCTCGAGATGGCATCTGCCAGCCGGGGAGATGCACTAACACCTCAGCTAGCTCAGTGTGCGGCGAGTGCCGGAGCACGTCGTGAGGCAGAATTTCAGGAGAAAGCCTTCCTTGTTTCAGTCAGTGGGGTTTGATGCTGTCTCTGAAATACAAACATCTTTTATTATGCTACAAAAAATAGTTTCACTTTTTCTTAATAAAATATAATTTTTAAATACCTAAAAAAATGTAACTATACAGTATTGTAAAGACTGGATTTTTTTTTTCTTTTCTTTTTTTTTTTTACTTTCTAACTGTGGTAACGAGACAGCTCTTGATGCACTATTTTCCTTGGCCAAACACAGACCAACCGGTTGGACTCTTCTCTTTCTTTTCTTCTGTTGTTGGAAGACATCCAACATCTGACATAGTGCAGGTAACTTTATAACATCACCAGCAATAAAACAAGAACCACACAGGAATCACTGGATTTTGGGGCCCAGTGGTGAAGAGGCAGAAATTAGATACAGTGGAAGATTTCATTGTTCAGTCTCTCCCGGTGTGACTGGCTCTGATGTAATTCATGCACACGTGACAGACGCTCCCAGGAAAAAGTTAAGATTTCCAGCTCTCCTGTGCAGTGGGTCGTGTGGAATGGATACCCGAGAGCTTGTTTGTGGAAATAATAAGCATCATTTTTGGTGTCTGGTACAACGACGCTGGCCTGTAGCTGCAGCCTCCGTACACAGCTGTAATATGAGTGCTCAGTGAGAATAATAACGTACTATAAAATAGATTCTCAGTAAAAGCCATACAGTAAATTAGTATAAAAGTGGCTGAAATGTCACAGAAATTGAATGAACGGGGCAATTTAAACATCCCAAATACTTTAGTTATCATCAACAACAGCTACTATTTCTGCTCAGAAGCACGTTTTTGGGTCCACCACCTTTCAAACACCTATTGACCTAAGAATCAAAGCAGGAGAATGATTTAAAACTCTCAGAATGCAGTTTTTCAAGTGCGATGAGTTTCTGTATAGCCACCATAAAACTATGTGGGAAAGCAGGGTCCAATTCTTTTCTCCGGAGAGCAAACTTACAGGAATTAGATGTGTCAGACATTGAACTGATCTCCTGATTTTACAGTTTTCTGAGGCATAGCTAACACAAAACTACCAGTAACAAGCCCCCACGGGGGTGTGATATTTCATGTGAGCTGCTAGACACTATGATGTTACCTTCTCACTTACCTTCACTCACCCTTCACAAGCCTCTCACTTCATATTTCATGCCTCCTTTAACATATTTAGCATCAGAAGATACTTTGTATTTCCTTTTCCCAGTTAAGACAAACACTTTCAATCTGAGATGAGTCTTGGAAAACGAGGGCAGCAAAGATCAATGAATAGAACACAATCAGAGCAGTGAGGTTGATTGTAACAGCCTCAGCAAAATCCATCCGCAGGCAAGCCTACTGCTGGTTTCCTTTTGTTCCCTGGCTTCAGAGCTGGAATGCGACGTACGCCGAACTGAAGAGGGTTATGTCTGCATAACAAGACCTAGACCTTTAGTTTAGCGGTACCGAACGTGACTGGAGGGCCTTTGGGCTTACTCCAAGAGGAGGTGCAACTAAGTCTTAACCCAAAGAGAGTTACAGTCCCCTTTATCCCTGACAAGCACCCTCATTCACTGCAGCTTCTCATTTAATAGACCCTGGACTACAACCACCTGTCTACAACCACTCTTGAGGTTATGGAGCTTTCCAGCGACCGAGAAAAGAAAAACGACAGAACCGAAATCCGCCCCCAGCACCACAGATTAGCCCAGCCTGACAGAAAAGAAATGGCTTCTGACACAGGGGATGGGATTGTCTAGACTTCTCATTTGGAAAGGAGCATTTTAAACATCAGAAAACAAAGATCTGGTAAACAGAACCCAAGGGTATTCGTAAGAGTAGAACATTCTTCTTATTTCCCCTTTTCCTTGTCATATACAATACTAAGGTAAGGGAGCCTTGTCCTTTATGCTACATAATAAAACATCCTTCTGGAGTATGCACAACCTTGTGCTTCTTGTGTGGTAAACATTACAATGGAGATGCCCCTCCCAATATCTCTGAAGTGCAAGTTCTCTCCAGTACTGGCAAGTAACAATCATAACAATCGCTGTTATGCTTTGCATTGCGTTACAGGTTGGTTTTTTAGTTTTTGACGGTCTTATCTGCACCGTGAATCTGGGCCAGTTCCAGCTGATGCAACTGACGTGGATCATGAGTTCATATATATAAAAATTTCAGTTTTGCTCATAGGTGTCTCTCAGGTGGACAATACATACAGGGAAAACAAGGATGGATGAAGATATATTTGAACAGCTCCTAGTACTGGATTCAACAGTTAAGAAGTAAGATGGGCTGTGAATTGATTTAGAAGATGTGGGCATATAAAAGCTTGGAATGCTCGATGAGTTTTTTTTATTTTTTAATCAACGTAGGTGGAAGTAAACATTTATTAACATTTGGTCAAGTGTAGTGTAACTTGCATTTGTATTTTCATTGTTATTAATGGAGGTATGTAGAGATATACAGAAACCTTGAGACAGTTGTTTTTCTATTGCATACAGACTAGCAGTCCATTGGAAACAGAGGATGAAAGCATGAAGGTTAGATCTTAGAGGGCGGCAGTTCTTCATGCACAGCTTTTGTTAATCTTGATGGGGTTTTTTGTTTGTTCTGTTTTCAAAAATAAAGACATGGGAAACCAAGATCAAATGATGGTGGACAGGAAAGGTGACATCATCAGCCAGAAAAATACCAGAAGTGCCTGAACGCCCTCATTCAAGTCCAAAGGTGCTAGTTTCTTCAACAGCTGTCAGCAGCTTTTCATACAGCATAGAATATGAGGGGTAGGGTGGAAGATCCAAACGGTTGAAACATGTGTGTGCCCTGCAAGAGGAAAACATGCTACATGTTAAATTTAATCTCAGTAACTTCAGAAAATACGAATTGAGAAAACAAGTTCCTACTGAGACTCGAGACATTCAAGTTGACTCAAGAGAGATGAAAAGAAATTCTAACTATTCAGTAAAACTCTTAAATTCTGCCAAATTCTGAAGTACTGAAGTGTACGTGCACATACACATGAATACTTCACATGGAAGATGCAAGCTAAGTATCAACACAACATCACTCTCCACTATCCCTGCATTAGGTGTTGCAGGGATCTTGCAGGGATCTTCATGGGCAAGAACACTGGAGGTCTCTGAGGTCTAGGTCTCAGCTCTAGGCCCTGAGAGACAGAAAACTCCACTACTAGAATTCTGGTTGCTTTGAGTTTTTCCCCCCAAAATGCAACTCACCTGTACATCCAATATGAGCAGCTGGCAAGTTTTGCACCAGTGGACAGGCACAATGTGACAAACTATACTGACAGGATGGGCTCAGCATGTGTTTAGAGTAAGGAAGGGCTGACTCGTAAAAGACCGCTCGGGGATCTGCTAACTGAAGAAGGAAGGTTGCTGAAAATGTTCCTGTAAGTCAGCTGTTGGCCATCTGCTGCAAATCTGGCCTTTAAATGTTATTTATTCATAGTAGCCAAGGCAAAAGCGAAATATTTTGTGCCAGTGTGATGACCCTCTCTTCCCCCAGTTCTATCATTGTATTTACCCCCGGCTGGCAGCACCCTCAGAAGAAGCCGTGGAATGGGTTCCACGCCTGCCTCCACCTTGTTGCAGCTTTTCTGGCAGCAGCAATTAGACCCCGATGAGGACTGCATTTCACCCTGTGAGGTGCTGTACTAATGCGGAGCAAAGAAACAGTCCCTGCCCCAGCAGTTCATCCATTTCAACGGGCGGAAAAACTGTAGAGCTCATTCAACAAATAGGAGGGGCACGTTTTCAATAAAATTGTTTAATTTTTTTTCAGTCAGCTTGGAGTTGATGCTAGAAGTATTTCTGTTTCCTCTTGCTCCCTCTGATAAATATGAATTGACAAAACCCTACAAAAGGGAAATGCAGCCTCAATGGCTAACAATGTCTAAGCTCTGTTCCCTAGTATTTTTAGACACCATGAAGTTGTTTTACTTTTAGCTTTTCTATCTCATACTTTGATTCAATGTCATTTCTTCAAAACTGAAGCAGAAGAGCTATCTTGGAGAACCTATTTGAAACTCTGCTCGTCATCTCTCAGGCCACCCACAAAGCAAGAAGAATGATACTGGTAGATGGGCTGGCCTGAGACTTGCAGATTCAGAGGCAGAGTTTTATCGAGCACCAACGGTGAATCATTCAAAGCAATCAGGCAACTGAAATAGCCAGGGGCACGTAATCTTCACTGCATCACAGAATTTCAATTAGGAGAGCTTTTACCATCCTTTTTCCTGCTCTGAACGAAGATTTGTTGGCTGGTTACTCTCAGAGTATACAATAAACACAGAATTTGCGGAAATGAGCTGAGAACACGTGAGTTAGTGAAAAAGGAACGTTAATAGAGCCATTAGTGAATATGTCTCTTGAAATGGAACCCAGCAGCTCGTGTGTATTACCCACGAGTAGCCCTGCACTGTTTATTGTTTATCTCAGCAATCTTTGGCAGCGTAAGTTGTTTCTACAATCCATTGCCAATATGTATCAACCACTGAGAGTTAATTAACTGCAGGATTCTCCTAGCCCCTTCAGAACATGTTTATGACAGGCAAGGCAGCACCATTCCGCCAGGGCCGGTCTCAAGGAGCTCAGCTGCCTGGCTCCAGAAGGCAGCATAGTCCCGGGGGCTCAGGGGTGGATCCTGCTAACGTAACTGTGCTGGACCTAAAGTAGTGGTACTGAGCCGTGGCACATTGAGACCACAGCACCTCAGACACTGCTGTCATGCATCCTTCTGTGTGCCACACACATATCCACAGCCTCTGACTCTGGTGTTTACTTTCTTGCAGACATTCATCTTGATTGATCGTTATCCATCTCATTTCATACTGGTTATGAAACCACCTTGAAATGCTGTTGACATTTAGTCATCCTTGACCTAGTCAAACTCAGAAAAAAAGATGAATTCCTTTTCTTATTAAGAGGTTTACAGAAGTTGCCGCTTCTGTAGAAGGTCTCAAGGAATTTAAACTATTACAAAGAAAGGAAGAAAAAGTTAACATGTCTAGGAACACTGAAGCATTTTGCCAAGCAACATTCCTGTGTTCTCCTGTTCAGCAGCTTTATAGCAAAAAAATCCTTTTACTCCAAAAAAAAAAATTCATCAAATCAAAAATGAAAACTAATTTTCAGGAGTACTATGCAAGTTAGGTTTGCACTTTTACCTACCTCAAGTGCAAAACACAATATATCGCTAAGGGCAAAACCTGAGTTCAGATTCTGGTCTGTGAAACTAATGTGGATCTACTGCAACTCCGAAGATGCCAGTGAAGCCCACTCAACCTCACAACAAGATAATTACATGCAAAATTGTCTGGTATACATTCAGCAATGGGCATAATTGTTTCTTTGATGCAACGGCCAGACATGGTGTCTACTCGTGTAACTGAACGACATATTCTGCCTCACACGAAATAAGAGAGGGTTGACTGGCACTCCTCATTCCGTGCTGCCTCTCTCCCCAGTATTGCTGTGCATAGCACCCTTGCCTCCTGCAGCTGAAAGCTGAAACCTTTATTTTCCAAATCAGACTAGAGACAAATTGCTCAGTCTCTAGTCTATTCTATCATATGCAGTGTGATACTGCAGTACACAGGGCGATTAAGAGACAAGGATATTTTCCATAACATCCACTGTTGCCTGACTCTGTGCCTTGTCCTCCAAAGGGGTAAATTCCTCCTGAACAGTTTTGACCTCCTCCTGCCGATCCCAGTGAGAGTGACTACAGTAAGCATCATCCAGGGGACACTTTCTGCCCATATTGGGGTGAAAACTTTCTATCAGCAGTGCAAGAAACAGTCATAGCAATGAGAAAAATCTTTTTTTCCCTTTTAAGCCTCCTACCACATAAGCCTGCTGACATTTGAGAGGGTGGTTCAGGGAGTGAGAGGTCTGGAATAAGAATTAGATTGGTAAGAGATTTTACGGAAAGGATTCTGGCTTCTCTGGAAGAAAATGCACGATAAAGTCATATAAACCAACTCTGACCCTCATGTGCCCTCCATCCTCCAGTAAGTAAAGCAGTAAAGGGACCACTTAAAATTTCCTTCTTCCTGGCAGTCTGTCTTTACTGCTCAGAGTAGTTTTGGTGGGTCTGAACCTTTAATCTAGCTCACTGTTCACTGTGCTGTGCTGTTTCTTTTCTTTTAAGAATTCTCTCTAAAAACGATGAGTATAAGCTGTTGAGATTTTTGCATTCTTCTTTTGTCACTTCCTTTGATCCCCATAACGCTGAGAGTCCAAAGGCAGTAAGTGTGCACAGAACCCCCTCCTATCTTATTTATAGCTTGAACCTATCAACTAAAATAAGATTTGCATTCTGACATAACCATGCTTGTCAGGCAGAAACTGGGCATTTCCCCTTTTCACCTTGCTTTCTTTAGATAAACCCACAAACCCCGCTTTGATCAACCCCAGGACCCACAGGTATCGACTTTTGTTCCTGCTGTCTGTAAGAAGGAACGCTTATATGCTGACTGGGAAGCACTGCTTAATAGACAAATGTTGATTTGTAGAAGGTATTTCTGTTCTGTGTGAGAAAAAAAGGAAAGAGAAGAGGGATGAGAGATAAGGAAAGATGAAAGATGGTAAAGCACACATACTCAGTCCACTGGGAAAGAAGGCAATGATGAGGAAAAAGTTCTTTGTAGTTGCACACAATCTTTTTTTAATTGCTATGTGGGATTCTGGGGTGATTAAATACTTGATGCGCTAATAGGAAGGGACAGAATTCTCTTAGAGAAGATCAGATATTTATTAGCACTGGTAATCTTTATCACACATAACCCACTGACAGTTTGGCGGTAATCACTAATATTACTCTGCTGAATGAAAACCTCTTTTGATGAAAGGGTAGCTGCAGCTCAGCACTGCTGGGAAAAGTGACCTCATTGCTTCCAATGTGATTATTTGAATCGCTGGGATACATGCTGAGATCCTTCCTTAATTGATACTCAAACAGAAATAACCTTGGAGCTGAGAGGAGCTTTGGCCAGGTGAGGAGCGAGACCAGAAGATGGGGCAGTGGCCTTTGTAGGCACTGAACACTTTTTGCAGCTGAGGATTTAAGAAGAGGTGGCTGTTGCCTCCTACGGCTGTAGTATAAAACACTGCTAGTTCTTCATGCAGGTTTGGTTTTGGCCAGGAGTTCTGCTCCCACAGTATCAGATGAAGCTACGTTATTCCAGCTAGAAAGCCAGTGTCTGCTCATTAATGTTTGGTGGGGAAGGAAGAATAACTTCTTGCAGAACTACTGCTAAACTGGTTCCGTGTTAAATATCTGCATGACCCAGGAAAGGTGAAGAGAGGCTTCCTGCTTCAGAAGAGGTTATAGCTGGAAGAATTCTCCATCTATCCCCACTCAGGCAACTAGTTCTGAGAAGTAAAATATGCAACTCCTTTATTTTGGGAGAAAGCTTTGCATATTAGATAGGGAGAGTAAAACTCAACCTTGATGAACAAGTGGTTGAACCTGTTATTTCATATGACAAGCTACACCAGTTTGGAAGAAACCATGCTGCAGGTTTACACCGACAGATGTGTAAATCTGGCAGTCTCTTTGGAACCTGCTTTAGGGTCACTGTCTAGAGATCTGGGATCAGAGCAGCATCTCTGAGCTGTATAGTACTTTGATTTTCTAATGTGTGTGGTCTCAAAGGAAATACAGATAGGAATAATGTGTCTGGTACACATGCATACTCCAGAAATGAACCACTGATGTAATCTAACTCTTATTTGTCTTAGATGAACATATCACACCGCCATGACCCTGTTCACGTAGGGGAACTGGTACTGATCAACAAGTCCAACAATTTAGAATGAAGTTACCGGATTCCTGACCTTCCTGAAAAAGTCTTGCTTACCCTCAGTGCTTTCAAGAAGCACTTTAGGCGTTAGGTTTTAGTGGTTACTCTTCGAGAAGTGTTGCGTTTTAGAAATTTACACTATGCCTCTTTTCTGGGAGTACCATGTTGCTGTCTCAAGTGCAAAAGCGTGGCTGGTTTAGGTGTTATCATATCTCTGCTCATTACAGGCAAATGGCAGTTGCATGCTCCATTGCCAAAGTGTAAGGACAAGACGTAAGGGAGAGTCGCCTAACTCCTTCAGCCATCTGGAGCAGGAGTGAGAGAATGCAGGAGGAGTCCCGGAGTCTCCTGAGGGAGCTAAAAGTTATCTCGATACTTGTAAAGCAGCTGAAAACCCAAAGGCCAGTCTAACCTATCCCCAGTGACCCATCATCTACCTGGATGTCAGGAAAGCCAAATGCATCAGCTTTATGCAAGCTTCCATAACAGCTGTCACAGCATCGCATTTATTGGGTCAGGGCCTAAGAAATAAGGCCAGTAATTAAGAGGTGCAATCCATACCTAAGCACATAAGTGACTAAACCCGCTGATTGCTAAGATATGGGAAGGCTGGGTTTTTTTCCTAGGACTTGGAAAATGTGCAGCAAGGGTAACTCACTGTGAAATTGTAGGAATTGTTAGAAGGAGAAGGGAATTTGTTGTGGTTTATTTTAAACAGCTAAAGTTAGTTACACTCGCATTATATCACAGGGGCCAAAAGGCCTACAGGATATGACATATGACTTTTTTTTAGCCTCTAAGTCTAAGTAAATACGTAAGTAAATCTAAATAAACACAAGCAATCCATAATCAGGCATTTAAAAGAAGTTTAAAAAACCATTTATTTAGTTGCTTAACTAAGGATTTAGGGAGCCTCCAGGTTTAGCCTGTGCGTTTTATGTATTTCTTAACACTGTGTATACTTGGCAGCACCCCATAATTTTATAAAAATGCAGGTAATAATTCACAGCGATCAAGCTGTGTTTATTCCCCATGAGCAAGTGTTGTTTCTCTTTCCCCTGGCTAAACTGAACGCAGAGCTCTAAGACTTCTAAAAGGTGCTAACAACTTTCACCTGGAAAGAGGCCTCTTTCAGGGAGAGCAACAAGTTCGGCGATCAGCAGACAAGCATAAAGTCATTAATGTGAATATCTTGGGGCTAACTGAATCTAGGTCATAAGTAATGCCTAGGTTCACAACGAAAGTTAAGCAGAGCAGAAAGAGGCCGGTTACCTCTTCAGAACTTGATGGGTTTTCTGAACCAGGGTGTTTTCTGTGCACGCGCCAAGGTCCACGCTCCCCTCTCGCCCCTTTCCATCCCAGAAGGAGTGCAAAGAGAGCCCTGCAAAAATGCTGCACAAGTCCATGACTTCCAATTGCTGCCTGTCTACAGGCAGGAATGCCCTTGGTCAGCTCCGAAACCCTTACAGAGAACCAGACTCCATGTATGCTGCAAAAGGAGGATCTGGCCTACGCAGAGCAAACTGTAGCTCTCAGGCTTTCTTTCCACATTGTTGGCTGAAGCTCAACGGGCATGAGTCATCTCACTGACCTTACGAGTTTTCATCTGTTTTTAAATCTCAGTGCCTACATCTAGCTTCCATGTAGGCTTTAGTTCTCCATATAGTCTCTGTGGAGTCTTTATGGTCGATAGACATCAATCAGAATATACCAGGTGTGATTCAACTGAGCTATTTTAAAAAGCTGTTTTCAGGTGAGATGAACTGTTCCTTAAATACACGTACTTCCCTCTTCCTGGCTTTAGAGGGAGTCTACACAAGAGAGTACCCTGGTCCAGCTCCTGGTCTCCCCACTGCTTGAGCAGGCTTGGACTAAGAGGGTGAGCATATTTGGACTTTCCCTTTCCAGAGGACTCTGGAGGTCTGCTCAGGTTCATGTTTTATAATATGCTTCTGGGTAAACGACATGGATGGCAAGTAACTAGAAAACTGGGCCAGACCCATTGTTAATCCATTGAATATATTCGCAAGGTCTGCAACAAGAGATTTTTGCTCTGTGCCATGAAAGTAGTCTCCTTCGGACTGCAGCTGAAAGAAAATGGTAAGAGGAGGAAGAAAGCATCCTTTGGAGGGCAAATGTCATGTAAAAGGGTCACGTAGCAAAAGTACCTCAGAGATGCTGAGGTGTGGCCCTGTGAAAAATGCCCTGTAATCTCAACGGAGCAGAGCTGCAACTGTAAGGGCAATCAAGAAAAGGTGGCTCACTACAGTGAGGAAGGATGAGTGCTGGTCACGGATAAAGTGCTGGAGCAGAACTCAAAGCTGAATGTGTCACTGGCTGTGCCATGGCTCTCTCGGGTGGCCTTAGGCAAGGCAGAGCACTCCTGTGCCCCGGTCCCTTTGCTCTGGAAAGGAAGATGACCCCTCTCGTGGGAAGCACCGCGAAGTCTCTTGACTCTGTATGACTTTACGGCTCATTTGCTCCTCGCTGGCCGACTGAACTAGATGTAACAAATTGGGTATTATCACCACATGGTCCAAAGTCCCCTCGCTAAGCTTCATGATGAAAAAGTGGAACCATTGGAGCAAATGAAGGGATTACACTCAGGTCTCTGGCCAACACTGAGATCCTGGCTTTCATGGCTCTGTAAACTCACAAGTATTTTTACTAGTATTTTGGAAGTAAAGGGAACAGAATCAGCTGACAGGCTTCTGCTGGTCTGGATCTGTTCCAGAATAAAAAAAAAGAGAACTAGGTTTAGACCTATGGAAATCTTTACCTTAACCATTTCCCAGGATTCAAAATAGTTTAAATTGAGGCTGCAAATCAAAAAAGCAACAAAAGAAAACGCTTTTCTCTGAACGTAGTTACAGAACAAACCGGCAATTGTTCCTCTGCTGTTTTAAGATGTCCTTACTGTATTCGTTATCCTTCAGTGGCAGAGAGATGCAACAAAGCACCAGGCTGACCCTTCTCACAGCACTCCTGGTTTTGTACCCAAGTTAGGACGTACCTTGGAAGGGAGGTTATTTTCCCCCATTTCTCTATACAGAAGCGCCGGAGCCCATTGCTGCCTCGAAGAGCTGCAAAGCCCTCGTAGGGCACGCTTGATGTTCCAGTGACAAATTGCAACAACCGGAGTCTCTGCTCATTGTTAAATCTCTCCACTGCCGCCCAGAACCACCGTATTACTATGTGCCCATCATGGTAACCTAAACCAAGAAGCAAGAGAGAGAAATTAAAAGCACCCCCTCCACGCGGGGAGTGTAACATCAAAGTACGTTCCCCGTAACGTGGGGCAGAAGATCTCCTACTGAAAAGATCCTGACCTAACGATGTATCTTGTTCTTGATGAGCATTAGGCCCCAGCCCCCACCTTGTCCTGGCTGTGGATACTATAATAGTACTAAATCACCTGAAACCCTGAAACTCAAATACAAATTTGAGGTACATTGGCCTCTCACAAATCCCTTGGCAAGAACTGGGGTTACCTGCATGAGATATAAAAAAAACAATTGCGACATGCCACACAGTGAGAGACCTAACGACTTAACAATTTCTGGTTCCCAAATAAATTCTCTTTTGGATTGCAACAGTGTTCAACATATGGAGAAGAGTTTGCTGCCGCAAGCCCTTCCCTGGCAAACTTCCCACCCGAGGGGCTCTGTGCCTTGGTTTGTGCTAGTGAAAGCCAGCATTAAACCCAGGCTGAATCTGTTTTAAAACCTAAACAGAAAAAAGTAGGAGGAGAATAACTTTGGGGAGCAGCTGTGCTTGTGGTAAGCTGTGTATTTCAAGGTAACACAAAGGCTGGGCAGTGAGCAGCAAAGACTTGAACCTTGTATTTTGGGGAAGGATATGTGAACCTCGGGGACTTTCCTTTCGTAGTGCAGGACTGGTGGATTTCACATTTATCTATCACCCAAGGCAGCCTGGATAAACCATGCTCAGTGTTTAAAGCAAAACCAGGCCAAGCACTAGAGCAGAAGGGAAAAAAAAATATCTAACTTGACAGTTTAGGATGTTGTTGAAGTGTAACTGGGATCCGTGAAATTCAGCTCTTGAATTCAGCTCCTTGCTGAAGCCAAGAGGAACTTGAGATACTCCTTCAAATGAGGCCAGGAGTTCACTCACAGTCATCTAGGTAAATAACTTCTAGATCTAATACTGCACATCCTTTTCAGTCCTGAACAGGCAAAACTCCTGTTAAGTCAGTAGGAATTGAGGGGGTAAAATCTGGATAGAAGTAGCAGAAACAATTTCAGTATTATTACATCTGTTGATCCAAACCAGAGATCTTACTTATTTTATTTCATGAGTTGTTCTTCCCAAAAACTTCCTGAACAAAATAGGACATTCCCTTCAGGGAAGACAAAAGGAAAATTAGCCTTTTTAGACTGAAACCAGTCACGATATTAGTAAGCATCAGCAGGCAGTTTACCTCCACGATATTCTGTGTTGTTACGCCAGTCATTGAGATCTATTTCTGCAGTGCCAGCTATAACCAGCTCCAGTTCTCTGGCATCAAAAACAGAGACAAGCCTGGAGTCTACAACCTGAAACAAAAAGCACTTGTAAGCACAGTTTCAGACTGGAAATAAAGCAGATACAATGTCTCGGAAGCCTATGGCTCTGATGGTCAGCTCTTTATTCTGACAGCTAACTTCCACTCCTCTGCTGATAAATCTGTGCTCTTCTTCAGGGTGTCTGCTGATGGTTTGAGCTGCAAACGTGAGATTTGACCAGAATGAAACAATACAAGTGGCAGGACATAATCTGTGCAGAACATTCTTCATTGTTACATTTATTCTGACGAGTGATTTTGATAGGCAAAGACTGGATTTGTAATATAGACCATTTATTTTATATTGGTTTTGCATTGGAATTTGAGTACAGTTGTGTAGGTGTGCCCTCAGGTCCTCACCCACCGAAGATGCAGCTGAGGTTCACTCTCTTCATTACATGAAACCAAAAGCTTTCATGCCCTGAAGTATTATTCACAGGCGGAAAAATCTAGTGAATCATTTACACACTTTAGTAAACTGTACGGAGTCACTAGCCAACCCCTTTCTACAGGAAAGGGCTGACCAGTTCTGTTCAGCTACAAAGCCACCCTCTCTGGCTTCTGCCCCAGTGACTGTCAGTGCATGACTGCTTGGAGCCATCAGTTATCAATATCATTCTGTGTGTCCTTCATCTGCTGTTTCATTTTTCACGGCTGCCATTCTTTCAGTTTATTTTCCTCGGCGAGACAGCCCTCAACTTCTACTTACATTATACAGCTGCCAGGGCAAGATAAATGTTCGCATGTCATTAGTGAGGGGCAAGAATAGGTGACTACGTGGGTTGGTCAGCAAAGTCACAGATTTTCATCCAGTCTTTGGCAGTCCTTATAGCAGCTCTTCCAAAAGGATGTTCTCAGATCCAGGTCTTCAGTAAAGATAAATTAGGAAAATCCAGGGACAACAGTGGAGCAGCATCCACGAATACCAGCAAGATAATAGCTGACTGCATCCTAGGACCAATTTTATTGGAATGCGTCCTTAAAGATACAGAGTGTCACACCAGCTCCTCACTGAAGTGCACAAATCTTCACCATCTTCTGCATCACAGTAGGGTAAAAGAAAATTTGCAAATGCCTATTTTTCTTACTATGTGAATGGAAAACAGTATCTTTCTTAACTCTTGATCGTTATGCTTTATCATATTCAGAACACACATTTCTTTCCTTTCTCCCTTAACGCTAAACATGCCGTATCCAAGCACCCCCATTCCTCACCCTGTGTCTGTTTAGGTATTTCCTAGGGTACCAGTGAAGCACAGTTTAACCGTGGGGTCGGCTCATTCAGACGAGGAACAGAAGACTGTAGGAGCATCGTTTTGTTACTTACTTCGTAGAAGCCACGGACCAGGGCCTCTGTTTGCTGAACCACTCCTCGTTCCACTCGCCACTTAACCATTCTCTCGATGTACTCTTTTTTATTCTTTTCTGTCACTGCTGTATTCGCCCCTCCAGATTTCAACTCTCTCTCTGTCACCTACAGAACGAAGATAAACAGTGGTGTAGCAATGTATGGATCACACTGTGTTTCAAACTGAAGCTGTAATTTGAAAATGTAAGTGAAAAATAGAACAGCCACATTCCTGGTTCTGGCCTCCTGGCCTTTTGCCCGTTTGCAGGAGAAACAAAAAGGATAATGAGGGACACCCCCTCAGCCTCAGCCCTAGCTCTATCCTAGCTGAACCTGGACTGACCTTCAGGTTACTCCAAATTGTACCAGCAAAGATTGATTTGGAGAGCACTGCCCGTAGGCCATATACAATGTGCTACTCTGGCCCATGTTTTTATCCTTCTCCTCTCCTTTCCCCCCACAAGAGCTGCGGAAAAGGGTGACAACCACACCAGCTTCCTACTTGCTGTAGATTATCCAAGCAACAGCATGGGAAACAACAGGATGGAGAGGCAATTATAGTATGGCAATCGCTGGCTGTTTCACCCAGTGGAAGGGCTATCTACTTGTCTCTTAGGCAACAAGTGTTAGCATTCCCCAAGTGCTAACAGAAGTGTTTACTCAGAAATGCCAACAGCTGAAGAAATGATCACAAAACGAATACTGCCAATACACTACCCAAACAAGATCCGTCCAGCACCCTGCCCAGATGACCAATATAGTCACTGCAGGATTCAGAGTTTTATATCAGCCACCCAAACCTGAGAAGTGTTTGTACTGTAAATAATGTTTGTTTGTTTGTTTGTTCTAAAAAAAAACAACCAAGAGCTACAGCATTTAATTGCATTTTAATGGTTCATTTAGTTGGCTTGTGTTACTAAAGCTTAAGATTGAGAAGTGATTTAAGGAATCAGTCTAGGTTCTACCCAGCAAGCACATACTCCCTCTCATATGTGACAGATAATAATATTTATCTTGCAATTATTTTCACATTCAATTTAGTGGATTTAAAAGAAAGACTGTTTTGCTCTCCTCTTCAGTTTTCTGCTGCTACAACAATGATGTCGAGGACAGACAGTAAATGAACTGCATGAATACACATTCATTTTTTGTAATATTTCCATATTATTTATATTATTATCTATTTATTAGCTCAACAGACAGCCCACAGCATATATAGAATTTAGGTCACTTTGCTTGAGGGACCTGTTGTAACATTATGAATTGTGGAACCACTGAATGAGTCATCTAATCTGTAGCTTTGGTGAGAAACAGCGAGAACAAGTAAGGTCGGATGTTCTGAGTTAGGAATTCTTAGCTGGTTCAGGTTAAATTCCCAAATGTAAATCACTGCATCACCATTATACAAGCAACGCTGCATCATCCAGAGCGTAAGCCTCTGGCCCAGCTGCCACGCTCTGTTCTTCAAGGCTGTGCAGCATGGATACATCTATCAAAACCAAAGCCTAAATGTTGTCTAGCTTTAAGCATGTCCGTAAGTCCAGATGTTCTAATTCTCCTGCAAGACTTCCCACAAACACTTAGGCATGCTGGTGATTTCTTCAGCTTCTCACGATCCATACAATTTCAGATACAACTAGTTATCTAGAATCGGAGGCCCGCAATCAGTAACAATGTGTCCCTATTTTTTTCTTTCTTGTTTGGAGAGGCACTCACCACAGCTGTGAGCTAGAATTCTGAATCATTATTTTAGAGTAGCAAGGAGACATTTTGATCAACCTAGCCCACTCTTTTTACCGGACTGGAGCAATTGCCAGGGCTCAGAGGCAGGCTGTATCCACATAGAAAGCTCAGAGACAATCCTGGAAGAACACTTTCTACTGGGTAAAATCATGAGACAGTACTTAGGGCCACAAGCAACTGGCATCTGCTTCTGTCTTCTAAGTGAAACTCTCAAACTGGCATCCAGGCTCCAGCAGTAAAAATGTGCAATGCGTGGTTTGACACCGTATCTCTGCTATTACAGTAGTGCTCCAGGCTCCCGTATGTAAGAAGGCTAGAACTCCTCAGTAGTAAATTCTAATTAAAAAGGTACCAAGAAAGAGAATTTGGCCCACAAGGCTTAAAAGCTAAATACATGTCAGAGGTGAGACAAGAAAGAAAAAATTAAAGTAGTAGTGACTGGTCCATAATAAAGTCATTGTGGAAGCAGGACAAAAGGGCTGTAACCATCCACCACACAGCCTCTCAAAGAGCCACTATTTCTTGTTTCCCTTACCCAACCCTTGAAATCCAGCTTCCCAAATATTATCAGTGCTCCCACTGTGATCCACACTTGCACGTGTATCCAGCACAGCAATGCTTAGGTGGCATTTGAGTGGTCAGATACTCTTGGCATGCAAGAATTTCCCACTGGGATCCATCTATGAGCATAAAACATGACTGTGATTTCTTTGTTATTTTGCTGTCAGCACTTAGCAAATTTCAGAAGGGGGGGAAAATCTCACTTTCACTCTGGACTCTTGGATTCTGACAGTTGTAATTCACAGCGAGAACCATCTACCAAGGTTAATGTCTAGTACATATGAAATAAAGTACTAGACAACACGTTAAACAGCATCAAAATCTTTCTTTCAGTGTTCTTTTGCTTTCATATCACAGTATCTACAACAGATTGTGATTTTTTCTATTCCCTTCGGAGCCCTCTCTTATCTTCCACAACAGACAATCTGGGGAGAGCATAACAAGTAATTAGCATGCCAAACGTTGCCTTCAGCTGCATCAGGGTAATTCGGGCTGAAATTCTTATTCGGCTTTGGAGTATTCCAATGTAAATACAAACTTGTCTCACCTGTCTTTGTGAATATGTCTGTATGTTTCTGTCTGTGTATTAGTCTTATATAGCCAAACTTTCGAGGGAAACCACTGTACTGTCAATTGAATGCCATGCAAGCTCTTTGTTCGAAGCCCATGAAAAACCCCTGCATTTCAGTCTGCGGAAAAACAGTGCTATTGTTCCTACCGAGGCTTCTTACTTCATTGCTTCCTCCCCATCCTTATTATTTCATCCACCCCTGACTCTGCTCATCCTTCATGACCTTGTACTACAAGCAGAATAAATTCAGTTTTGAAAATATCCCCTGAAGTCTTGCTTGCTTTCTCCTACTTTCAAGCTTATAGCTGAACAATCCTTTTACTCTCAAGGCCAGAAGTCCTCCCCTCAGAAACTAGTCTGACCCTCCCCTAGCTCACAGAGCTACCCTAGCTCTGTGCAAACTCCTCCTGTCAACTTTATTTTCAAGGGCTAAGAGCCGCTCTCTGCATATTCCACCCGATCTCTGCTCCCACTGACACTGCGCATCTGCTCCTTACACAAGTTAACTTCCACCCCTTGAGCTTCTGCAGTACTTGGTGAGCTTGGGCCTTCAGCCTCTCTCGTTTTCAGTATCTCCTCAGAGGGCCTTAATCTTGGTCTGAATACTGCTTTGGGTCCCTTCAAGGCTTTCCAGAGTTACAATCTAGCATGGGTTACAACAGCAAAGAGCACCAGCGCCTCGGTGTGAGCCAAAGAATCCCACAGGAGACAGTTGTTCTGGTTGCCAGTCTGCACTTAAGCCAGGGTTGCACCCTGTTTGAGGCTATAGTTATCCAGATCAGTGAGGTTAAAGAGAATTGTCTGCCTAAGGGAGAGCTGAGTGGTAGAAAGCATAATAAATGGATGTAGATACAAATTTGTTAAGTAGGTGCAAGGTAAGTAGGAGACACAGAATCTAACAGGGAGATACCAGACAGAACAATGGTGAGAGTTGCCAAGCCTTACACCACCTGCCAAATGTTTTTCTTCCCTCCTAACCCCCCCATCCTTTCAGTCACATCAGCTTTAAGTTCCATGGCTTGCATTCACCGGACGCCACATCTGTGTGAACCATGCCCTGGAGAGAAGCGCTGCACTCCACAGAATTCCTCACGCTCATCGGCGTGTGGCTCAATAGGCCTGTAGGGGGGCTGGTATTTTATATTATACACCCTAAGAATAAACATCTGCAATGAAACAGGTGGCTTGAAAGAAGCAGAAGGTAGGAGAAGAAAATGTTATTGAAAGGCTAAAGGATCTGTTCTGACAGAAAGATGTTCATCATGCTCAACTCTGTCAGCTTCAGATTTGCCTTTCAGATGTTTTGCATAGCTGTGCTCACCTGTCCAAACACCTCCTCGTTCACCGTGAAGGTGAGATCCAGGATATCTGTGATGTTATTATCCTTCATCCACTGCAAACTCTGATGGAACTCTTCATCCAGGTACTCCAAGTCACTTAAATCACATGGCCTGATTGCGAGGCAAGAAAAAAAGATGTTGCTGAATAGGTGACCCCAAGACTATTGGCAGGACGACTTACTACTAAGAACATGAACAAATTTATGCGGAAGATCCAACATGAAGCTGGTGTTCATTTGGTTTTGTTACCATCAAAACTGGCTACACAGACCCTCTTAAAGCAGTTCTGCAACTGTCTGCTTTGCACGGCTGGGCTCGAGGCCAGCTCTGCTGGCTGCCTGCACTATTTGCTGTCAGGAGGCACCCCTGAGGCTTGATTTTATGTGAATCTTCAGAATGCCCCGCACTTCAGAGCACATGCTTACCTTCAGTCCGGATGGGCCCCATCATGTTGTGCCTGGCTGCTTCCATGTACCTAGCACCCTTGAGGTGAGCACACAAGGCTGACACAAGGCAGACCAGGCAGCTGAAATTTCTGCTAATAAGGAGCCGGCCTTGTTTGCTGAAAAGGCAGGTGGATGGTACGAGCAGTCTGGTTTCAAATCCCCAGAAGGGGCAATAAGGACGCAGGGAGCACTCCAGGTTTCCAGGCTGTTTCCAGACTAGCTCAGATACGATATAGATATGAGTGTTTGGACCCCAGCAATACTCATTGTTTAAAAAAAATTAATTAAATACATGTTAAAGGACTGTTAAGACAAATATCTTTGCTGCTTTGGAATCATCTTAATTGATAAACTACATCAGCTAAGATTTACTCTGCTCTTGGTCATTTAATTGCAGTCTTGACTCTACTATTTAATGGCTTTTCTTATTCCTGCAAATTTTATGTACCTTGTCTTACTGTGGCCTATTGATTAAATAGGGACAGATTGTCAATTAAAGTTAACCTTATCAACTTGACGATGAAAATAATACATTACTGGCAGCTTCTGCTTACTAGTATGAAAGACAGTAGAAGACCAATAAGAAACTTTCACTGTTTATATCTACATTAGCATTCCTAATTAGCCTGAGTTGTGTTTTAGAATGAAAACCCACTCCACCAGTGAGGCATGAGAAAGGATGTATTTTTCTTAATATGACCTCCTTTCTTTTTTTGTTGTTTTGTTTTGTTCCATTTCATCAAAGATACTTTCCAGTTTTCCACGTGGTTAAAGTCTGATAACTTTTTATCATTAGTAAACTCTAGAATTATGGGTCAGTACTTTCAAACATGTGTTTCTAAATGTCATACTTCCTATGCATTTTTACCAACATAGTATTTATGAAAGTCAAGTTTTTGGAGAAGGTAAAGAAAAATTTAAAAGCATTTGTTTTCTATCACAGACTAACCAACCAACAGTGGAAAGCACTTGAAGGCTGGAGCGCTCGAAGCAGCTCCATGAAGGTCTGTGACTCTGCAGGACTCCGGGTGGGATCACGGTTTCTGGATGGTTTCTGCATGGTTTCATGCTTATACTTACAGCCTTAGTAGTGCTTTGTAGAACGGCCTTGTGAAGAAAGCATCAAGAAGGTACTGATGAATGAGAGCAAGGCCAAGAATACGACCGCTGAACCTGAACCTGGGATGTAAAAATGCAGAGTAAATGAAGAGTAACTCAAAGCTTTCAGCACAGAAACTTACACAGGTAGCAACTGTTATTTCTTTCTGACTTAAGTTTCTTACGTTTTTTTCTCTTAGTTCTTTTTCTCCAAGCAGATACCTAACACCACCCCTTGCACCTCTGATCAATAATGGATCTCCTCTTGACCCACCTCCTAGAGTACCCATACGTGCAGCTGGCATGTTACATGCTCCCCCGTGCCAAGCCAACAAACGCTCTGAAGACTCACCTTCTGTGATCTTCAGCAGAATGTTCTGATACAGGCTGATTCCATCAAACACAACAGTTAGCCAGTGAAATACCGTAACGCTCCACCTCAGTAGAAAACATACTATCAAAACAGCTGCCAAGGGTATGTGGTGAATCAGTATATCCAGTTTCTTACTGGTTACAACCCTTTCCAAGGTGGAGCTTTAAAGTACTTTAAAAGGGTAGCGAGTTGACTTTATAGAGGAAAACTGAAGTTCGGGTAAGTTAACCGTTGTGACCAAGGACACATGTTAAAATCAGTGTCTGAAGCTCAGGCAAGCTGTCCCCAGATCACTTTCTTAATGGTGATGCTCAGCTGTCTGCAGTATTTACATGCCCTTGTGTTTGTTTCTGTTTTCCAAGAACAACAACCCCTTGTCCGGTCCCAAGTATACTGAAATAGTGCCCTGCCTACAGTCTGTGACTTGTGATGATAAGCTGTTAAAGTTTTCTTTCTGTGATTTCCTCTGTGACTTATTAGCTACTCCTCCATTAAATCTGGTTTCAGTAATCAGTAATCTCAGACAGAAAAATACAGACCTGGTGTGAGTCCAGGTGATTTTGTTTTTTGTAAAAACAACTCCCAACACCCATCCAAAACTTGCTTATTTGTAAAAAGGGAAAAGAAAAAAATCCAACATCCCAAATACGAGCACTCCAAGCCTGAGCTAACTGACATCATAGTAAAGTTTTATTGCACAAAAGATGAGAAACAGATCAAAAAGCCAAGAAACCATTCCTTCCACTACAGCAACCAGTGCAAAGACCCCTCCTGCATATGAATGAAACATGAGTCTCATTGTAATAAAAGCGATGCAGAATATCTGTTCGGTCAAGTTTATGCTCGTGGGACAGAACAACAAGTGCTTAGTATGTCAACTGGGGCAGAAAATAGCATGCTGTGGGCCCAATTAGCATTTACATCACCACAGGAGCTGCCCCTGGGTCCCCTGCATCCAAGAAAGGTGCTTATGATATGCAGCTGATGGCTAACAGAAGCGTGATTATATTACCCCCTTACAGCTGTTTCCACAGCAGCAACAAAAGGCAGCTGTTGGGTCTAGTTAGGACCTGCTTCGCTTCACTGGTGCTCCGGTGCAATGTTTCCAGCAAAAGGCAATGAAAAGGGCGGGAGCTGACACAATGAAAGCACAGTGGAAGCCAGACAGCTCAAATCCCAGAAACGTGGAGCCTGTAATCCATCAGTTTTATAGCACCTTCAGGATCTATAATCAAGTCTGTTTGTCCTAAATAATGCATGTCGGCTTTTTTTGGTTTTGTTCTTCACCACCCTCATCCACCCCTATACATTCTGAAAGAGAACACTGAATGAAAATACTATGGCCATTGGGTGTTCCTCACCCCGATGCTCCCCCTGTGGCTACTCATCTGCACAGGGCTGGAGCCATTTGGAATAAAATAAACCTGAAAGTAAATTGTCAAGGAAAGTCTCACGGATTTGGGAATGCTGTCGCTGCTAAGACATTGCTTGGAAGTGTGAACAGCACTGGCTTTCTCCGTGCTGCTTGGATCATTTCTCTACTCTACAGGGCTTTGAGGGCACTCGTGCAAAGCTGATGTGAAAGGGCAGTGCACCTAGAGCGAGGTGTTTACAACCATGGGCACACGTTGTGGTAGCCGTTAATGGTGAGCTTAATTTGAATCAGTGCCTTCTGGCAGAGCCGTATCAAAAACCACCAGAAGGCCACAGGCAGCATTTCTGTGTGAAAGGACCGAGTCCAGTGGGCCAGCCTGAGCAAACGTGGGCAGAGCAGCCCTCTGGTTGTGTGCTCCAGCAGCCTGGCCTTGCCCTTGCAGCCCTCTGGGACACAGCAGGGCTTGCTCAAGCTGGGGGCACAAACTGTGGTTCCACGGTCCCAGCCCTTGCAATGGTACTGTGTAGGAAAACAAGTCCAGTACTAACCGGTCTGCATAAAGGAGATTAAATAATTAAGATGACACTGCCACTCCTGGTGCCCGTCACCATTTACAATGGATAAAAAGACTATGTTGCAGACTGTATTTCTTGGCAGCTCCATATCACCCCAAGAGACACAGAGCTTTGTGGCCAAGGCGTATGAATTTTCCAGACCACAAACCCTTCCTCCCTCGCACACAGCTTTGCCATCTCTGCAGAGACTGACTATACCTGACTCTGAGCTGAAGAGTGCTCTAAGAGAAGGCCCTCTGGCCCCCTGTCCATTCTGGACAGGGCCTGGGACCGCAGGCGACATTTCTGGGGGCCAGCAGCACCCTGAGAAACACAAAGCATGGTAAATCAAGATACCTATCAAACGGGAGGCGTTTGCTAGTGTCCTCGGAGGAGGACTATATAGTCTGTCCACATGTGTGTCCATTCAGCCCATCGTGCCGCTGCCACGATCAGCCGAGCGTAACAGTCCCCCTTAAAATATATCAAAACCTACCAAAAAAGCAACAAGGAGCAAATTGCCCACCTTACAAAAGCCCATTCAACCAACCCCAGAGTTTTGTGTTGTGTCCTGAAGGAGTTAGAGCATGGGTGAGATTCAGAGGTGGGTGAGACAGTCCCTTCAGAAAAAACAAGGTTTTCTGAGAGAATAAGCAGCACAAAGGTAAATCCTGGCTGGAGGGCACATACCAGGTTCAAACCTGACTTACATTTATCTTTCCAAGGAAGTGTAAAATGCTTGTTTGATTTCTTCCTAGCACGAAAGACAGCTTGGGAGAGGTGGGGGATGCAAGGTGCCGCTCTGGCCTTTTCTTTCAACGCCCTTCCCTTTCAGAGACAATGATTGAGCCTGGGCAAGGCGCTGGGGCAGAGAGGGGAAACGCGGGAGGGAGTTAATGAACAGGAAACGGTGGAACCAGAGACAGAATTAACGAGCAGGAGAGCTGCTCTGGTTTGCCTGCCTATTGGCACCGTGCAACCACTCAAAAAGGACATTGTGTGCACCTGCTTTCTGGCTTTTAACAACACCACTCTTTGAGCCATTTGCAGAAGTTTCTGCGTTACCCAGCTCGCTCCCTTTCCTTTTGGAGGCTGCAGGTGCCCCTGAAGCAGCCTGTTTTCACAACAGCCTGTTGCAAAAGAACAGGCTCGTTCTCCTCAGTGGGACTCTCTGCATTTACTGCATGTCTGGGTACACAGGGAGAGACAAATCCATGTGCTGCAGCAGCGACTAAGCAATAAATTTTCCTCCAATTGCAGGTGAGTCACAGGAAATTTAATTTACTCTGGTCCTTATCATATAGCAGCAGAGTAAGGCAGGACCCATAATGACCCTTTATTACAGGGCTCTCTCTTAACTGGTTGAATGAACGCAGCTTGACTTTATACGACAGTCGTTCATTGGATTCAGATGGAGAATGATGCACCTCAACAGAATTGTAATCTATGTGTACAGGGAAAGAATAGTTTTTATCATTCTATAGGGGATGCTTTGATAACCATGCCTTGGGGGCTCAACTGACTGTGGTATGAGAAACTTTAAATCCTAAATAGAGGAAGCACCTGGTGGGATTAAAAAGACTGAAAATCTTGCAAACCTTATCTCACTCAAACACATCAGCTGGGTTTAAGTGTGCCCTTCTTGATGCAGTAGCTTGTGAAAAAATATTCAAAGAAAGGCTCAAGAGAGATGAATATAATATGGTTCATATCAAATCTGAAAATGTCATTTTCTTTTCAGGAGACTACTGAAAACTTGCTTTCATCTGTAAGACAGATTTCCATATTCTGTTGCAACAGTTTTAAAGCTTCTGATTGTTTAATCGTGCAGATGAACTTATGGCCACCTGAAAGACAAGCTGAACAAGTGAGGCTGCACTGCGGTACAGGATTTCTGCCCTTGGCAGCTCTTAGAAGGGAGAACGATATTTGGCAGGTGGATGCAGCTGGAGAACTTATTAGTCCTTCCACAGTGGGAGAGACTGGACCTAATCTCGACCATTATTAGATACCAGAGGATCTAAAAAGGAGAAAGTATTTAGAAGGGGCCAGTCATGGGAAAGGCTTCACTCTGAACATGCGTCTTATTAGACAACGGAGAATTCAGTCAGGAAACCCAAATCTGTAGGAAAGCAGGCATCGTGGGTTCCTGAGGCTGAGGGACAGCTTGTTTTACAGGACAGTTAAAACCTCCATTGTTACGAAGACACTTGTGAACAACCTGAATGCCAGAAACTACTGATTAAAGTACCTAAAAATCCATACTTATAGTGTACAGTACTGTGAGTTGCAATCTTGTGATCTGGGGGGAAATGGATGGTGACACCCTGAGGAAAACGTAGTGATTCGTGATTTCTGAATTTTGGTAGAATCACTAGTGCTTTTTAAACGAAGAACTTTATGAAATGCAAGGAAGTTCTAAGAACGTGTATTTTGCAAAAAAGCTGACGGGATGGTTACAGCAACTCTGCCCGGCCTCATACACTATGAATTTTACACAAAACTGGCAGCGTGTCAGGCATATGCACCAGAGAAGTGTCTATATGCTAGCAGCACCTATCCCTGTGTTGGCTCAAGGCAGGACATGACCAACGTGTCCTGTAATGAGCTACATCTACCGAGCAATAACCTAGCAGTAGACCAGATTGTCTCTACAAAACCTTGGCAGTGGATCAAATCCACACCTCTATGAGCCTTCATTAACAAATGCCTTTCTTTAGTTTGGTGTGCATATTTAACCCCTACTCACATAAATGACAGAACATTTGAACGAACTAAT